GGGGACTGAAGCTGCTGCTAAGTTGCACCATTAGAAGCTTCCACGAAATGATGGCAAAGCCAGTCTGCAAACAGGGTTGTCTAGCAATGGGCAACAGCATCGGCTTTGTTTCAGACAGAGAAAGCCATGGACACAGAAGCCACTAAATCTCTGTAACAAATCTCACAAAGTCTCTCATACTCTCTTTGGTAGAAAGGGGGACAAAAGTGGAGTGGAGATGGCAGTCACTGGGCAAAGAGAGCTAAAACGTGTGGATTTGTCTGTCTGGCTTGAGGAGCAACCTCTACTTGCAGGTGACAGGGCTCTGCCGTAGGCCCTATAATGTTCAATGCTCCCTTTGTGGCTCAAACGCACACAGACAGTAACTTTCAAAAGTGTCTAGATGTCAGCTAGAACATATGCATTTTAAAAAATTCCAAAACAATCTTGATATCCTAGGAATGCTATAACAGAATCAAGTTGAAGAATTTCGGAAATGTATCTGAAGTTCCTCATGTAAGTAGTTGGGTAACGTAAGAGAAGAACTGCACTGACTGCTCACTGACGAAGGAAATGAGCTAATACTGCCTTTCAAAACACAAGTGCAGCCAGATGCTACCTGGAGAGAGTCTGCTAGTTAGATGAAGAAGACAACAGTTGTGCCATTTGCCAGCCAGGTCTCTCACCCTCTCTGGGTTCCCCCTTAAGGTAGGACCCCAGCAAGACAACTGGAGAAGCAGGGGCAGTGCTTGGATGAGGTCCAGCTGAATACCCTCAGGCTGTTAAGACTGGCGGTGGTCTAAGCACATGATGGACTACCTTCTCCCCTCTTTCCCTCCTGAAGCAGAGAGAACTGGAAAGTGAACACTGGTTTGAAAAAAAGATACCTTCAAAGGAGGAGGTACCTTTCTCTGAAGGGAGGAGAGAACTCCCACTTTGACTATGGCCTTGTCTAAACAAAATCGGAGTTGGTGAACTCAAGAGGCTCCCATAGCCTTGGCAGCTCATGGCAAGAGCCTCGGGTGACAACTGACGTCATAAATAAGAGTGTCAATTGTTAAATCAACAACAGGAGTCACTGTGCACTTACTCCCCATGTAGGATCTCTGTCCTTAGTGTGTTGTACTATGAGAATTAACGGTTTAAGTAGTACTCAAACAGTACTTTATACTTTGTGTGTCTGTGTGGGTGCAAACTGTTGAAATCTTTACTTAGTATATACTAAATTGATCTTCTGTATATAAAGAGAATTGAAAATGAATCTTGATGTGAATGGAAGGGGAGAGGGAGCGGGAGAGGGGAGGGTTGCGGGTGGGAGGGAAGTTATGGGGGGGTAAAAGCCATTGTACTCCATAAGCTGTTACTTTGGAAATTTATATTCATTAAAAAGTTAAAAAAAAAAACAAAGATAATTGAAAATGAATCTTGATGAAGAATGGGATGGGAGAGGAAGTGGGAGATGGGATGGTTGCAGGTGGGAGGGTGGTTATGGGGAAAAAAGCCGCTATAATCCAAAAGTTGTACTTTGGAAGTTTATGTTTATTAAATAAAAGTTAAAAGAAATAAAGAAAAAGATACTTTTTCCCTGGAGACTCCACAAGGAAGAGAAGCAGAGTTTTTTTGTTTTTTTCTTTAAGTCAGAACCTCCACTTGTAGGTATCAAATCTGATATTCTAGTAAATGGGATTCCATTATTATGAAGATTTTAAAAAATAATGAAATAAACCCTAAAGGAGTCTAGCCTGTGTCACACTTTTCTTCTTACTACTATTTTGCAATTCCACTGGCACTGAAGTGCTCCATTTCTGTTTGGAGTATGCCAACTTAAAGCATACCTGAAGGGCTCCAAGTAAGGGAAACATTTATGTTGATGTTGTCATTTAAAATTTACTTCTCATAGAGTTTTAGCAGAGACAGTAAACACACATATGCATATGAGCATAAGAAAGATGCATAGGCACCTTTGATCAATTAAATACAAAATGAAAAACTAAAGTTTTTCCTCTCTTTTAAGAATACTCTTTAGTGAAATTTCCATTGACGTAGGAAAGAAAGCTCATGAATGTGTTCTGACACTTCAAATTCCTGCTCCTAAACCATCAAGACGCCCCTTTCCACTTCTGAATGACCCTGGTCCACGCAGTCTGAATTATAATCTGGTGCCCATCAATGGTCAACCAGAGCCACCTTGTGTCTCCCACACAGGCACGGTTCTCAGTGCCCTGAGCCCTGCCCCAGAGGTTCACGCTCTAGAGGCGAGATCATCAATGCACACAATCAGCAGAGTCAACATGGTAACATACAGTATGTGTGGTGGAGGAGGTTGTTTATGAAATACCTGGTCAAGAACAGCCACTCTAGACTCAACAGTACTTCTTTGGCGCAACCTTTCGTGGTGGCTCTAACAGCAGATCACGCCACAAGAGACCTAGAGGCTCTGCAAGGACTTTGAAAGGCAAATGCCAAAGCCCCTGAGACTGAAATGTGCCTTGTGTGCTCATGAGTTAAAAGGTGGCAAATATGGCTGAGGATGGGGAGCAAAGAGGAAGACAAAAGGAAAACAGAGTGAGGGGCAGGCCGTGGGGCCCTGGAGGACGCTGCAGGCCACAGGACAAAGCTGGGGCTCTACTCGGTGTCAGTGGGAAGCACTGGAGGCTTCCAGGCCTGATGTAAGGCTGTGAAAGATCACTCCAGCTGCTTTCCGTCAAGTTAAAGCTGTGAGACAGACAAAAACATCAAAGGAAAGAAATAGGGGTTTGGGTTTTTTTGTTTTTAAAGAGGGCTGGCCTACGATGGAGCTCAGAGCACCTTTGTGTTCGAGACTTGCTGGAATACACCATTCCAGAGAAGGACTGAGGAATTCGCAGCAGCAAACCAGGCCCAAGGAGGAGCGCCAAGGCCTAGGGACATTAAGTGTGGCGGGCACGGTGCTCCTGCACAGTCAGTGAGATGACAAGAGATAGCAGGAGCATGACTCAGCTCCCTCGTGACCTGGAGAACCAAGAAACACCTTCCCTGGAGCAGGGTTTTTTCACAAAGCAACTGGAACGTTACAGCTCCTCTACTGGGCTTCTGTATCAAGGTCACTCTAGACTTAAATTTTCATTTATTTCTGAAATATGAAATATTTATACAAGGCCAGTTTCTTCAATACTTTCTGCTCATGTGTGCTTAAAAAAGAAACCAATGCATTTGAGCACATGAATAAAAATTGCTTAAGAAGTCTTACAAATATTCCATGACAATTTCTCTGAACTTGGGCATTACAGAAATATTAGTTATCCTCCAATCACTAGATTTGTTTCTAACACATTTTTCTTTCATATCCAGAGAAACAATTATTTACACCGAAAGGTGCAGCAAGTGATTTGACTTGCTGTATCAAAAACCGAAAACAGGGGCTAGCGTTGTGGTATAGGAGGTTAAGGCACTGCCTGCCAACAATGGCATCGCATATGGGCACTGGTCAGAGTCCTGGCTGCTCCACTTCCGATCCAGCTCCCTGCCTGTGTGCCTGGGAAAGTGGCAGAAGGTGGCCAAAGTGTCTGGGTCCCTGCCATCTGTGTGGGCGAGATGTGGATGGAATTCCAGGTTTGCTTGGCCTAGACCTGGCCATTGCAGCCATTTGGGAAGTGAACAAACAGATGGAAAACATCTCTCTCTCCCTCTGCCTTATATTTTTAAAAAACTGAAAATAGCTTTAAAAATCATAGTTGTAAATACAGTGGGCTATTTTTTCAACACTATTGTAATTTCCTGGATAGCTTAGCCTTTAGCAAACAGCAATGGAAAAACAAAATTTATCCAATCTTAACGTGAATAAGAATCTCCTTGGGTGCTTATAAATGTAGATTATAAGTTATCCCCAGGCAGGCTATCTAAGGTTTACCAAGGCAGGTTGAAAACTGTTGTTTTTTAAAGCTACCTTGGTGATTCTGACAGACAGCTGAGGAATCATCCTTTGTGAAGCAACGTAGGACAGACTAACAGACACAACACACACCAGTAAAAGTCAGTTCTGCCTACTCAGTCCCTGTGACTCAGTTTCCACAGCCACAGATTCACTTCGATGGCCGTCAAGGACGCTCTGTGTCTAAACGTTTCCTAAGTCTCGATGAGTCATGTTTCTCATCTACCGTGTTTATGTGTATGCTTGTGTGATGCTAGATTGGAAAAACTTTATATCCACACAGCAGTCGAATAAAACGAACTCCATCTCCCTTGGAAATGCATACTCACAGACTTCAGAGAATCCTTTCAACAGTCAGGTCTACTACTCAACTGCACTTCTGCAATTTGAATGTTTCAAAGAACCTGATGTCAAAAGACCTACTTCAACAACTGAACTTGCACTGTATGTGTTTTTGAATGAGTATAAATAAATCCTCATTTATCATTTTTTGCTGAGTTAACACCTACATAAGGCTAGAAACTGCATTTCCAACAGGGTTTCCATTCGCCACTGCCCAACAGCAGCTTCCTGATTGTCTGGAAAACTGTGAAAGCATTTTCTCTAACATTTATCCCGGGGCTGAGAGTTTTGAGCAAAAAGGAAATAAGACAAGCGATCACTTTTCAGTCAGAGCACAGGTTTATCCACAGCCCAGGAAACAGAGGTTGAGAGGGAAGGACAGTCATGATATAAAATTGTTTGAAAAAAAGAAATGAAATCAAGAATTAAAAATAGAATTACATTTTCTACTTGGCAGTACACAAACAACACTAAGTGCACTTCATAAATTTTACTATTGTTGCTCTAAGTGATATTACCATAAATCACATTAGTAGCGTACTTGGCAATTTTAAAAGCAAAAAGGATGGAGTGTGTCAATAAGTTTAAACAGCTCTGTTATCTCTGAAGAGAGTGGAAGAGAAATTATCACAAGCTTTTACTCGGTCTCAAAGCCCAGTTCCGAAGCCCTCACAGTCGCTACCCTTCTCCCTCTGGCTTCAGCACAACAGCATCACTACCAGCAATTTATTTTAAAAATATGCACTGCTGCCTTCCTGGTGCTCTGTACCTGATGTGTCAGGGGTGGGAGCTGTTTGCCCCTCTTTTCATCGCGGACAGGAAAGAGAGACTTCAGCAGCTTTGGCATCTGTGGCACAAAGGATTTTACCGGATTCAAGTAGGAGGCTGCAAAGCTACCAAGTCCTGTCAACAATATTGAAAGGGAGAAAAAGACATAAACATTGACACAGAATCTTTTCCTGTGAATTTTCCAAATATTATTTGTAAGCAAATCTAACAATATATCTTTTAAATTCCCTTAATAATTATCATTAGGGACTGGTGCTGTAGTACACCAGGCTAAGCTGCCACTTGCAATGCCAGTATTCCATATCAGACTGCCAATTGAAGTCTTGGCTGCTCGACTTCTGACCCAGCTCCCTGCTAATGCACTGGGAAAGTAGTGGAAGACGGCTCAAATACATGCGTCTCCGTCATCCACATGGGAGACCCGAATGTAGTCTGTGGCTTCTGGCTTTTGCCTGGCCCAGCCTGGCTGTTGCAGCCATTTGGAGGAGTAAACCAGCGGATGGAAGACTGATTGATCAATCTGTCTCTATGCCTTTCAAATAAATAAATCAATCTTCTAAAAATATATAAGAAAAACATATTAATGTACCCTGAAACACAATGGTGTTTCCTTTTCCAACTTAATGGCAGTAACTGTGCTGCTTCCAAATTATTGTAGTCTGAAGTGTTCCTATTGGAATCTGCAGGGTAATCCACCCGCCTCCTAGTCACCAAGTGGTGCAAGCACTGACTTCTGACATAGAACAAAACGGGACTTGATTTTTAAGTCCCACAGCCGGTAACACCCATGTGTAGCTCTCCATGTAGACTGTGAATCTTAGAGTTCAATATGACTTACTCATTGACTTCAAATTTTTTGTAACTATTTAGTGAAGGAAGATGATAAAAGTGGTATTTTGGGAAAAGGGTGGTATTTGCATTGTTTTCATAAGACAGGGAGAGATGTCCTGAATTAACTATATTATTATCGATGGTTAATTACAAAAGGCTGGGCTCAGAGGTGCAGACAATACCTATGATGCAACATTTCTGCCCCCTTATTAGTTTACAGGAAGACCTAATCCAAGTCACAGGTGGTAAAAAGCTGCATCCACATTCACTCTTTAAAAAGTCAGGCAAAGAACCTTAGGAACATTCACGTTCTGCCTGAACAGAAGTGCGCTTCCCGCCTAAAGCTCTACTCCACATAACCCCTGAAAGGTCTCCACATGCACTGGCCATACAATTGGGAAACAGACCCGCACCACTGAGAGGCTTCTACGTTTTACATAAAATAGTAAAACAGCAACTTTAAGTAGGCTGGAGAAGGAAATACATTGAATCATGAAAGTCATCACTAAAAAAATAAAGCAAAGAGATAGCTTTAATGTGAATACATTACAATTTAGTTCAGAAAAGTCAAATAATTCACAAGAAGACAACAACAGGGAAGAGAGAAATCAAAGAGGATGATAAATATACAATACTTAGGAAGAATACAGGGTCAGAAGAATATAATCATCTTAGTGCTGAGGAAAAAAATGCACAATCTAGAACTTTCTAACAAGTTCAGCTAACATTCTACAGAGGATGATCCTTAATAAAACGCTGGACGATAATCAAAGGCTTCACACGTCACCAAACAAGAGACAGTCAGGCATCCGTGTCTTCAGGCTCCTCTCTACGCATACGCTCGGATTCACCTGCATCTGGTCAAGGCTGTGGATCTAACCACCACTTTATAAGAAACACAGGGTGAGCTTTGGGTTTCAAAAACCTCATGGGAATACGAATGCATAGAAGTCTTTTTGTACAAGAACTTGGCTTATGGGACAGCAATGTACAAGAAGGAACACAACATAAATTTAACAAACCAAAATCTGTGTAGCTCAACATGTTAAGACAAGAGGGAGAAAAACCCATATGGACATAATAAACTAGTGGTTACCCGGCAGGAAATCACTTTTTCATGACAGTGATTGACAAATGAAAAGACAACTCACCTGGTTCTGGGGAATGGTTATTTGGGGGACACACAGAGAGGGCTGGGGGGACTGGAGCCATTCCTCTGGAAACTGCTGTTTGGGATACATCCTGTTGACTTTCCCACCGGCCCTAGCAAGGACAAAAACCATTATTTTGTTTCAAATTAATCAATCAGCAAAAGGCTTAAAGATATTCAGGAAGGCCGGCGCCACGGCTCACTTGGCTAATCCTACGCCTGTGGTGCTGGCACACCGGGTTCTAGTCCCCGTGGGGGCGCCGGATTCTGTCCTGGTAGCTCCTCTTCCAGTCTAGCTCTCTGCTGTGGCCCAGGAGGGCAGTGGAGGATGGCCCAAGTGCTTGGGCCCTGCACCCAGATGGGAGACCAGGAGGAAGCACCTGGCTCCTGGCTTTGGATCAGCGCAGCGCGCCAGCCGTAGCGGCCATTTGGGGAGTGAACCAACAGAAGGAAGGCCTTCCTTTCTTTCTCTCTCTCTCTCTCTAACTCTGCCTATCCAAAAAAAAAAAAAAAAGATACTCAGGAAAAGAGCTTATACATTACTGAAGCTTTATTCTCCTTATAGGACATGATAAATCTGATTATGTAAGGGGTTTTCTTCTTATACTCGCTCATAATGTTCAATGCCTTAATGCATTCGGGTCACCCTTCCACTTTGTAAGTTATGACCTCCCAGTGAGTTCCATCCTAAGGTTTTTTCTTTTAATGAATCAAATCTTTTTTTTTAAAAAAATTATTTATTCATTTGAAAGGCAGAGTTACAGAAAGGTAGAGGCAGAGAGAGAGAGAAGAGAGAGAGGTCTTCCATCCACTGGTTCACTCCCCAGATGTCCACAACAGCTGGAGCTGGGCTGATCCGAAGCCAGGAGCTTCTTTGGGCTCCTACACCTGTGTGGGAGACTCCGAACACTTGGGCCATCTTCTACTGCTTTCCCAGGCTATAGCAAGGAGCTGGATCAGGAATGGAGCAGCCAGGGTTCGAACTTGGCACTGCAGGTGGTGGTTTTACCAGCTATGCCACAGTGCCAGCCCCACTAAGGCTTCTACTACTACCTCGTGTGCCTCCCCACAAAGGGTGGATACGTGAAGGCATTTGTTTGGAAATAAATTCTCCCCTAAGTTCTGTTTGAGGACTCCTCTGCTCTAGTGCCTCAGGACATTTTTCTCACTTCAGCTTTTCCATTGATAACGGAGCACAAAGCTATTATTGCCAGGGAGGAGCAGGCGGAAGCACACGCTCCAGGAGAGACAGGTCCAGAGTGGGCATTCCACCCACTCACACAGGGCCCTGCAGTGGGAATGCTTAGCCTGTTACCAAGTGTCTCCGTTTTCTTAGATATTCAAGGTAAATTCCAGTTAAACCCAAGTCAAATAATCACAAGTTCTCAATTATGGAAACCTGTGAATTAACAACTTTTACTGCAGTCTCAACTTATTTTCTAAGTTCCCATGAAAGAGAATTCACTGTGCGGTACAAGAAAAATGCCAGGTGGCTGGCGCTGTGGTGTAGCAGGTTAAGCTGCTGCTTGCAGAGCTGACATTCTGTATGGGCACTAGTTCGAGTCCCGACGGCTCCACTTCTGATCCAGCTCCCTACTAATGCGCCTGGGAAAGCAGTAGAAGATGGTCCAAGTGCTTGGGCCACTGAACCCATGTGGGAGATCCAGAAGAAGCACCTAGCTCCAGCCTGGTCCACCCCTGGCCATTGCAGCCATTTGGGGAGTGAACCAGTGGATGGAAAATCTAACTCTGCCTCTCAAATAAAAATAAAGAAAGAAGAACAATGCCAGTCAGGTGATGGAATAAATGAGCATCGGAAAACCTGGGTTAAGCCATCACAATGGTGATGTCACCAAGATACTGCTAACATCAGTCCTATGGAAAGAATGAAACCCCAAGCACACATTTCTCGTACAAAAAATAAAAAACAAACACTAAGAGATGCAAATCTTTTTTTTTTTTTTTTGACAGGCAGAGTGGACAGTGAGAGAGAGAGACAGAGAGAAAGGTCTTCCTTTTGCCATTGGTTCACCCTCCAATGGCCACCGCACTGCGGCCGGCGCACCGCGCCTATCCAAAGGCAGGAGCCAGGTGCTTCTCCTGGTCTCCCATGGGGTGCAGGGCCCAAGCACTTGGGCCATCCTCCACTGCACTCCCTGGCCACAGCAGAGAGCTGGCCTGGAAGAGGGGCAACCGGGACAGAATCCGGCGCCCCAACCGGGACTAGAACCCGGTGTGCCGGCGCCGCAAGGCATAGGATTAGCCTAGTGAGCCGCGGCGCCGGCCATAGATGCAAATCTTTTAAATGCTTTAAGTTCCCTCTGATCCTCTGATAATCACTGATGGTTTTTACTACAGTTTAACTGTGGTAATATAATATGACTTTAAGCCAGCATGCCTCTAACGAGTGCCCTCGACAGTTAACTCCAGTTTTCTTCACAACCGCCTGGAAATCAGAATGGAAACAGTGAGTTCTGCGCTGCTCGTGAAGATGGATGGAGCTGGAAAGCCCTCTCGGGTTTCAGGGTTTCAGATATGTATTGGAAACCTATCTGCTTTTAGCAGCAATCTAAGCACTGATCATAAAATCAATCAGCCCTAAGTGACCTGGATCCTGTTTGCCTCGGAGAACGCCACTTTTCCCTACGAACTCTCTCAGCACTTGACGTCATCTCAAAAACCGGTTTGATGTTCTGCCTTCATTAGGAAGCACGGAAAACAAAACAGACAGGAGCACGTGGTGGGGAGAACATGAGTTCCGCAATCCTTCACTGTAGGAGCACTCGTGTTACTATGGACTTCATGCTGATTTACATACTTCAATGCTTTGCTAATGTTTTCTGCATTTAAATTTAATTACCTGTCTAGGAAACTGCAGCTTTGTGCACCCTGGATATCACAATCAGGCGACTGAACACTGAGGTCAATAATCTTTGGAGCATCTCAAAGGATGACAAGACCCAGGCTGTTTGCTATATCAGCTCACACAAGGCTGCTCCAAAGACAACTTAGAGAATACATTTCTTTTCTCATTTGAGATTTTCTTCCTTGTTGGGTGGCTCACATAGTTGCACTCTGTCCTTTAGGACAATGAGTGGCTGATCCAGAGTAATCACCCAGGCCGTGTGATACTGAGTTATCTGGCGACAAATTGAGCAGGTGTCACCTCTTCCCCAAGGCACACTCGGGGCTCCGCCAGCTACCCACAGAACGCTTCCCAGCTGGCACTCCTGCCCAGTCACTACTGTATCAAGAAGGAAGCAGCGCTTCCAGCCAGACACTCCCACACTGCACGTGACAGCACCCCAAAGGACGTACAGTACTTGGGACACGCAGCACCTCCACCAGCCACGGTCACAGTCCTGGCAGCCTTGAGCAATCTCACCTGCTACCTGTTCTGAGGTCTGACTGCCCTGTGACGGAAGTCTCAAGGCACGCAATGGGCTCTGCTTCCAAGGATGACTGGGCAGCACGACACTCGTCTCTCCTCTGATGCCCAGCTCTCAGGGGAACGCTCCGCTGAAACCCTGCCCTCGTTCTTTCTCTCCTGCACTGCCTGTTGTCCAGGGTCTAGCTACACGCTCTGTCCCTTAGGATAAGGCGATTACTGTCTCTCCAGTAACTTTTATATGCATGGCTGACCTCAGCCTATCCTCCCTTTATTGACATATTGGGGAAAACAAATGAGGCAACCCAGTAGTTCAAAGGAAGATAAACTCAGGACTATGAGCAGCAAGACAGGGTAACATTTAGCTCTCATAAATAGTTAAGATCTAAAAATGACTGAGTGCAGTGTTTCCTTACCTCCACCACAGCAATCCACTCCCTACACCACCTGGAATCTCAAAAGCTCAGTCTCTAACATTCTGCACATCTACCAGTCGTCACAATCAGTCACAAGGAGGACAAAAAGACAAGGTTCCAGCCTTGTTTGGATCTCCAAGTTAGCCTCACACTTATCAAGGGTTATTTGTCCTATTAGGGGGAGTTCAAAGACAGTCCGAGTTGATACAGCAATCATTTGCAGTGCATACCACGCTTAGAGGCAACAGCATACAAGGCTCTTAGCCAACTTGAGGATGTGACTTGCTCCCTGTGGGCACCTAGTTTTCCTGTTTCTGCTCCTCTGCCAGAGACAAATTCTTTGGGTTTTCCGTAAAAGGGTCTGGTTTTTATCAGGAAAGTGACAAAGAGGCAAATAAAGAAAAGTGCCAGTGACATTTCAGGTCCAAAGGTAGCTTCTAATGCATCTAAAGAAGAAGTGACTCATGGTTGGCATCAGCCTGGAGCAGTGCTACACTAAATAATTACAGTTTTCAGGAAGGTGATGTAGCCAAAATACACAATTCTGTTTTGTTAACAGAATACTCATTCAAGCTATTGACTAATTTTAATTTCATGAAAAACTATCAGAAAATGAAAAATTCCCTACTTTATCAACTTATTAAAAATATAACTTCCTCTAAAATGGTTTTCAAAGTAACAATATTTCTGTTGACAGCATTCCTTACATTGCAAAAGATCTCAACATACAGGCAATGTTAAGGTGGAAAGATGGACACCACAATGGAATTAATTCTACACCTAAATATCAGTTGGTAGATGGCCATAAAAAGCCTGCTATGTTTTTATTATACCTATAAAAAAGGCTTTACCATAATGATGACACATCCAGTAACAGTAAATAGCAACATCACTTCAATTAGGGGTCATAGTTTATATTTTTAATTGAAAGACATCCCAAGGCTCAAAAGTGAATTTAAAATTCTATGTTTTTGAAGATGAATTCATTTATTAGTTCAATCTTGGAGGAGTTCAGTCTTTAAGATGCAGGAAGCACCAATAACTAAGGGGAATGCAGGTCAAGGCTGGCCTAATTCAAAGTGTTATCAGCCCAAACCATGAGCTCGTTTTAGGAACACTGCTACTTCCTCCAACACTCTCAGTAGCCCTGATCCTATCAGACAAGTCTGCTCGCAACTCCTGCACCCTCGCCCCGGATGGATGAGTCTCTGAAATTAACAAGATAGAAAGGGAAACAAGAACAATCCAGCGGACTCCCTGCTTCTCGACATGAAGCAGAATGTCACACGGTATGTGACATGATGTAGAAGACACAGCCCCTCAGATGCCGAAATCAAATTCTAGTTTGAAATCCATGACAGAGAGGTAGACACATACACTAATGGAAGCAGAGAGCATAGAATCAGCCCCACATGAGTCAGGAAGGCAGATGTAGCTAATGTAATTAGGAATTTCATTTATTTCAATATGTACTTTCTATCATTTTCAGCATCATCACATCCAGGATAAACTCAATGCTCCTGGACATTAAATAATTTCACGCAAGGAAAGAAATCAAGATGGTCTAAGCAAAAACCCAGAGTCCAAAGAATGCCCAGAGCATGTCTGCCTTTTTTATTTTCTTTCATTTTATGCTCTATCCACCCTTATGGATCCCCAAATATTTACTAGTATATTTATCTAATATGTGTTAATTCCAGCTCATGGTCCAGAATATGTTAAGTTTAACAAGACACCTTAATTGCTGGTTATTTTTGACAGATTACCTGTCAAAAAAAAAAAGGTGAGTGGACAGTGAGAGAGAGAGACAGAGAGAAAGGTCTTCCTTTGCCGTTGGTTCACCCTCCAATGGCCGCCCCGGTCGGCGCGCTATGGCCGGCGCACCGCGCTGATCCGAAGGCAGGAGCCAGGTGCTTCTCCTGGTCTCCCATTGGAGTGCAGGGCCCAAGCACTTGGGCCATCCTCCACTGCACTCCCTGGCCACAGCAGAGAGCTGGCCTGGAAGAGGGGCAACCGGGACAGAATCCGGCGCCCCGACCGGGACTAGAACCCAGTGTGCCGGTGCCGCAAGGCGGAGGATTAGCCTAGTGAGCCGCAGCGCCGGCCCTGACAGATACCTTTAAAAATAGCCTTAGACCCAGGCAACAGGAACATTTGCAAATAATCATATATACTGACTACTAAAGTTATTTTTACAAAAGGTCAAGAGTTGGTACATATCCAGGTTAGTCAATTTATAAAAATTTCACTTAACAATGAATTCATATTCTATAGGTTATAGCAAGTATGACAAGTTTTAGGTAGTAGGATACTAGTTGTATCCCACTCATTAGGAAAACCTAATGGATGAATTACCTCTCCCTGGATCTCTGAAAACTGAGGATTGCATGAAGTTCCCAAAAGAAAAGAAAAAACAAACATGAGTCTGAGATTTCTGAAACAGCAGTTTCTTTAGTCATTACTCCTTTAGGATTTTACACAAATTGTTCAAAATAAATCAACTAGAAACCTTCTCGATACACTAATTATAAATGAACATAAACTTCAAACAAACCATTCTAAATGGTTGGATAATAAGAGTTTCAACATTAAATCCGTCAGCATGGTACAAAAGCAGAATAGAAAAGGTATCCAGTGAGGAGTTCCCCCGGGTGTCCACCCCACTCTTGCTCCCTCCCCTCACACCTCAAACTGACCAGTGGCACCTGCTTCTTCCCTAGCCTTACAGATGTAGCTTAGCCTACAGATGTAAACACAGTCTCACTTCCCTCGTTCCCTCCTCCTAACATACAAATAGCAGCAGACTGCTTTGCACTTTAATTCCTACATATATATGGGCAACAGTTCTATTTTAGGACCTGGAGGGGTTTCCCACCATGTTTACAATTGTATAGTATTCCATGTACTTCTTTGTGTGTGTGTGTGTGTGTGTGTATGCACACTTGTGTGCGATGTATTAACAAGACCACAATGACAGACATTTAGTTTGCATCCAATCCTCTGTCAATATAAACAATGCTGCAGTGAAACCCTTGTACACTGAGTTGGGAGGGGGAAGCTGCTTCAAAAAGTTCGAGGAAAAGTGGGATTGCTTCATTATCATTTCCTATGGGTTAGCATCATCATGGTAAGGATTTAACAGGATTTCGATCACCTGTATATCAATTGAAACACTATTCAATCCTAAGGAACACCATTACAGGTAGTGCTTATAACACATTTAGGTTTCAAGTCAAGAACATAGTGAGGATGCTTCTCATTACCTGCAGCGGACCCTATTTGCATTCCACTGGATCCAGACCCATGCCTTCCAATTCACAATCCCCTACAAAATCTGTATTCATTCCATGAGGCCATAGCAAGACCTAGTTCACACTCTCCCTTGCTGGCACTAAGGCTTCTGGTGCTCCAAGTCCCAGCATCACCCTGATCCTATCCTCCCAGGAGGACTTGCAGAAGGTTGATACACATCACACACAGTTCCAGGGCCACAGCTGTTGATGTCTGACTGGCAGGATAAGGGGACAGCTCATTCTAGGTCAAAGAACATGGCTATAGCCATCACAAAATCTGATGTGACTGACACCCAACTCTCTAGGGACTGAGTGCACACAGCTTTGGAAGCCTACATCCACTTCAAAGTCACATATCCATCTGCACAAACTGATGGATTTGACAACTGTAGCACCTATGGACACTGCTGACACTGACTGCATTGAAGACATCAGAGCTGGGGCCAGCGCTGTGGCGCAGGGGGTTAAAGCCCTGGCCTGAAGCTCCGGTGTCCCACATGGCACCAGTTCGTGTCCCGGCTGCTCCTCTTCCCATCCGGCTCTCTGCTATGATCTGGGAAAGCAGTGGGGGGTGGCCCGAGTCCTTGGGCCCCTGCACCTGCATGGGAGACCCAGAAGAAGCTCCCGGATTCTGCCTTCGGATCAGCGCCTTCGGATCAGCGCAGCTCAGGCCATTGCGGCCATCTGTGGAGTGAACCAACGGATGGAAGATTTCTGTCTCTAGCTCTACCTCTCTCTGTAACTCTTTCAAATAAATAAAATAAATCTTTAAAAATAGCTTAAAAAAAAAAAAAAAGAGGAATCAGAGGTTACACTTCTGTGCTCTACTCATACCCTGCATTCCATCTGAGAATCCAATGAAAGCCACTCCTTGAAGAAGGAACTGTTATGCCAGATGTGCAGACTTCAATGTTGGGACAGAGTAAAAATAAAGAACAAAGGAAGCATAACATCTCCAAAACAAAACAGCTCTCAAGAATTAAATCTTGATTTGAAGCAACCTATGAAATGCCTGAAACAGAATTAACAACGATACCAAGGGAACGCAATGAGATACAAGAGAATACAGAGAGACAATTCACAATAAGAATGAGAAATTCACCAAATTCATTAAAAAGAACAAACCAAAAATTTTCAAACTGAAAACTTCAATGAAATAAAAATACAACTGAAGCTGCAACAACAGAACAAAGTCAAAGAATTCCTGATCTTGAGGACAAGACTTCTAAAACAACACAGGCAGACAAAAAGAACTGAAGAAGCCGACAAGACACATGGGACAGTAAGCAAACACATATTCACATTATAGGCATACCTGCAGGAAAGGGGCATTGAGAACACAGAACAGTTGAAAAATTCCCACATCTTGAAAGAGATATGGACATCCAGATACAGGAAGCTCAGAGGATCCCAACCAGACTCAACCAAAAAAGACCTTCTCCAAGGCATTTTATAGTTAAGGACAAGGAGAAAATCCTAAAGACAGAGAAAAACGTCAAGTTATGTACAAAGGAAAACCCAGTAGACTTCTTAGAAGAAAGCCCATAGGCCACAAGATGGTGGGATAATATATTCAAAGTCTTTAAAAAAATCTTGCAGCTAAGAATATTATCCAGAGAAGCTATTCTTTAGAAATTAAGGAGAAATAAAGTATTTTGCACACAAGCAAAAACTTAGAGAATTCATCACTATCAGATCACCACTACAAAAAATCCTAAAGGGATTCCTACATTAGAAATAACCATCATGAAAACACACAATAGAAAACTAACACAACAGACACACAAAACAGAAAGATAATTCAACCTTATCATGATAGGAAGGTACCAAAACACAAAGATAAATTATGAGAGGCAGAAAGAAACAGAAGGTATAAAACAATTAGTTAGCAACCACTAAAAGGACAATAGTTATTATTATTATTGATCTTGAAAATGCAAATGGATTAAATACCCCAGAAAAAAGAAATAGGTCAACAGAATGGATTTAACCTAACTACATGTTGCCTATAAGAAACTCAATACAGGGGCCAATGCCTCTGCCTAGTGGGTAAAGCCACTGCCTGCAGTACCAGCAACCCATATGGGCGCTGGTTCAAGTCCTAGCTGCTCCACTTCCAATCCAGCTCTCTACTATGGCCTGGGAAAGCAGAGAAAGATGGCTCAAGTACTTGCGCCCCTGCACCCACATGGGAGACCGGGAAGAAGCTCCAGGCTCCTGGCTTCAGATCAGCCCAGCTCCGGCCATTGCAGCCATTTGGGGAGTGAACAAGCAGATAGAAAATCTCTTTCTCTGCTTCTGCCTCTAAGTAACTCTGCCTTTCAAATAAATAAATAAATAGGGGAGGGGAGGGGAAAGAAACTCGACACAGAGGTAAAGACACACATTAGCTAAAAGTGAAAAATTAGAAAAAAGTACATTCTATGGAAATGGAAATCAAAACTGAGCAGCAGTAGTTACGCTCGTATCAGTTAAAAAAAGACTTTAAATAAAAAAAAAAAAAAGGAGACAAAGAAGGGGCCGGCATTGTGGTGCAGTGACTGAAGCTGCCAGCTGTGATGCCGGCATCCTGTGTGAGCTTGAGTCCCAACAGCTCCACTTCTGCTCTAGCTCCTTGCTAAAGTGCCTGGGGAAAGCAGCAGCAGATGGCCCAAGTGTCTGGATCCCTGTCACCCTTGTGGGAGACTGGGAAGAAGCTCCTGGTTCCTGGCTTCAGCCTGGCCCAGCCCTGCCTGGTGTGGCTCTCTAGGGAGTGAACCAGTGGATGGAAGCTAGTGCGCGTTCTCTCGCTCTCTGTCAGACTCTTTCAAATAAGTAAATAAATCTTTAAAAAGAGAGACAGAGAGACAAAGAAGGGCATTACATATTGATTAAGGAATGGATTCAGCAAGACATAACAGTCACAAATATACATGCAACCAACACAATAGCAGCCAAATATATAAATCAGATATTATTAGACCTATAGGCAGAGAAAGATTCCAATACAATAAAAGTTATCAATGGACACTTCATCCTGACACAAAATCAACAGTTAAATCAGAGTTGAACCATAGCAAGAATGAGGAATCTTTTTTCTGCCAATAACCATGTGGATACTTTAACATTATTCATGGGCCACACAAAATTATCAACTTAAAAATTAGCCTGCTATAGGTTTATTGAATTTCAAGTTCTGCCTGTTGTGGCCTTGGCAGGACCAGACCAAATGATTTCACAGGACTTTTAACAGCAGGATGTTCCCTGGACCTAACAACAATAACAGGACATTTCATCTAAGCTACGGAATATACGTTCTTCCCAATGGCACAAGGAACATTTTCTAGAAGAGATCTTGTATTAGGCCACAAATCAGGTCTCAGTGGGTTAAAAAGAAATTGAAATCTTAACTATGTATCTTCTAAGACCATAAATGAATAAAACTAGAAATGAACAAAAGAAAACTTAGAAACACAAGAAAAGTAACATGTTCCTGAATAATCAATGGATCATTGAAGAAATTAAAAATGAACTCACAAAATGTCTTGAAACAAATGAAAATGGTAATAATACAATATATCGAAATCTGGAACAGTAGTATTAAGAAAGTTTATAGCAGTAAACACATGCATTAAAATATAGAAATATCTCAAACAATGTAACCATGTATCTCAAGGATTTAGAAAAGACCAAACTAGGGCCAGCATTGTGGCTTAATGAGTTAAGCTACAGCCTGCAACAACAGCACCCTATATGAGCACTGGTTTGTGTCCTAGTTGCTTCACTTCTGATCCAGCTCCCTGTTAATAGTTTAGGAAAGCAGCAGCAGATGGCCGGAGCCCTTAGGTCCTTGCCACCCAACACAGGAGATCCAAATGAAGCTCCTGGCTTCAGAGTGGCTCAGCCCTGGCCAGTGTGGTCATTTGGGGAGTGAACCTGTGGATGGAAGATTTCCATCTTTTCCCCCCTCTGTGACTCTGCCTTTTAAAAACAAACAAAACCCAACCCCAAATTAGCAGGTGGCAAGAAATGATCAAAGCAGAAATCAATGAATTGAAAAAAAAATAGATCAACAAATGAAAAGGTAGCTTTTTGACAACAAAATAGACCAATCTTTAACCACACTAACAAAAAAAGGAAAACTCAAAATTAGAGATGAAAAAGGAGACATTACAGCCAACTCCACAGAAATATAATTACTATGAACAACAATCTGGAAAACCTCAAAGAAATGGATAAATTCCTGGATACATATAACCCACCAAGATTAAATACACAGAAAATCTACACAGGCTTTTAACAAGTATTGAGCTTGAACCAGTAATTAAAAATCTTTCATCGGGGCCAGCACTGTGGCATAAAGGGTAAAGCAGCCACCTGAAGTGCCGGCATCCCATATGGGCACCAGCTGGAGCACCAACTGCTCCACTTCCAATTCAGCTCTCTGCTATGGCCTGGGAAAGCAGTAGAAGATGGCCCAAGTCCTCGGGCCTCTACACCCTCATGAAAGATCTGGAGGAGGCTCCAGGCTCCTGGCTTCAGGTCAGCACAGCTCCGGCCATTGCAGCCAATTGGGGAGGGAACCAGCGGATGGAAGACCTCCCTCTCTCTCTCTTTCTCTCTGCCTCTCCTTCTCTGTGTAACTCTTTCAAATAAATAAATAAATCTTTTAAAAAAAGTCTTACATCAAAGAAATGTCCAGGACCTGATAGCTTAACAAAACTTTTTTTTTTTATTTTGACAGGCAGAGTGGACAGTGAGAGAGAGACAGAGAGAGAAAGGTCTTCCTTTGCCGTTGGTTCACCCTCCAATGGCCGCTGCTGCAGCCGGTGCACCGCGCTGATCCAATGGCAGGAGCCAGGAGCCAGGTGCTTTTCCTGGTCTCCCGTGGGGTGCAGGGCCCAAGCACCTGGGCCATCCTCCACTGCACTCCCTGGCCATAGCAGAGAGCTGGCCTGGAAGAGGGGCAACCGGGACAGAATCCGGCGCCCCAACCGGGACTAGAACCCAGTGTGCCGGCGCCGCAAGGTGGAGGATTAGCCTATTGAGCCACGGCGCCGGCCTGCTTAACAAAACTTTTAAAGAACCACCAACTCCAATATTTTCCAAACTATTCCAAAATGATGAAAAGGATGGAATTCTGCCAAATTTTTTGAGCTAGCATTACTGTGATAACAAAATCAAAGTCACAACACAAAAAGAGAACCACAGATCAATATCCTTGATGAACAGATGCAAAAATCCTCAACAAAATACTAGCAAAATTAATCCAACACTCCATAAAAAAGATCATGCATTACAATCAAGTGGGATTTAACATTGGGATGCAAGGTGGTTCAACATTCACAAATCAATTATGTCATAAATCACATCAATAGAATGAAGAAAAAAATCCATATGACCAGTGTATGACATTGTCGGGTAGAGGGTTAAGTCACTGTCTCTAATGCCAGGATCCCATATGGCCATTGGTTTGAGTTCTGGCTGCTCCACTTCTAATCCAGCTCCATACTAATGTGCTTGGGAAAACAGCGGAAGCTGGTAAGACCCAAAACTATGAAACGAGGAGATGAAAACATGGGAGCAGCAGTCCGAGGCTCTGGTGAGGACAGTGCCAAAAGCACAGCAACAAAGGCAAGCTAGGTAAGAGGGATCACAAGCCAAGTTTCTGTACAGCAAAGAACACGAGCAACAGAGAAGAGATCCCTGACAAAATGGGAGAAAATGGCACCAATCTATTTATCTGACAAAGGATTAATACCCGGAATATATCAGAAACTCAAAAAACTCAACTAAAAGCAACCAACCCAGTTAAAATATGGACAAAAGACCTGGATAAACAGTTCTCAAAAGAAGTACAGATACATTTAAAAAAAATTCAATATCACTAGCCCTCAAGGAAATGTAAATCAAAACCACAATGAGACACCTTTTCACTCCTGTTAGAATGGCCATTATCAAAGACAGTAACAGATGCTGGTGACAATGTGGAAAAGGGGAACTCTTCTACACAGCTATTAGGAATGCAAATTAGTACAGCCACTACAGAAAACAACATAGTTCTCAAAAAACTAGAAACAGAACTGCCATATGCTCCAGCTTCTCACTGCTGGGTACTCAAAAGCATGTTTACTGCACACTGTTCACAGTAGCCAAGATATGGAACCAACCAAAGTGTCCGTCATCCAATGAATGGATAAAGAAAAAGTGGTACATTCACATAATGGAATACCACTCAGTCATTAAAAGAGTGATATTCTGTCATTTGCAACAAAATGTATGGAACTGGAAGACATCATGTTAAGTGAAATAAGCCAGACTCAGCAAGAAAAACCTCCAAGTTCTCCCATAAGTAGGAGTTTAAAAAAAAAAAAAAACGCTCACTCTGAACACAGAATAGTGACAACTAGGGTCCGGGAAGGGTTGAGGGATTGGGGGATGGAGGGATGGAGGGAGATGGGACACTGGGAACCAGATCTGAGATGGAAGGAGGAAGTTGCTGGTGTTACACAGCACAGTGAGGACACTGCAGTGCACAAAAACCTGGTCTATATTGCAGGAACAAATGAAAGAAGCTCCAAGCCTCCAATCATAAAGGAGTGTCAAAGAAAGGGAAATGCTGAGTATCTTGTTTTACACCACGCACACGTATTGAAATATCACACTGTAGTCCGTAAAATGTACAATCATCACTAAAAACATTAAAGGTAATAAAAATGAGTCATTTAGAATCATTCCTTGCTATTTGCAGAGGACTAGTTCTAGGACCTGCTGCCCCCTGCAACAGCGCTCCAAAACTGTCAGGTGCTTGAGACCCTCACCTAAACGGCACAGTATTTGCATATCACTCTGTACATCTGCTCATATACTTTCCAACATCCCTCGGATGACTTATAACGCCTCATAGGATATAAATGCTATGTAAAGAGTTTTTATATTGTGTAGGCAATAATGACTAGGAAAAAAGTCTAAACATGTTCGGTACATCTGCAAGACTTTTTTTTTCCAAGTATTTCCCACTGCAGGTGGCCTGGATCTACAGATGTGGAATCTAGAGATGGGGGAAAATAAAACTGTCCTTAAAATTCTGTTAAATGGGAAAAGCTGTATTAACAATAAATCCCAGCCAACAAAATTTATCTTCTCTTACTTTTCTTTCCTCTAACAAATACTAGTAACTTTTAGGTATAATGTTCTTATTCATCATAAATTTCCAATCAGTGCAACAATAATTCACTATTAATCTGATCTTAAGTTCTTTTTCTGATAAAATACAAAGAAAAAGTTTAGACAGAAATATGGATGCTAGCCAAAAAAAAGTTGTTTTGTAACCCCAGTAATAACAGGATCTAATAAACCTTATTTTAACTGGTAGGTTAAAAGAAATGAACTCTAAGCCCTTTCCAATCATTTTCACTGGTATCAGTAAGTATGAGGAATTCTGGTGTGCAGAATCTTGTGACACTTGAGAAATTAAAGTTGAAAGGGAAAGAGGTTTAAAACTGACAGAAGCAGGTACAAACTTACCTTGTTGCTGCCTAGACTGTATGATGGAATAAGATCTTGTCGACTTCCAGAGAGCTGGAGGAGAAACAGAGGGAGATTAGGGCTTTACGTATAAAAGCGCATACACACATGGCCCAGCAAGTGCAAGGTTTTGAAAACCAAATCAGCAGAAGTTAAAGTTGCACAGCAGCAGAGAGGTTGTCAAGACCGAGGCTGTAGACCAGTGGCCTTTGTTAAATTAAAAACACTGGACTGGGTTTGTATCAGATCTGGATAGCCTGTCTACGCCAAGCCAAGAACTGGCTGCAATTAGAGATGGTCCATCTACTGATCCCCTTCTGTTTAAAGGACACCAGGTTACTCGTTATCCTACCATGGCCTGAACTTACATCTCCTATCTCTGAGTATTAGAGCAAATATAAATTTGCAATATATTTAAATTATAGGTTCCCAAATACCAAGTCTCTACATTTATTGGTATATTATTTTATTTTAATTATTTTTTTATTTTTGACAGAGTTATAGACAGTGAGAGAGAGAGACAGAGAGAAAGATCTTCCTTCTGTTGGTTCACTCCTCAAATGGCCACGACGGCTGGCGCCACACTGGGACGAAGCCAGGAGCCAGGTGCCTCCTTCTGGTCTCCCATGCGGGTGCAGGGGCCCAAGCACTTGGGCCATCCTCCACTGCACTCCCGGGCCACAGTAGAGAGTTGGACTGGAAGAGGAGCAACCGGGACTAGAACTCGGTGCCCATATGGGATGCCGGCACCACAGGTGGAGGATTAGCCAAGTGAGCCACAGTGCCTGCCCCTATCAGTATATTTTTAAATGTTATTTTCTAAAGGAATGAGAAGATATTTACCTTGAATTAATGTGGTATTTCTGAGTATCTGGGAATGGTCCCAGTCATCCAGTGTGAGGTCACTAGTGAGGTCATTCAACAGTGATTTGGGGCCACATGGGCTATCAGGGAAAAACCCTTCCTGTCACTCTCCCCTTGAACGCTAAGGCTAATGGAGCTGCTCTTTGATATACATCCTTGTGTTGTGTCTTGTCTTGGTATGGAGTTAACACAAACGCAGTAATGTCATATTGACATCTCTATCAAAAATGAGGAAAGAAGAGATAAACCAAGGGGCCATGAGCACTTTTGCAAAGAATCCATTTCACATTTAATACGCACATGAATTACATCTATGTTTTAAGAAAACAACACATTTTAAGCCACCATTATGATACAAATCTAACATTTAATTCATTTATACTCCCCTGATGGCCTATAAGCAATGAATTTCTAAACCTAGTCCAGACTTCTTAACTGAAACATAATTCATTTAAGTCCAGAAAACACCTGCCTGGCTTTGGTTCAGTCCCACAAGCCTTCACTGAACACCTACAGTTTGTGCCAGGCAGTGGGGATAGGAAGACAAATGAGAAGCATCTCGAAGTTACTAGTGATGCTTCCCTGGTAGTATCAGGGGCAGCAGCAGAGGTATGCACAGATGCTGCGGGGTACGAACAGGCCACTTAAATCAGTCCAGGGCAGGAAGTGACGGCTGAGGTAAGATTTAAAAGGTACAGGGCATGCATGATCCAAGGACAAAGCAGTGAAAGGCTATTGTGGGCACAGTGTAGAAAGGGGAGTCCATGTACTCACTCTGTTCACATTTGGAGAACTAATACTCCTCCTATTCAGCTTCCCTTTTCCTGTTAACTGCTCCTTGACTGCAACTTCCTGTGCATCAGAAAATACATTTAAGAGACACATCCCAAAGGCAACCCTATCTCAAGGAAGCTTTGATCTCCCACTAATAGATGGACAAATGGCTAAAGTCACTCCGGATTACTCAAAGTTAATTACAGTACACCCTCCTGAACAAGGATGAAGAATGTCCAGCCCACAGGCCATGTAAGGCCTGCCAAATCATTTGGCTTGGCCCTGCCAAGGCAACCACAGGCGGGACTTGAAATTCAGTATGTCTACAGCAGGCTCATTTTTTAAGTTGATAATTTTGCATGCCCCCGGATGACATCACAAATACCCAAATGGCCCTTGGCAGAAAAAAGGCTCCCACCCCTGCGTTGGAAGTTCAGATGCAACAATATCGTGAACTGCAGAAGTCAAACCCAGATCAGGCTGGCTGAGGACGACCACTACCCACTCTATTTGCTCTTGGCTAACCTGGCGAAGACGATCTAAAGTCAGGAGGTTCTCCACAGCCAGCACGCTTCTGAGATATTTTTCAATATATGCCTCCGAGTCCGCAGAGGCAGGGTTTTCAACATTAGCTGCCATCCTGGCCAGCGCTTCTCGCTCCTCCACTCCCTGCGCATCCTGAAGAATGGAAAGTTGTATATGAAAACAAAGCACTCTGCAGAGGAAAACACCATAAAAGCTTCTGAATCTGCACACACACACACACACACACACAGTTCTGAACAAATAGAATCGATTCCACAGTCTCATTTTAAAATCAGCCTTTGGAACTCAAAATCCATGTACTTCCATTGCAAACTAAAACCAAACCAACATGAAAAAGAAACAATTACTGGCTAGAAAGGATTCTGTAGGCTAGCCAAAACTATAACCCTGGGACAGCAATGTTTTAGGAACCTATCACCCCGGGAACTCCTGGGAAGCAAGAGGGAGGGCAGAGAAGCTGGGTTAGTAGCTTCACGGGGGTGGGATCCCAACACCCTAGCAGGAAGCAGACTCAGGACGGAAATCAGGGGGAAGAAGGGCTAGGCTTCAGCCCTTGCTCCTCAGCAGCCTCCCGGGGTTCCATCTGCAGAATGAGACAGCTTCTACCACTGCTCTTGAGCCGCAGCTCTGGAGCCAAACGAGAAGTACAGGGTCAGCTCTCATTCCCTGTGCGTCTTGTACGGCTCATCCCTGCTCCTTCCATCATGAGCTGGCTCATATATAAATGGGATATTCACAAGTCCAGGAGGCATTTTATTGATGTATTTAATTATTTCAAGCAGATTAACAATTTATTCTCAGGGAAAGGCAGATTCTTTATTTACCAGTGAAATTCTCATAAAAATAGAAAAATTGCAAAACACATCCATATGCCAGGGCATCTTAAATGCCATCGAATATATAAGACAAAACAAATTTATAAGGGAAAAAATAACTGCCAATTAATTTGAAGATACTACTCATTATGGACACATTCCGACTTGAAACATACTTACAAATTTTTAACTCAATCTTAGAATAGATAAAATATGAGAGGATTTACAAGATGGCTTAAGTTTTCAAAAATTTTTGTCTCCTATAGTAATTCATTTGAGTCTTGCAATACCCGAGGAAGAAAAGCAGCATTCACTTCTGAGATGACCAAGGAAGGAGGGCACAGGATTAACAAAGGAAGCAAGAAGAGAACGCAGGTCTCCCTGCTCCTGGCAGAGAACTCTTCTCACCGCACAGCACAGAACACTTCTAGTGTCTGCAGGGAACACACGTTATCCTGATTTTGTAAGGAGACACATAAACGGCCTCTTGCTGCTCTGGCCTGAGACTGGGTCCCTTTGCCACTTCCCTCCTGGCTTCTGCGGTATGAGCACACAAGGAACTCAGGGCTTTTGTGACGAAGCCTGGCTGCTGAAGGGAGTCTCTACGTCGTTATTAAGTCTGGTCTTACACAGTAAGCTTTACGTTTCTCTTTTCCCTTTTCTTTCTCATCAGGATCTGCTCATGCAAAAATAATTATTTGTCAACTTACAGGCTTAGCTGATTAATAAAGGTCCCAATCATAGGAGGATATGTTTATCTTTAAGCTAATTCCCCCACATTTTTCCCATTTAACACACTATCATCTCAAAATGAAAGTACTTGTAAAAGAGAAAACAAAACTGCAAGTGGGACAGAAGGAGAGGTGGAGGGAGATGAGGAAAGACGGTAAATAGCAGTCACTGTTTCTCAACTTGAAGCCACTCACAGACTTCAAACATGCAACAGCATACAGACTGTGCAGACCCAAAGTGCAAACACCAAATCGCTAGAAACACATACTTCTGTTTTAAGCCTTGAAACAACAATGAATGAAGTGAGTGAAGCCATCTAGAACAGGGGCAGGTTAGGCTGCAGCTTGGGAGGCCCCCATCCCCTATCAGAGTGCTGGTTCAAGTCCTGGCTGCTCCGCTTCTGATCCAGCTTCTTACCAACGCGCCTGGAAGTGGATGACGGCCCAAGTGTCTGGGCCACCCTGGAGAATGGGATGGAGTTTCTGGCTCCTGGCTTTGGCCTGGGCCAGCCCTGGCTGCTCCAGCCATTTGGGGAGTGAACCAGTAGACGGACCTCTCACTTTCTGTCTCTCCCTCCCTCTCTCCCTTACACTCTGCCTTTCAAATAAATACAATATTGTTACCGCCTGCCTGTCTTCTTCTCTCAGTAAAAAGGTGTTGATAAGCTTTTCAAAAGACAAGTTCTTCTTCACCAAAACTTTTAAAGCCACAAGTACATTTTACTATAAATTACCATTGGAAATTCCTGTAAAAGTCGATAGCATTTCCCTAAATATACATTCTCTTTTCCCTAAATATACATTCTCTTTTAATACATATTTCTTGGGTAGGTGGCTTTTCAAGGAGCTAGATCTTTTTTAAGGGTTTATTTTTGGTAAATCAAGTTGCATATGATCCCTCACCTCTGGAATATTGGAGACGATTTCAAAAGTCACTCCACAGCCAGGAATAGAACTTCGATGAGACATCTTTTTTAGGAGACTCTGAGCAAAACCCTAGAGGGGGAAAAAAAATAGAAGATTTGGTTTCCTGCCTTTACTGAGCTTACAGTAACAAAGGGACAGCAAAAAGGATGCGGCATTCATTCCAACCAAAAGAAAACAGCCTATTTCCAACAAAGGAAACTGAGATCCAAACCACCCAATACAATTTCCTAGCTTCGTCCTGGGGCACAAAACCATTCTGGAGACCCACATTGTATGCCATGTCCTAACCTCAGTTCGTAATAAGCACAGACTCGAGTCTAGAAACTGGCACCAGGCATTTGGCTCAGCTCTGCCTGCATGCTACAGAAATAAGACTGTTGACTTCCACACAGTAAAATGACCTTCTAACTAGGATGTAAGCAAGCAGTGGTGATGCTCACTTTTCTTCCCCTCAGCACGATGGACATCTTGTACCATGAATATTGACAAGTTCAGGCATTAAATTCTTGACCAAAGCAGGATCATTATGAAGAATGATTTAAGAGTGCCTGGTCATTGTTTATGCTGACTGCGCTCTTTGCACAGTTAAGAATTGAACTGCTGAATTAATGCAGAGATGACTCATTTGAAGATGCTGCTAAGACTGAACATCCTGTGGAGGTTGAAAAGAGCAGTGATGAGGGTGGAATACAACTGGTGAATAAAGATAAGGAAAAGGGAGAAGAGGACATGGGTACTAGCTTTTTTCTCATCCAAAAAACAAAGCAGAAATATTTGAAAATTGCCTAAGAGAAAAATATATATTACATATTGAAAATATACATTACCCATTTATTGTTTAAACACTCAAAGAGTTCTTAAAAATTTGGCCTCTGGGCCAGTGTTATGGCATGGGTTAGGCTTGTAACACTGGCATCCCATACAGGGGTGCTGGTATGAGACCCAGCTGCTCCACCTCTAATCCAGCTTCCTGCAATGTGCCTGGGAAGGCAGCAGAAGATGGTCCATGTACTTGGGTCCCTGCCACCCTTGTGAGACCCAGATGGAGTTCTCAGCTGCTGGCTCCTGGCCTTGGCTTGGCCCATCCCTGGCTGTTGTGGCCATTTGGGTTGTGAACCAGTGGTTGGAAGATCTGTCTGTCTCTCCCTGTCTCTGTAACTCTGCCTTTTAAATAAACAACTCTTTAAAAAAAAGAAAAAGTATTAAAAATTTTGGCTTCAAAAACAGTTATTTTCATAAACCTAATAATTTATTTCATATTCAATGATCTTCAGTTAATTTGTACAAATATGTTAAAATCTCACAGTGCAAAGAGATGACTGATTTCACTCCTTTTCCCTCCATGTTAGCCCCACGGTGCAGAGCCACGGTTTTCTCACGAGCAGTGAAGGGCAGCATGGAGGCTACTGCCAGCTTAATTTTTGTTTCATATTTGAGTGGAAATAATGAAGCTGATTAGGCTGGCGCCGCGGCTCACTAGGCTAATCCTCCGCCTACAGCACTGGCACCTCGTGTTCTAGTCCTGGTTAGGGCACCGGATTCTGTCCCGGTTGTCCCTCTTCCAGGCCAGCTCTCTGCTGTGGCCCGGGAGTGCAGTGGAGGATGGCCCAAGTGCTTGGGCCCTGCACCCCATGGGAGACCAGGATAAGTACCTGGCTCCTGGCTTCGGATCAGCGCTGTGCACCGCCTGCAGCACGCTGGCCGCAGCGGCCATTTGGGGGGTGAACCAACGGAAAAGGAAGACCTTTCTCTCTGTCTCTCTTACTGTCCACTCTGCCTGTCAAAAATAAAAATAAAAATAAATTTAAAAAAAATAATGAAGCTGATTAGCCTCCATTAGGGTCATGTGGAAAGCCCTGTCCTTGCCATAAAGAAGAATAAAACTGAGAGGGAAAATGGCAGGCCTACAAATACTTCCAAGTCATTTCAACCAGGGTGACAAAGTGGCAACTCGTCCCTGAAAGGAAAAAAGCCCAAGGAGCAAAAGCTTGGTAGTTCGGGGCTCCACAGTTGAGTACTGGAGGGCTGGGGTTGTGCCGCGCTTCTCGGGGCCCGGAAGAAATGGAGAAGCATTCTCCAAAATGCCCCCCAGTTTTCAAGAGCAGCCTGTCTCTTCCAATCCCTTACAGACTTACGAGAAAAGGGAGATGGACAGCGAATGGGAGACACCCCATATACATCTATGGCTAGCCCTGTGACCTGGACTTTATTGATGTCGGATTGCCACGCTAAAGAGCTGCAATTTTAACAGCATTACCGCCAGTCTTCATTTCAAAGATTGATATCAGTGTGACATTTAGAACGAAGATTAATTTTTAGGGGTGGAGATTACATCTAGCAGTCCGTCAACCATGACTGTGCTCTTTTAAATGAAAAGATTTACTTTTATCTGCCCTGGCTTTAGTCAGTGTGTTGAGAATGCCTCAAAAAAGGGGAGGGCCAGACAGTGAAAAGGGATCCCCAGAATCAATCTCCCAAATCCTGCTATTTGCCAGGAAAGAGTTTAAATTCGCACTCAGAAGTTTCCCACTAAACCACTTTATGTGGCACAGGGTCCTTCATAACCCAGCCACAACGACACTGACAGCCACGTTCCTCGGCAAACAGCGTGCGTCCTGTCACACCGCGCTGGCCCTGGTGCCAGGCCTGCCCCACCCTTCCTTCCACGCCTCCTCTGCACTGTGCTCCTCTCCTCCTCCCTGAAGCCTCGGCAGTCTGAATCCTTCATTCCCTCAACCGTCGTCTCCCACACGCGGCGAGCGCCTGCGCCACGGCACCCATCGCGACACAGCAGGGGCCTGCCTGGGATGCATGCTTGCCCGCACACCTGGGAAGGACCGGGCCTATTCCTCAGTGGTCTCTGTATCCCAAAGCCAAGTGTGAGAAGCAGAGACTGGAAGGCAGCCCCACACTACGAACTGACAGCTGACCTGCCAGGAACTGCCTGGCAACAACAAAACACTGGACTCTCCCTGACAGGTCTCCGTGGCACCCACAAGAACGACCACAACTTGGGAATCTGCCCGAAGAGAGATTCAGCCTAAAATTTTAATGCAGTCTAGGAGAAGCTGGGAAGATGCAGTTGGATTACAGGACAGTAAACAGGCAGCTGAACAGGCAGCTGGGAAAGCAAAGCCCAGGGCTTCATGGACCCTGCTCGGACCCAGGCAGAACCATCTCTCCAAGGCCCTGCCCTTGTTAGGCCTGTGGGTAAAGTCATGTCATCAACTAGGATTAAAGCCTCACCTGCCGGCCATGCACGTTGACACAAATCCTTTTGCGTAGCACCAGCTGCATGTCAGCAGGATGGCTGAGCTGGACGGTCACGCGCACGATCAGGAACACTCGCTCGTCCCCAGGGGTGCCCTTACTGAGCTGGGGGCAGCTGTGCACTGCTGAGTCCCAGGAGGCTTCTGCTCTCACCTACGGAGAAGACAGACAGGAAACATGTTCTCCTTCTCCAATGAGGCAAAACTCTCCCCCAAGGAATCCACTGTGGCTTTGGCTGAGGGGCACAAGTAAGGCTGTCTCATAAGAACTGCCCTGAGAAAGAAGACGGGGTGTGAGCAGGTGGCCTTATACACCTCTGTCCAGGTAGCGCACAGCATGACGTTCTTGCTACCTGGCTGGTCTGCAAAATTATTCTACTTTTAAAAATGCCTGGCCGACGCCGCGGCTCACTAGGCTAATCCTCCACCTATGACGCCGGCACACCGGGTTCTAGTCCCGGTTAGGGCGCCGGACTCTGTCCCGGTTGCTCCTCTTCCAGTCCAGCTCTCTGCTATAGCCCAGGAGTACAATGGAGGATGGCCCAAGTGCTTGGGCCCTGCACCCGCATGGGAGACCAGGAGAAGCACCTGGCTCCTGGCTTCGGATCAGCGCAGTGCGTCGGCCGCAGCGCGCCAGCTACAGCGGCCATTGGGGGGGTGAACCAACGGAAAAGGAAGACCTTTCTCTCTGTCTCTCTCACTGTCCACTCTGTCAAAAAGAAATGCTCAAACATCAAGAAAAGTTGCAAAATTCTATCCCAGTGGGTTCCTGTATAGCTTTCATAAAGATTCATCAACTTGTAACACTTGGTCACTTTGGCTTCTTTCTCCTGGCGCATGCGCACCTATTATTCCTGAACCACTTTCAGGAGAGGGCGGACAACTATCACCTCCAGGAACCTGAACATACACAACAACGCTATTACTTATTAGAGTTCACTCTTGAGCGTCTCAATTTTTCCAAGAAAAACAAACTGCATTTGGTTGTCATGTCCTTCCAGCTTAATTTCCAACAGTTCTTCAGCCTTTCTCTGTCAATCTTGAAACTCTGACAAAGGGGAAGGGTAAAGGCACCGCATTGCGTGTGCCTAACTCCTCATTATTAGATTCAAGTTTTAGATCTAAGGTAGGAATAGCTCTAAGTGATGACACACCCGCAAAGCATCACGTCAGCTTTCCTTCCAGAATATGTTTTGTGGCTTAATTTTTCAAACATAATCAAAATTAGAGAATAAATCCACAAGATCGAACACTCAGAATCAACCATTAAAATCACAACCTTGATTTCACCTACTCTTTAGTTTTTTTCTTTTTAAACAAGTCTTTAGGATAAAGAATTCCAAAGCAAATCCCAGACATTGTGTACTTTGGCGGTATCCACTTCCATCTCAGGGATTAAGGATCACAGAATCCAGCTCCTGATCCCTGATGATCTGAACTACTCATCCCACTCAGATCCTTTACCGAGACAGGAAGCAGAACAGTGAATGGACACAATCTAATATTTAAGTTCCATCCTTTCTGGAAGTCATAATGAAAGGTTTTATGTATTTTGAGAAATGTACGCACTCAAATAATTATCTTGCTGATGATTTTAAAAGGCTCATGAAAAGGCTAGGGAAACTACTTTTTACCTGATCTCCCCAAGTTCTGTTTTTCTTACCTCCCCATCATACTGTTTTACAATCTGAAGTTCAAAAAACTCTTCCTCTTCTTCCCCGGTCAAGGTAGCATCCCATCCACCAGCTTCTGGGTCATCAAGATTATCCTGAGAGCTGAAATCATCAGCTAAAAGTGAAGACATTCCATTAAATACTGAGATCATTTTAAAGGATAACCCCTACCAGCTAAATTTCAATGTGCTTATTATTAAAATTCTTCTGCTTCAAATTTCATGTGCTTTTTGCTCTGAAATCTTACACAACCTTGATGACGACTATTCAATAGCTCACAGATCTTACAGAGAAAGTACCTCAAGAAATCATCTTATCCAATCTGCTATCGTCATGCCTTATTTTACCTGGAAGACGAATGAAACGAGGATACCAAAGAGGTTACCCAGGATCTGTGCATAAACACTAATGATAGGCTTATACCTCAACTCTCTACATTTTAGTGCCCTGAAGAAGTGATATGTAAGTGGCAGGAGTTCCAGTTATCTGACAGTTAAGTTCAAGAAAAAGATCAATTGGCTACAGGAGCAGGAAACTTAAGGGTCACACCAGAGCCTTGTGGTTATTCGGCTCTCAGCTCCCCACCATCTTAAGCTAGTGAGTGGATATCAGTGGTAGGTGGGCTTGGAACGTACACAATGTGAACAGGTCCTGACCGAATCTCCCAACATCCAGGTTTACACGTCTTCTTTGCACTCTCTTCCTACTTTTTATGCAATACTCATCCCCAACCGCACACAGACACACAGGCACCTCGCCTAGCCAAAAAGCCTGACATATGCATAGGGCAGAGTCACTCTCATCTTCAGGGTTCAAGAAAACAAGGCAGCATAGAGCCTTGTGGGAACACATTGAGAACAAAGGCCACCTCATTAGTTGGACAAAGGGAGTGGCTCAGTGTTAACCTAAATAGGAGGTGTCCATAAGAATGGGCTAGGAGGCATGAGGTGCTAAATACCTCCAATGTCATAACTCGCCTTCAGCGCAAAGAAAACTACCTAGGACACCCAAGTTGTCTATTTAGGTGAGTTCATTTTAACACATAGTTCTTCTGCAATGTATTAGGAGTTTAATTGCTGGCTTTTATTTTTGGTTCCCTAATCTACCTTTTCATTTTCTACTGTCCCACCCCTAGCCAGAGAACATGGGCAACAGGGTGTCAGAAAAAATGACAGCTATGCTCAAAACAAATAGGCAACGCAGCAATTGCCAAAAGAGGGAGATGTATTGGATAGGCTAAGAAAACATGCTGTGTACGCATCAGTAGTTACTCGTCCTTTCCACAAACATGTCCTTCCCTGTGAATTACAGAAGGCATATCTTAAATGCAGAAGAACATTATCCCCATCCGCAAGTGGTGCCACAAGAGCAAAGGCACAGCACTGTGGGGTGCAGCAAGCACCATGGTGAAGCAGATCCACTGCTGCTAGGAAGACCGCACTCTGACAATCCCGACTTTGGCCAGCACCAGAGTCGTGGGCACACGCAAAACTGACTCCCACCTGAAGATCAAAGAGTGGCCTAAAGATACATTTGGTTAGCCTCTAAGTGTTATTTAGCACTAATTTGCCAGGAGTCTGTCTTCATAAAACACCGCTGAGCTTACCGTTTAAGTCCAGGAATATAACAGGAATGTGGGTTTCCATCCCTGGCACTGGAGTCCTGAAACATAAAAAGTAAACAGTACCTCAACAGATTTCCCCAGAAACACAAACTTGGGACACAGCCTTAACACACATTCAGAGCCACTGTGGTCAAGGCAAGAACAACCTCAGGCATTGGGTATACTGTAATTTAACATCAGAGACATCACAAAGACTTAACTGTAGCAGCTGCTTCTCATGCTCTCATATAAGAACTTAAGTCTTATAAGACACACACACACACACACACACACACACACACCCCTCTGCTTATAGTCAAGTTCCCTATTTACACTTGCTTTCTTATAAAAGCACACTAGTAAGGACTCCATGTGGCTCAACTTACTGTTTTTAACTTCAATAAAGAGGCATACAACGCTTGCTGACTGCAGTCTAAGCCAGCACCAAAACCCAAATCTGGTGAGAATGCGATTTTCTTTTACGACTCATCAGTCTTTTAATGGAATGACCCAAGTAATTAACATATTAACTTTTTTAAATGCTGAGCATAGTGGTACTAAATATTGATTTTGATTCTCAGAAATCTTAATTACTTTGGCCAATAACAATATTATTTAATAAAACAGTTTTAGGCCATAGTCATTTCACTCATGAAAATAATTTAACAGTTCTCTTACTTCCAACAGCTTTGTCCCCTTAAACGGGAATGAATGTTCCATTCATTTCACCACACATCCAAACATCCACACTGCCAACAGGCAGCCTAGGGCGTATCTACAGCTTCCCGAGACATCCTGCAGGCTCATACCATTCTGCCGGGGCCCCCGGGATCCCACTGCCAGCAGAGGGCACCATCACCGCGTTCCTTTCCTCGGTCAGGGTCAGCCGCATCTCCAGGAGTTGTGCCTCGCGGTCAGCGTCATCCTCTGTTTTATCTACAATACCAGGAAGGAGGACTAAATATAGAAATCTCAGGCACCACTTCAACTTTTGTCCTCAGACTGGATTTACCTGTATTTCAGTTACTGGCTGCTAGCGCTTATTAGTGACAGAAAACTAAGCTGGACAGGTCAGGTGGGCTCTGGCAGAGGCTGCCCCCAGCTCACGGAAGGCCTTCCGTGGAACAGTCCATGGGTGAGTTGGTCCAGGGTGCAAAGACCCAGGCACTTCAGACAAGAAACGCTAGCTTCTGCCTTTAAGTTATCTTGGAGGGATGATACTTGTTTCACAGGCTGCATTTCTTCTTTGCTTGCTAAGGGGCGGGGTGGGAGGACCTATGGCAGCATCAGTACAGCTGGGTAAATGCTCATCTGAAAGGATGGTGCACTCTCTCACGTTCCTGCCATCCTCATGACCGACTTGTTCACTGGGCACCTAGTTTATGTGGCTACCGACAGGGATCCACTGTGCACTGACTTGGTGGACAGGGAAATACTGAACTTGCTTTTCCTACCATGTTTACTGACAAGCTTTTGGAGCTGCTGATCCAAGTACTCCTGACGTTTCGTTAATGCATTTAGCCATTTTCTACGTAGTCTCTCTAAATCGCGATCCTGGAAGAAAACAAGAGAAATCATCTTCAATGTCATGTCAAGACAATGTATCTCAACCTGATGCTCTATCTTACCTTACTCTAATACAAGGGGTCTTCAAAATGTCCACAGAAAATGCATATTACCCAAAATTTAAAAAAATCTAAAAACTAAGCATAGATTTCAATTTTTTTTTGCACCAAACAGGCTTACCCTTTAATTCTACTTTCCTATAAACTTTGTAATGCACCCTCACAGGCTTCAAAAACATCAAGTAATATACATCATTTCTTTATTACCACCACCAATGCACTCCATCTATGTTTCAGAACACAAGCTTTTAGAATTTAAAGTGTTCTTTCCTAGAGTGAGACTATTTCTGAAAGGGCAGGCTCTGGTATCCAGAACAAGTTTGATTTTTCATGGTCCAAAAGATAGAACATCACTTGAAATAAAGATCTAAAAGGCAATTTTTTTTTGGCCAGGCAGAACTTGTATCATTCAATAATTTTCAGATTTATAGACCTGAGAAACAGCAGAAGAATGCTTCAAAATTTGCGACCTGTCTCATTAGCCTCCTGCAGACTACACGGAAATGCTTCTCTTGGTTTTGTGCATTTTGGGGGTAAGAGCGGAGAGAGAATGGACTAGGCTTGTTATCAACAGAATAACAGCGCTACCAGTCAACACCTGCATACACGCCAGTCTTACTTCATTTCCTCTTATAATAAGGTTATACGACTGGGTAGGTCAGTGGAATGCTGCAGATGTCGAGTATCTGGATTTCACTAGGGCACTTAACCAAATAGCCTATGACATTCTTGTGGACAAGATGGAGGAACGTGAAATGCATCTACTTGAGTGAAATCACGGAGGAATCAAATATCACATCCAAAGAACTGTGATTGATGGAATAAAGTCAGCTTAAAAGAAGTCTCCATTGTGGTGCCATGGGACTCTGTCTTTAACCCTATCTGACTCAACGTTGTTATCTGTGACTTATAGGAAGACAGACACTTCTATCAAATTAGAGTGATGCAACTCCAGGAGAGTGACTATACTGGATGACATAATCAGGCTCCAAAGAGCTCTGACAGTCCTAAATGATGACTAACAAGATGAAAGTCCACAGACACAAACAAAATCTTGCAGAAGATTAGAAATGAAGGGGGAGGAGCGCCCAGAAACCCTGAATGACTTCAGGAAGTAAGGAAGAGAGACCTGGTTTAAAATATACAAACTGGTTAGGGCAGGACCCAAGCTCGGGGTGAGAGGACTGCACTAGGGGCAAGGCTGGCAGGTCCCCTCACAAACAGAACAAGTCTGAGGAAGAGCAGCTGGACAAAGAGTCTGGGGAACCCCGGGGTTGGAAAGAGATAACAGTCACAAATGATTTTCTGCTGTTAACATAGTTTGCTTCATGTTCTATGAAACAACACTCGTTGTCCCTTACTCTGTTTTAATCTCAGAAAAAGCAGTATCTGAATCAAAATTAATTGTTTAATTATTAACACGACAGTGAGATCCAGGAATGTGTAATTACATACTTTAATCAAGCTGATTTGATGAGGCCAACAGATGCTAAATTACCTGGTAGCTGTCCATGTCTTCCTCTTCCTCCTAAAAAACAAACACATGTTATAAACTGCTTATCTGAAAAACTGGCTGCACTGAGCAACCAGAATCATTCCCCACAATTTATATTTTCTAATTGATAGACTATGTCATCTCCCACCCCCTCACGGGGAGCTTCAGAGTTCTCAGGAAGCTGGAGGGAAACCTGGAGCTTATCACAGGAAAGTGAAGAACAGGCTTCTGACCTTTTCAGGACCCAGTACAATACTCTCCCTGCTGGGTTTATAGTCCTGCTCACTGGGGGAAATCAAACACCTGCTGGCAAGCAGTCTTTCCCAGCCAGTGGGGGGGCGCACAGAGGAGGGTGTGGAGGAGGTGATTAGGCACTGTGGAGTTTGGGGAGGCTCAGAATTTTTAACCCTCAGCTCGCCAAGTATGGGGGCAAAGCCTAGGAGTCTGGGGCAGTGATTTCATGCAAAGGTGATGTGTTTTAAAAACCAGGCATCACACTTCTTAAGAAGACATCAAAGGAAAGCAGAGACACAGACTGAATTTACTGATGACAGGAAGCAGCTTTCTGACAGCTTCCGTATTCCACAAGCAGGGGACAGGCACAGAACTTACGTGGATGGTCTCGTGAGCTTTAGGGGCTCTGGGCGGCCTAACTTTCACACAGCCAATGCCAACAGACAGTATACATTCTTCCATCAGTGGTAAAGTCCCAGACTCCTGCACAGACTTCACTTCAACTTGTACTCGCCGCGACTGGCCCTGGTCACACACAGATCATTTGCAGTTTTAGAGTAAGTTTTTTGACTTCTGAAATTTTGGTTTAGAGAGACCCCTACAGGCTGATGTTGAGAAAAATGCTCAGCCTTGAAGATATTATCCCATCTTTTGAATGTTAACTACTAAAATTCAAATTTTAAAACTAATTAGGAAAAATTATCTCCCTCTTGAGTAAATACACACAGAATAAAAATTTAGCTTACATATTTTTCAATGAAAAGAAATATCAAAAGATGACATCTTAACAGCAAACAGGTGGCCGATAAAAAAGTGTTCAGCTTACTGATAATCAAATAAAGACAAATTACAATAAGCATAACACACCTTTATTTTCACTTACTAAACAGTTATTGTTTGTAATTTTGCAATTTACAATACTGCCTGAGGTTTATGAAACAGGTAACTTCCTACCTGGTAGGCAGGAAATTAAATTGGCACAAGCTTTCTTCACAGCAAACTGACTTAAAAATGTAAGCATCATGTAACCCACAATTCAGTCTCTAGGAAACTGTTCTAAGGTTAAATAATCACACATCTATACAGAATCTGAAAGAGTGTAACACTGGTCCTAAATCAACTATGTTATATATAATGCAATAGTACGCAGTCATTAATATATTGCAATATAAAAGCATACAGGACTTAGTAAATTACATTACCAAGGTCAGCATATACCACATGACCTACTTTTAAAAAAATAAGCCACTTGAGTTAGAAATAAAGACTGCTGCTATCATGAAATCATAGTCCTGATCCCCAAATAGAAGTAATTTTTAAACTGCACACTGAAGAGCTGGTAAGAAGCTGATCCCTACGCACGTTTTCAGGATAAATACTAAGTGACTGTATATTTACAACAGCATTCCCAGCATTTGCAAATCACTGACTTCACACTTGGTTTATAAATTTTAGGATGGGAAAGCAGCATTTGAAAATGGAATTTAAATATTCAATTTCAAGTCGATATTCTTGCCCTCTTCCATCAGATTGTTGTTCCCAAGCTCTGCGTAATCAGGAAAATCAACTTAGGCAATCATTGGGCCTATCAAGCTACATCCTAATGGATAGGATACAGACGTCTTCCGATTTGATGTTTTCCAAGGACCATGCATCAGGTATGTTGTGGGAAAAGTACCTCAGAAGACATCATAATTGCCTAAAATAAGTTCATTTCCTACTAGTTACATTTTGTATATCCTGCTTGAGCCAGAAAGTGACAGATTCTGAAGGTGTGCCTGAGTGGGAAGCCTGTTCCTCCAGGAAAGAGTCAGGATAAGGATGGGGAGGGAAAGGAGAAGAGGACTGGAATGACTCCTGATTCCCCAGAAAAGCTCCGAGATGTCTGCAGGAACTACTGGACTGGAACGCTTGTAATTTCTGATATGTAACCACGTTACCTAAAAAAAACCCAGCAATTTTAACCTCAACAGTCGTGCTCTGCCACTTTCCTCTTCAAGAATAATATATCCTGATTTTCAAACAGATGAACCTGAAGTAAACCTAGCACCCAGGCACTCTGCACTGGCAGCCACGCTGCTGTGGCCTCCTCCTCTTCTGCTTTCCAGCTCTTCCTACATGAGATTTCTCCCCAAAGGGAACTAACTGCAGCCTGTTTTTATTCTTGCCACATATATAGGTACCAACCTCTCCAGACTCTGCAGGACTGTTTTAGTGTCCGAGTGAAAACACACATCCTCTAAAAGAGCCTGTCCTCATAAACTCAACCTATCTTTGAATGCTTTCAGTAAAGGATGTCACAAGCATGACAAAAACTTAAATATTCAGTTCAAATTAAGCAATGGAAAATTGGTGTTGTCTTCCAGCAGACGAAATTCTAAGGCAGTCAGGAAGAGATCTATACATATCTAACAGATGCCCAGAAAAAACTGTGGGGAGCAACTCGGACTAGACTAAGTTGCTGGAATTAAGACTTATTCTATGCATCTGCTCTCCCACAATATGGCGCTGGGAGAGGAGAAAACAGCTTCTACACAGCTGCCTCCAGTTCAGCCAATAAACTGTAGGACTTGCTCCTGATTGGAGGAGAGCAGCGTACTCGGCGTGTGGGCAGCCGAGTTGGGATTGGCGGAGGAGGACTATAAAGGAGGAGAGAGACGGCATGCACCAGGAACATCTAAGGGGAACACCTGTGCAGCCCCCGAGAGAGCCGGCCGGCGGTGTGCCGCTCCCCCGCGGAAGTGGGGAATGTGGCAGGGGGAACCGCCCTTCCACGGAGGTGGAAGGGTCGGTAGCCAACCCGGGAAGAACCAGCAGCAAACCCGGGGAGGGCCGAGAAGATAAAAGAACAGCGCAGGGTCCTGTGTCGTTCCTCCACGAAGAGGGGGAGCGACAAAAACATGTTCTTCACACCTTTAAGATTTCTACTTTGTATATACAAGCAAGTCTTGTGCTTTAACTCAAACTCATCTCCTTCTGCTGTTGCTTGCTCGTGTACAAATACACTTGCTAAAACTCATGGGCTGCCGTCAGAGAACTAGTGCTTTTCCCTGTCTTTCTTCTGAAACATAAATATCTCAGCAAGCATTTCTCCTTCCTTTAACTTTTTCTTATATTGAGCTTTGAATGCTTTCTGCATTTTTTTTTTTTTTGGACAGGCAGAGTGGACAGTGAGAGAGAGAGACAGAGAGAAAGGTCTTCCTTTTGCCGTTGGTTCACCCTCCAATGGCCGCTGCAGCCAGCACACTGCGCTGATCCGATGGCAGGAGCCAGGTACTTATCCTGGTCTCCCATGGGGTGCAGGGGTGCAGGGCCCAAGCACTTGGGCCATCCTCCACTGCACTCCCTGGCCACAGCAGAGAGCTGGCCTGGAAGAGGGGCAACCGGGACAGAACCCAGTGTGCCGGCACCGCAAGGCGGAGGATTAGCCTAGTGAGCTGTGGCGCTGGCCTCTGCACTATTCTAATATTCACTATTTTACTACTTTTTTTTTTACAATATGGAAAATCTCATAGATTACAACAGCCTACCAAATGCTGAGTTAATGTAAAGCACAGCGAAAAGGAGTATTATAAATGGAATATGCAAATGTACCGAGATTTCCACTCTCACTAGTAGCTGGCCATGTTGACAGTTCATGAGGTACCTAGGGTTAAGTACCCATCCCTTCCCACAGCCTCCATGAGGTACCTAGGGTTAAGTACCCATCCCTTCCCACAGCCTCCATAAGCCTCTGTGGTATGGGTTTTGGCTCTGATTCCTGTCTCGCCAGCTGCATTTATTTAACACCTCCCATGTGTCAAGCACTGTGCTTTATACACGATGTCTCTGTATCCACACAGTAATCCTATGAAGTCGGCATTATCATCTCCACCTTAACAAATGAAGTAGAGAGGCTTTGAGAGTTGCTCAGAGACATGTGACTATGACACAGCAGAGCCAGGACGGAGCCTTGCATGTTACACTCAAATGCCACGACACACAGCTTCAGGAATGTTCTAAATCTGCCATTCAAATCTAGGTTTTCCATTACAGCTTATCTTTGTCTTACTTAATGCTAATAGAAGGTGATTTTAAAATATAAATAGCAATACTTGTGACAAGGCAACAAAATACACATGAAGGAGATAATTTTAATAAAAGAAATTAACTTGGCCTATCTAGATTCCAGTATCAAACAGTTCTTCTAAAAAGAACCCAGGATTAAGTTTCCTGGTGCCAAATATTGTAATATAAACATTCACCATCTTGTTACCTGCCGGAGCTGGAAGATTCCTCCTGTTGGGACGTCCCTTGCAGAAATCACTTCTACAGGGCAGTATTCACCATTCTCATTCTGTTCTAAGATTTGGACCCAGAATTCCAATTTTCTGGTGACTTCACTCCATCTAAGAAACAGTTAGGCAGCTTAGGATCCTACCCATGAGAATTAACAATGACCTCCAACAAGAGCAATTCAGAAGAATGCTCTCTGCATACTTCAGTGAGTAACATACACATACATACAGTGCAGATTACGAAAGAGAAGGTTAAACTGACTTAGCACTGGAACTAGAAAGGGCTCCCTTATTTTGTTCAAAGAGATATAATAAAAAAAACCTATTTCAAAATGGTGATTCAAACCCAACACATTCTAATCAGATATACAGAAGCAAGTTCAGGGATAAACTTTCAGAGAGAAATAAAGGTGGCATCATTATGCCTCAGTGGCAAGCATTTTTTTTTCAGTAAAATAAAAAAATCATGGGAAAAAAAATCTCACCTTCTAATTTAGTAACTGCAAACATTTTTAAATGCAAAAAAAAAAAAATATGGTTCATTCCCTTTTAATTCTTCCATTTAAGTTACCAAACAAGTCTACCTCCCTCCATCACCGATGTCACTTAAAAGAACTCTGTGAAAGGACAATGTAAACATCAGTGCTACAGTGGACCTTGATCCATCCTCTCAACAGCCACTTAGAAATAATTCACAGTGATAAGTGACCATTCTCCAAAGATTCATTTTACTCTTGCTTTATAAACAACTGCTTTATTTATTTTTCTCCATCACAGGGCCAGCACCGGGGCTGACTAGGGTAATCCTCCGCCTGCAGCGCCGGCACCCCAGGTTCTAGTCCCGGTCGGGGCGCCGGGTACTAGTCCCGGTTGCCCCTCTTCCAGTCCAGCTCTCTGCTGTGGCTCAGGAGTGCAGTGGAGGATGGCCCAAGTGCTTGGGCCCTGCACCCCATGGGAGACCAGGAGCTCCTGGCTTCGGATCAGTGCAGCATGCTGGCCGTAAGGGTCATTTGGGGAGTGAACCAATGGAAGGAAAACCTTTCTGTCTCTCTCTCTCTAACTCTGCCTGTCAAAAAAAATAAATAAATAAACAGCTGATTTATTTTTTTCCCCATCACTCCTCAAGGCTCACTTCCTTAAGGAGCTACATGATTAATAACCTGCAGACAACATCATCTATCCCTGGAATACTGGTGATGCTCAAGAATTAGTATCCTTTGTAAGTGACAGTACTAATCTCTAGCCATTTCTTAGAATTATAATAGAGACCAATAGGTTTCTAAAATTCACCTGTCGCGAAGACTACGTGTTTTTGCTTGGATGATTCCCAAGTCCCACAGGGCTGGATTTCTCCGAGGATCATTCATTTTATGTCCATATACTTCAATTGCCAATGCCCCTTCCGAAAGGTGCTCAATGAAGTCTTCAGTGATGTTAACAGAAAATTCCTGAAACACAGTCGTTCATTTCAAAGAAGCAAACACTTCTTGGTAATCCAATGTTCATATCAGACACGATATATCATGTATATCACATTTACAATATAAATATGATATAAATGTATCATATATAGACTCAATCATACCATGGTGAAAACAGAAACATGTTTTAGTTAGAGAACAGATCTGTCCTTTAACACCCAGAATGAATGCTCGGAGAGCCTAAAGTTTTTTTTTTTTTTTTTTTTTAAGATTATTTATGTAAAAGTCAGAGATACACAAACAGAGAAGGAGAGGCGGGAAGCAGGGAGGGAGGGAGAGGAGGTCCTGCATTCGCTGGTTCACTCCCCAGATGGCAACAGCTGGAGCTGTGCCAATCTAAAGCCAGATGCTTCTGCCAGGTCTCCCATGCGGGTGCAGGAGCCCAAGAACTTGGGCCATCTTCCACTGCTTTCCCAGGCCACAGCAGAGAGCTGGATTGGAAGTGGAGCAGCTGGGACTCGAACTGGCGTCCACATGGGATGCCAGCAATGCAGGTGGCAGCTTTACCTGCTACACCACATGGCCAACTCCTGAAGTTCTTTAAAATAAGTACAACTCAACTTTTAAGCACTTTTCATCTGGAAAGTCTAGTATGTAACACTAACACCATATTATTCTAGTGTCAAGAATACCTTTTGGAGCTATTTTTAAAAGTATAGTTAATATACTTACACAGTTCTATTAATATTTATATGGTTATGTTAAGTATTACAACAATGATCTATAATGTCTTGATATAGAAATTACTAGAATGAAACAAGGTAGTATCATGCTATGAAAAGTTTTTTCCAGTCTTTAGGAAGTTAACTCTAATAAACAGGAGAGAACGAAAATAATGATCACTAGAGTAAAAACATCACCTAATTTTTAAAAAGTCTCTCAACTTGTCCATCTTCGCAAAACAGCATTTTCCAACTAGGATTTAGCACAAAAACAGTTTATTAAAGAGCCGTGGATTTTTCTGTCTCTGGCAGAGTCTCCCTGTTATTTCACTCAATCACTCACTAATGGGCAAAAGGTACATCTCTGTTGTAAACAAATCAGAAAGAGATCTATTTCTTGAAAACAATGAAATGGACCAAATCTGGTATGTTAGCAGAAAGCAGCCCAGAACCTGGCAGTCCATGTCACTAACCAGGGGCAAACTACGCCCTCTGACCTGGTTTACTTGCAAAATGAGCAGTATCGTGACATCCAAATGCAGCAAGGACCAAAGAAGATAGTAACAACACGTTAGGCAGAGCATCAGATGTTTAATAAAGTTCTTGTCTGCTATGTATCTCCTTTCTCTAAAACACTAGTTCAACCTTTTTAGATCATTTCTCCAATAATCTAACACAAAACAAGGATTCCCTTTGAAGCAGAGTACCCATATATGAGGATACTTCAAAAAGTTCTTGAAAATGGGAAAATATAATTTTATTTGGGGCAAAAAAAATTTTGAAGTCCACGCAGGTTTTCAATAGCATGTATTTTTCATGAACTTTCTGAAGATTCCTTATATGCACGGATTTCAAAATTTTTTGTACCAAAATACACTTAGCTTCTCATTTCATTTTTCCACAAGCTTTTAGAGGTACCACAACCTGAAATACATAAAAACATATAAATCTATATATACACACATATATATTTTCCCCACACACATGTGTTAACTTTAAATTTGGGAGCAGTTAAATGCATCGATACTTTCTGACTGCATCCCTATTCTCACCGTCTGCAGTGCTGGCATTCCATATGGGTGCAGGGTTTGAGTGCTGGCTGCTCCACTTCCAATCCAGCTCCCTGCTAATGGGCTTGGGAAAGCAGCAGAGAATGGCTCAAGTCGCTGGGGCCCTGCACCCAAGTGGGAGACCTCAAAGAAGCTCCTGGCTCCTGGTTCCAGCCCCAGCCATTGCAGCCACTTGGGGAGCGAACCAGTAGATAGAAGATCTCTCTGTCTCTCCCCTCTCTGTGTAACTGACTTTTGAATAAATAAATCTTTAAAAATAAAAACAACTTCTGTTCTGAGACTATCTCTTGGCACAGTTATTCCGCAGAGTAAGGTTCAGAGTTGTGTTTGGTCTGTACACGACTAATTTAAATGTTCACCTGGTTTGGAAAAACAAACTCACATTGCAATGATCAAAAACAACCATGCAGTGAGGTTCCTTGCTGGCAGCAGAGGAGGAGGTGTCCACTTCAGGTGCGACCATGACTGGCTCCTGCTGATCCCAGAAGCTGTATTTGCAGAATACAAAGTGGGACAGGTGCTGCGGCAGCCCAGTGGCTTGGAGTATCTTAACCTGTAAGGGAAAAGCAAGCTCAGTTTGTTTTTTAAATCAGAATGTTCCAAGAAGCAGTCTGAATCAGAGGTATCAGTTCAGGTTCTGACTATGTCACTACCCACTGTTGGTTTATGCTAGCAAAATCCCATTCATGCTGGGACTGTGTTTTAGTATGTGTGAAACGGGGCTAACAACTGCCATATTTAGTGAAAGGCTTAATACAGTGACAATGACCTTGATGACAAAGATGGCTGTTGTAACATTCTAGAGGCTGAAGAACAGCACTTAACATCTGCTTGTGTATCACAAAATAGTAGGAATATATATAATCAATTCAAATGAAAACAATTCTGTCAACACCACTCACTGACACATCTGACTAGCCATGGATGCCATATGAACACAACAACTACGGATGAAGAACGAAGTCAGTGTATGTGACTATAAACAACAAATATTTAGGAAGGAGCAAAACACGTATGTGATGTTTTAAAGTATAAAGAACTGAGAACACACGTAGCAATGATACACACTACAGCCGCATTTTGCAGACACCTTCAACGGCTCTGGGAATGTGGGTAAGTTGAAGATCCAGAGAGGAGAATGCAGGGAAGTGAGGATGGTGAGTGTTTACCATCCTCTGCGCCTACAATTCCTGAATGCTTCCTTATGCAGATCAAGGGAACAAATGATATTATCAAAACATAATGCAATTGGAAATATGTACCTATTCAGACCCAGCAGAAATGCCTGAATCAGATCTCAGAGCACCCAAATATTCTTAATATTTCTTTTGCAAGGCAGCATCAGTATGGCTTTTTTTTAAGATTTATTTTATTTACTTGAAAGACAAAGTTACAGAGAGTGGTAGAGACAGAGAAAGAGGTCTTCCATCCACTGGTTCACTCCCCAGATGGCCGCAATGGCCGATCAGAAGCCAGGAGCCTCTTCCGGGTCTCCCACATGGGTGCAGGGGCCCAAGGACTTGGGCCATCTTCTACCGCTTTCCCAGGCCATAACAGGGAGCTGGATCACAAGAGGAGCAGCCGGGACTAGAACCAGCACCCATATGGGATTCTGGCGATTCAGGCCAGGGCTTTAACCATCTGCGCCACAGCGCCGGCCCCAGTATGATTTTTAATTTGGGGATTTCTGTGATAACTTTAAAACTACTCCAACTTTGAAGAAAACCAAAGCTTTAGTTAATTAAGTGATACTAAATTCAGATTTTGTAATCAAGCCCATTTCCACATGACTGAGTGCTGATCATATGTTATATTCTCCACCTGGTCACTTTCTGCGTGGTATATGAGTTAATCCACCTGCAGCAAATGTAATGAAATTTTGAATTTCATGAACATAAATTGGAACATGTGGCATCAGTTTATGCAACTCACCAACCACAAATATAAGCTTAGCATTTCAGGAAGCATTAGTGATGACACAGACAATCACACCAAGCAGATGACTTTATTTTCTTCCATACCAGGCACATAATGAGTGAACATCAAATGGGAACCCTCCTTATAATTTGCTTTTTTCTGTGATGTCAACCAGAGTTTGAAACATCTAGATAGCAACTTCTTGACACGCTACAAAGGACAGACTCACTAACATATCTTGCTCCTTCAAACCAAATCGAGCAGTTTAGTATTCTGCAACTAATTTTTCATGACTTTATAAAAACTATCTTTTTTATTAATGCTTAAAAATGTTTATTATATTCTTTAAGATAAAGCAATGTGCTGGGGCTGGTGCTGTGGTGCAGCAGATAAAGCCACCACCTGTGATGCCGGAATCCCATATGGGTGCGGGTCTGAGTCCCGGCTGCTCCACTTCTGATTCAGCTCCTTGCTAATAGCCTGGGAAAAGCAGCAGAGGATGGCCCAAGTGCTTGGGAGACCTGGAAGAAGCTCCTGGCTTCAAGCCATTGCGGCCATTTGGGGAGTGAACCAGCAGAGGGAAGATCGATGAATCTCTCTCTCTCTCTCTCTCTCTCTCTCCCTGCCTCCCTCTCTCTCTGCAACTCTTTCAAGTACACAAATAAATCCAGAAATAGAATAAACAGATGATAGAATGTGATATTTTGGAAGATTACAAGATTCTGGAGTTATATAGAGGGTACTTGAAAATGTTCACTGAAAATGAATGAAAAGTTATGATTATTTTGCTGCCAACACATAGTTTTCTCATAATATGTATATTCAAGACTTCTTGCAGATCTAAATAGAAATCGCTGCCATTTATCAGCTTGTGTGCAGGTGCAAATTACTTAAATTCTTAGTTTTCTTAGGTTTACAAAAATATTAATAACTATAATGTCTATATAAATTAAAGATAAAAATAAAAATAAAGATGAAAAACTACCTGTTATGTTGGGTGTGACTAAGGTTTTAAGCAGACAGTCAGTACACACTTCTTTGTGACTGAATTCCACCTGAAAGTTATTTTTTCCTATGCAATTTAATCTCACTTTCAAAGTTGACATAAAAAAGGAACAAGAGTTAACATATTGTACTCTCCTTTATATAGACAAGTTCTCATGAATAAAGAACAGCAGGAATGAGGCATTTCTAAGTATCTAGAACACAGGCTGTTTTGTGTTTTAAGCTTTTGCATCTGTACACGCAAACCACCACAAGGTGTCAGAAGACCACAGACTTCAACTCTAAGCTGCCCACGATCCAGCAGCCAAGGAATGTCAGCAGGCACTGGCCTGGCTGGGGTTTCAGAATATGCTAACTTTACTTAGTACCACTGAAAATGTGTATGTGCATTTTTCTTTTTTAAAAGAAAGCTTTTATTAAATAAATTTCATAAGTACAACTTTTGGATTATAGTGGTTCTTCCCCTCATACCCACCCTCCTACCTCCTACTCCTTCTCCCATCCCATTCTTCATTAAGATTCATTTTCAATTATCTTTATATACAGAAGATCAACTCTATACTAAGTAAAGATTTTAACAGTTTTCACCCACACAGACACACAAAGTATAAAGTACTGTTTGAGTACTAGTTATACCATTAATTCTCATAGTACAACACATTAAGGGCAGAGGTCCTACATGGGGAGTAAGTGCAAAGTGACTCCTGTTGTTTATTTAACAATTGACACTCTTATTTATGGCATTAGTAGTCACCCAAGGCTCTTATCATGAGTTGCCAAGGCTATGGAAGCCTCTTGAGTTCACCAACTCTGACCTTATTTAGACAAGGCCATAATCAAAGTGGAAGTTCTCTCCTCCCTTCAGAAGAAGGTACCTCCTCCTTTGATGGCCCCTTCTTTCCACCGAATCTCACTTGTATGTGCATTTCTCATCAAGGAAAAATAAATGCAGACTTTTTGTGGGCCAGTGATAGTCATCACTTATGATATCTTAATACTTTCCAAGCTGGTTTTTTTTTTTTTTTTTTTTTTGGACAGGCAGAGTGGACAGTGAGAGAGAGAGAGAAAGGTCTTCCTTTTGCCGTTGGTTCACCCTCCAATGGCCACTGCGGCCAGCGCGCTGAGGCCGGCGCACCGTGCTGATCCGATGGCAGGAGCCAGGTACTTCTCCTGGTCTCCCATGGGGTGCAGGGCCCAAGCACTTGGGCCATCCTCCACTGCACTTCCTGGCCACAGCAGAGAGCTGGTCTGGAAGAGGGGCAACTGGGACAGAATCCGGCACCCCGACTGGGACTAGAACCCGGTGTGCCAGCGCCGCAAGGCGGAGGATTAGCCTAGTGAGCCGCGGCACTGGCACCAAGCTGGTTTCTTCCGGATTTTTTCCACCAGTATTTTGTTTACTCTCACAGTTTACCTGTCCTCATCTTTTCTAAATAAAAGGCCATCACATGCCAGAGTATGGCCTCTAAAAAATCACTTCCTACTCAAAGAAATCATGTTCCTTGGAGAAATGGCTGATTCCAGCTCTCCGACAGGAGGTAGGTAAGATAAAACCAGAGTGTTCATCAGACCAGAAAGCAAGCAAGCAGCCACAGTCAGAGAAGACAGCCCTGTCAACAGGGCTCAGAGCCAAGTCGAGTGGCTCCCACTAGCCAAAGACAGGATTGTGTGAGCGTCAATACAGGTAATGGATATTAAGGATTGAAAAACACATCTATATAATATTAAGTCCAAAAGAGTTCAGAATGATATTAAGAACAAAACAAAAAAATGTCTGGTTACTTTTTGGAAAGTCAATTCTGCATTTTGAAAATTGGTAAATGAAAATTAACTAAAATTGGTAAATAAGAGATTGGAGCTTTTTTTTTTTTTCTTTTTTTTTGGGCCAGGCAGAGTTAGACAGTGAGAGAGAGATAGAGAGAGAGTTATAGACAGTGAGAGAGACAGAGAAAGGTCTTCCTTCCACTGGTTCACTCCCACAATGGCCGCCACAGCCAGCACTGCACTGATCCAAAGCCAGGAACTGGGTACTTCCTCCTGGTCTCCCATGTAGGTGCAAGGACCCAAGCACTCGGGCCATCCTCCGCCGCCCTCCCGGGCCACAGCAGAGAGCCAGACTGGAAGAGGAGCAACTGAGACTAGAACCCGGGGTGCCAGCACTGTAGGCAAAGGATTAGCCAAGTGAGCCATGGTGCTGGCCTATCCCGCATTTTCTATATAAACTATCTCTGATGAGCAAATTAGCTGTTAAGTGGATGGGTGTCTGTATACAGGTATTCTAGCTCATAAATGAAATGACAACAGAATGAAACAATGCATCTGGGTAATAAGCCTCAATGGCTGCTAACATCCTCCAAAGAGCAACAGCCAGACGTTGTGTGCCTGGTGATGGGAGTAGACACCCCCACCTATGCAGCAACCTTGACCGCCCATTCCACCTAACAGTTTACACCTAACCACCAACTCAGAGCAATCACTTTTTTTTTTTTTTAACACAGATTTATTCATTTGCTTCCAAGTCAGAGTTATGGAGAGAAAGAGACAGAGAATAGTCTTCTATCTGCTGGTTCGCTTCACAAATGACCGCAACGGCCAAAGCTGGGCCAATCCGAACTCAGGAGCTTCTTCTGGATCTCCCACGCAAGTGCAGGGGCCCAAGGACCTGGGGAATCTTCTACCATTTCCCAGGCCGTAGCAGAGAGCTGATTGGAAGTGGAGCAGCCAGGACTTGAACTGGCACCTATATGGGATGCTGGCACTACAGGCGGCAGCTTTACCACTATGCCACAGCGCCAGCCCAAGCAATCACATCTTAACATGGTAAGCAATCCCAGCAGAATCCAGACTATGAGAAACTACAGGCAATGGCCCACTTTCTGCAGGAAATGAACTGCAGGGAAAAGAAAGGAAAAAAAGATAGGATGAGCAGGAGAGTGAGAATGCAGGGGAGCGCGGGCACACAGGAGCCAGAGCCTCGGGACTAAATAGAGCCTAAGACCTAAGAGACACATCAATCTAGACCTTTAAGGATACTATGAAATTATTCATGTGATAATGATACTACAATCATACTGGGTTTTTTTCAAAGTATTCATCTTTTGGAGACCACTGTGACTGCTTCAAACGATCCCAAGGGAGGGGCATCATGGACGTGGCTCAAGTACATGGCACAACCAAAGCAAAACTGGTCAGGAGTTGATCACTGTAGAGCGCACAACAGGGAGGGGGCAGGGAGCAAAGCCCCCCCCCCCTTTTTTTTTTACTACTTTCATATGTTTGGTATTTTCCATTTAAAAAATCTTAAACTATTTTAAATTCTTTTTTATAAAAGTCCATGTAACCCAGGATATATTCTTGTGTTTTCCAGTGGCAAAAATAAATTTCTGAAGAGAGGGTACTCTTGCCTGTTAATAAAAGCTGGTTTTCAGAGTTGCATTTACTAAAGCCCATCACCTTTCAAATGGCCCTCATAGAGTCAAGCCTATGGCTCCATCTGATAATCATAGAACCTCAAAGGAGATATTCTAAAATCCAGTACAGACCATAAAGATGAACTTTGTTGTTTGGTGAATTAAGATCATTCCCCATCATCCTGAAGTAATTGACTTAAACACGTGATACCTTCTTAATTTTTGCAAAGGCTGCAGAAACGAACCCAACTCTACCTTCCTCCTACTTGGCAGCTAATGCATAACTTCTTCCTTTCATCATCAACTTCAATTCTACAAACACTCATGAAGAACACTGAACGTAGTACATTATGCATTAAGAATTAGGTTTGGGGCTGGCGCTGCGGCTCAACAGGCTAAGCCTCCACCTGAGGCACCAGCACACCGGGTTCTAGTCCCGGTCAGGGTGCTGGATTCTGTCCCGGATGCCCCTCTTCCAGGCCAGCTCTCTGCTGTGGCCAGGGAGTGCAGTGGAGGATGGCCCAAGTGCTTGGGCCCTGCACCCCATGGGAGACCAGGGGAGGCACCTGGCTCCTGGCTTCAGATCAGCACAGTGCACCGGCCGCAGTGGCCATTGGAGGGTGAACCAATGGTAAAGGAAGACCTTTCTCTCTGTCTGTCTCTCTCACTGTCCACTCTGCCTGTCAAAAAAAAAAAAAAAAAAAGAAAAAGAAAAAGAAAAAGAATTAGGTTTGGGGCCAGGACTATGGCGTAAAGGGCTGGCATCCCATAAAGGTGCCAGTTCAAGTCCCGTCTGTTTCACTTCCAATCCAGCTCCCTGCTAATGTGCCCAGGAAAACAGCGGAGGATGGCCCAGGTCCTTGGGCCCCTGCACCCATGTGAGAGACCCAGAAGAAGCTCCTAGCTTCAGCCTGGCCCATCTTTGGCCATTACAGCCTTTTAGGGAGTGAACAAGCAGATGGAAGATCTCTCTGTCTCTCCGCTCTAACTCTGCCTTTCAAATCAATAAAATCTTAAATAAACAAATAAAGCTTAGGGAGGCAATGTTCCAGCACAACAGGTTAAGACGCTTACAATACTGGCATTCCATATCAGAGCATCTGTTCAAGTCCTGGCTGTTCCACTTCCAATCCAGCTCCCTGCGAGTATGCCCGAGAAAGCAGTGGAAGAGGACTCAAGTGCTTGGGCCCCCGTCATCCATGTGGGAGACCCGAATGGAGTTCCTGGCTTCAGTCTGGCCCAGACCTGCCTGTTGCAGACATTTGGGGAATAAACCAGCAGATGGAAGATAACATCCTCTGTCTCTGTCTCTCTGTCTCTCTCCCTCTCAAACAACTAAGTCTTTTTTTTACAAGAGAGGGAGCTGAGTTTAGGCTTTCTTTCCTTGGCCCTTTAATGGCCTCCTTCTAACTTCCGCAATTTTTCCCCGTGTCCCTGGTTGACTTCTTACCCTCAAAACCCTTTTTAATGGTTTCCACAGGAATTCTCAACTAGTGGCAGTGCTGTCCACAGGGGATATTTGGAAATGTAGATTTTTGCACTGCCACAATGAGTGGGGAGTGCCAGAAATGCCATGGCCTCCCTAGCAATCACCCATGAAAACCTACAGCAGCTACAGAGTTCTTCCCGAAATCTTCCTCAAAGCCTGCTATCTGAAGTCACGACATCTGGTCCCCAGCTCTACACACAGTGCTAGGATCTCGGGTACATCTGTTTGCCTCTGGTATCTGAGAGCTCACGGGAAACACACATTTCACAACTGGAATGCATGGCAACAGCAGAACTAAAGGGTCTGGCATCGGGCCATGTGGGAACAACACAGGGAACACCGTAAGAAAAGGTATTTGTGTGGTGAAGCCATGAGGAGTGACGAATGGGAGTGGCTTAGGAACAGGGTGAGTGCTGGGATAAACCTCCAGCTTCAGGAGGAACTAAGAGCGCCCAAGATGAAGAGGAAAGTGGTGTGAGAATCTGGGTTTCTCTACAGAGAAATGTGAATCAACAGACCCACATTACAGAAGGGGTGACTTGTCCACAGCGTCTGAGTCATGGACTTGAAGCCACCACACCACTGTTTCAGGATCCATGGACAAAACATGGTTTCTAGAAAATTAAAGATGTGTTTACAAATACTTTCAAACTCCAGGTAAGAACTCAATAAATATTTATATTTATATATACATTGAATATATATATATATTGAAATATATATATTTCAACTATTCCAAAATACGACTGTGACTCACCATGCACACCAGCTTGTTCTCCTGGGCCTCCTTCTCAAAGGATACATCTGTGGCCTCATCACCACCTGCAATTCTTTCCCCAATTTCACCACTGATTCGCATCACCTCTACGTGCAGCCGACCTGCCACCTAGAGCAATAGGAAAACACAGCTCTTCCAGATCTGGTTCTTTCCTTAAGATGATTTCTGCTTTAAAGTCATTATGTTAACAGTACAGTGGTCCTCTAGTTTCCAATCAACTGAACTAGAACCCAGTGGTTCCAGTTATCCAATCAACTGAGGTTCAAAAATACTAGATGGAAAATTCAAGAAACAACTTCTAAGTTTCAAACTGCATATCGTTTTAAGTTGTGTGATGACATCTTGCACCATCCTGCTCCATCCTACCCAGGATGCAAATCCCCCTTTTGTCCTACGTAACCACACCACATGTGCTACCCATCCACTAGTCACTCAGTACATATCTAGTTACCAATTCCACTGCTGTGGTATCACAGTGCTTGTGTTCAAGGAGCCCTTCTTTTACTTAACAATGGCTCCAAAGCACCAGAGTACTGAGGCTGGCAATTCAGATATGCTAAAGAGAAGCCACAAAGTGCTTCAAAAGGTGAAAGCAAACAACATGTTTTGAGAGAGACCACATTCACTTAACTTTTAATATATTGTTACACTATTTTATTAGTTCTCATTGTTAATCTCTTACAATGCCAAATTTACATATTAAACTGAATCGTAAGGTATGCATATTTATGTAGGGTTCAGTGAGTGCTAACTGCAATTTCAGGCATCCGTTATGGGTCATGGAACCTGCTTCCCAAGGATAAAGAGGGACAACTGAAAGGAGAATTTAGAAACCTAATGGTTACTCTCTCCTCAAAGCCCTATGGAAATACAAGGTACGAATAATACACTTCACATATCATTTGCCATTACTGAAACAATGTAACAATATACCATAAGCACCCTATTGTTTTTTGAACTGTTCCCTGCAGAAAACAAGGTCTGAAGAGAAAACCCACCTCTCCTTTCTGGTTGACAATTGGCACAGCATATTGTAACTTCACATCATAAAAAAGGGACTCTAGGAAAACATTGGCCACCCCGATGAGGCTGTGATTTTCCTGCTCATCATAGAATGGATCAGCACGCTTGAAGTAAGAGCGTATTACCTGTAGAGATTAGGAACATACAACTTTAGAAGAGTCACTTAAAGTAAAGGAATTCAAGCTGTTGCTTTTGGACACACTCCAGTTTTAGTCAGCAGACGTCACTTTCATCACTAGACCTTAACTCAGATTCTCAGATTTGTTTGAGAGTCAGAAGCTCGGAGAGACAGGAAAAGACACAGAGAGACAATTTCCACCCACTGGTTTACTCCCTAAATGGCCACAAGCCAGGAGCTGCATCCAGTTCTCCCACAGGCATGGCAGCAGAAGTGGAGCAGCTGGGACTCAAACTGGTGACCATGAGACATTGGCATCACAGGCAGTGGCTTAACCCACCACGCCACAATGCCAGCCCCAACTCTTGTAGTGTTTAGAGTAAATCAACTTATAGCTAAAGTACAGCACTGGAGCCAGCACTGTGGCACAGAGGACAAAGCCAGCTGCTCCACTTCCAATCCAGATCCCTGCTGATGGCCTGGGATAAGCAGCAGAAGATGGCCCAAGTGTTTAGGCCCCTGCCACCTATGGGAGACCTAGATAAAGCTCCTGGCCTGTTACAGTCACCTGGGGAGAGAATCAGTGGATGGAAGATCTCTGTCTCTTCCTCTAACTCTGGCTTTCAAAGTAAGTAAATAAATCTAACAACAATAATACTAGAGAACAGCACCGTATTCTTCATTTGCATGGGCACACACACACTTCCTCATTCCCACTCAGGAAGGTGGTCAGCATTCTTCACCCACTCAAGGGCAGTCCCAATGACGTGTGACCAATTTATCACTACTCCTCTATGTGGAAATCTTGCCGCAAAAACAGTGAGGCAGATATTGGCTAGAAAAAAAAAGCAGAGTGGACCACACTTCCTTTGAGGGAAGAGGGCCCTTTCATGTCTGTCCCATTTCCTGCTACCCAATCATTAGACACACTCCTACTGCTGCAAATGAGGGGTGACCCTGGGGGAGAGTGGATGCTTCTCTGCATTTGTTATTATGGCTGTTTTGTTTATAAGCTGAAACGGCAGAGGAATACAGAAGAGAACAAAAAACATTTTAAGCAAAAACGTCACCTATCAGAAGTCATCGTCATTGATGGTCATCTGGAAAAACACACCTTCTTATGAACCAAGAAGCTAGTCAACATGTATGCAGAAACAGACCAGCAGTACTCAAAGCACATTCCTATTTGAAATATGCCAAGTACACGGCTGACCTAAATGACATACTGCAATGTGAGAAAACAATACCAGCATACAGATCGATGGCACCTACTTTAAGTCAAACTCCTTCAAAAACTGATCCCAACAGTGAAAATCTTAAGGTTAACACTGGTGTTCAATTTTAAAAACGCACGCTGTAGGTTTATCATTTGTAAGATTCAATGTGCTGAGAAGCAGGGAAAATGTCCTTTCACAGAACACACGCACACACGCACACACGCGCGTGCGCACCAGCAGAGGGCAGCATGAAAAGCAGACACTTCTGCTAGAACTACAGACCAGAAACAAGGAGAGCACGTGCCAGAAAACCAGTTACTAAAGGTCTTAATTTGCCAAATAATCTAAAGAATTTAAATAAATTTCACTGTAGAAGCAGGACTACCACTTGGAAAAATGAACTCTCTGCCCTTGGAGTGAGTGGGCTTGTTCCTCCTCTGAGTGCCAGCTCAGGAATTTTTCTAAAGTAACTTACAGGAGTATCTTCTTCACATTCCTTCCACTCCTGGTAAAGGTCTCGCATATCCAACAACCGGTTGTCCAGTTTTTCCAAAGACCAGATCTGCTTTCCTTTTCCTTTTCTTCTCACCTGGATGGCAGGCTCACTGAGCAGAGAGCCTGGCTGCAAAGACAGGGAGAGCGCCTGAGTGGAGCAGGAAGCTGCCCCGGGGAGTCGCAGCTGCACACTCCACACCCACCGGCCCCACTGCACCAGGAGGCAGCCGCACATCCTGCGTCCTTTCTCTTTTCACGGCAAAGCTTCCCAGACATCTCACAGGCTTCAGCATGACGTTGTGTTAGCCAACTCTTACCAACACTCAACATCTATGTACAAAGTCACACATGGCTTTATAGCAACTGGATACAAATTTAAAGCATAAAATATTAGAACACGTTTAGTGTTAAGTTGAAATAAAAATGTTTCATTCAGAGCTGGTAGATTCCAAACGCAAGAAAAGGCAAGGAGGTAGAAAGGCTTGGTGCCTGGTGAGACCAGTTTACCCTGCATGCAGGAGGTGAAACACCGCACTGCACTTACGAAAATGCACAAGCGTTACATGTTAATCAAAACATTTTAAAAACAAATTTTTCAAAAACTATTTGATAAAGGCCATCATACAACCACAGATTATCACTGGGGAGACAGAAAAGTCCTAAGTACCAAGGGCCAGGGGAAGCAAAAGGCCGTGTTGCTGTATCTGACCCTACAGAAGCAGGAACAGAAATTTTCCTTTTTTTTTTTTTTTTTTTTTTGTACAAGTGTTATCTTCATGGAGTATAAAACACAAAATGCTTATAAGCATGAACTGTGAGTGGTCTGACACCAGTTTCCAAACACATACAGCCTGAATAGGTTGAAATCATAGAGAACTAGAGAGACAGGGGTGGCTGCACAACAATTAAATGTGCTAAACGCCACTGGTTCATTTACCTAGTAAAGTCACTGAAACACAAACAGCATTCACTCAACTTTTTCTACCTGATAAAAGCAATCTGTTTTGAATTACATAATTTTTGTAAGACTTTTTAAGCATCAAATAGAAAAACAGCCCATACATCTCCCCCAAAAAGAAAGGTACCCATCAGTTATCTAATCACTAGATTAACTGGCTTACTTGATCAACTGTTCTAAAATGTCTACTCAGAACTTAATGAAACATTGGTGTATTTCACAGTTCTCTTAACAAGTGACCTAGGTTGTTTCCAAAGAAACAAAATCTGCATAGTGATATAAAGATTCAGCAACGTCTAAGGAAAAAAAAATCACAATTCTTCGGAAATGTAAAGGCACTTCTACCCTATCTTCAGCCAGCTAGTGAGCGAATACCAAAACCCCACCAGGAATCTGTGGTGGCAGCTTTTCTGGAGAATGCTGAGCTTGGGACTAACCAGCGCCGGTACAGCACGTGCGACTTGGCCTCTGTGCACACTGGAAGAGGGTGGGAAGAGGCTGTGACACGGTAGCAGAACAAAGGGGAAGAAGCACTTTGGGAAGGTTAATCAGGAAAGACTTCTCAGCAATAATCTAAACTGGTCTGAACAAAGAGTTGAGTGAACCGGTAAGGGTCACTGAGACAGAAAGCATATTCTAATGGATAAAATATGTACAAGGGTGCTACAAAAAGTTTGTGAAAATGAAAATGCGTATTATAAAAACTGTGCACACATTTCAAAACTTTGACACCAAAATAAACTTATCTTTCACTTGCATTTTCCATGAACTTTTTAAAATTCTCTTGTATATACACAAAGGCAGAGGATTAAAAGGAAGTGAATTCTACTTGAGAGAAAAAGGACAAGTACAAAATGACACAGACTAAGGGGTCTAGACAAAATGTCAGAGCAAACCCACTGGCACTTCAATCACACTGTGGAGACATAAAGCAATGGTACCCAACAATATCTGTGTTTTGTCAATTAATGGCAGTCTCACCTTCCTGTTGGCATCCAGGCTGGAGGCTGGAATCTGTAGGGTAACTTTATATTCTGTTCTTTTATCCAGTTCCTCTGCAATGTAACTGGCTTCTCTCACCAATAAATTGGCTTTAACAATTTGCTCCCTCAGCCTCATCAGGCTATTATTCAGGGTTGCTTCTCTTTAAAGAAAAAGAAAAAAACAAGGTGGGGTGGGAGGCAGAGGTGGGGAACACAGAGCAGAAACTGATACAGTAACAATTTGTTACTACTGAAGCAGGACTCCAGCCTGGCCATGTCCTTCTGCACAAAGGGACTACACCACTGACACTGACCCATGCACACGCTTTATGGGGCCTACAGCATTAGCACTGACACACTGTGTAACAAGCTGGCCACAGCTCAGGGCAGGGCTTTGCAAACTTGACTGTGTATGCAAATCACCTGGGGAATCTTGATAAACTCAAGATTTTAACCCAGTAGGTCTGGCACAGGGGCCTGAAATTCTGCATTCCAACCATCTTCAGGTGCTAAGGATGCTGCCTGGCTGCAGCCCAACCTTTTAAACAGCACCAGGGGTTAGTGAAGTACAGTCTGCAACCATGGAATCCCATTTTAGTGCAATGCTAATTAACCCAAGAGAGAACAAACTTGCATCTTATTTCATTATGCAGAACAATCTGCATCTCATTAGCACCATGCTTTACCTACCTGGGCTAATCAGTCCAGATAACCGACTCTTTTTTTTCTTTTCTTAAAAAACCAACTACCCAAGCTTCAAAACCTAAAGCATAATACAATGGTAAGGAATATTTCTTTATTCAAATCCAAAAGCCATACAAACCAAAAATTGGAATGCACCCAGCATGGAAATTTTTCAACAAATCAATATAAATTGGCAACTCCCAGCTTTCCAAAAATGAAAAAATAAGAATGCAAAGTGATTCTTGGCTGTAACACTCTTTTACTGCAGTTCTTTTGTGAGTCACGCCTACACGTTCCTGTTTGCTACCTTCCCCTGGTGGGTTAAAGGTGGCGAGCAGACCCCCATGACCGGCCTACCTCTCCTCAGACCACTGCTTTAGGCGCTGCTGAGCGCTGGGCGAGTGCAGAGAGAGCCTGTCCATGCTTCGGCAGTTCTGCTTCTCAGGGGACAGCCTTCTCCGGAGCTGCTCCAGTTCCTGTTCGTACATCAGCCTCTGGCGCTCGAGGGCAGAACGCTTTTCTTCTTCGTGCTGCTGCTCCAGGCTGTTTAATATGGACTGCATTGGATCTAAACGCATTTTGTAAAAATGTATCAACAAATGTTCTATGCTATCATCTAATTAATACCATTAATTTGGAATAAACTCAACTTTCTTACTTCCAATTACTTGTGTTATCTACGTTGAACATATTCCACACTACCTACCTTGATGCTACAGAAACACATTAACAATAATAAGCCAGTGGTAGTCAATTTTCAAACCTGACAAATTCTATCAATGATGATAAAGTTTGCAATGATTTGATCATAAAGGCAGAATGAAACTTTCTATAAATTATCAAAGCCAAAGACAAACAAAAAATAGAGTACAGGAGCGAACATTAAGACATTAACATTGTTTTTGCTAATGTTTAAAAGGTCTCAATTATAAGCATTTTTAACATTTACCAAGTTGAAAAGATTCAACAACGCACTGAGGATTTGCTCACCATTACTGCCCAAGGCCTTCATGGTGACCTCCATCTGTGCATATTCAAAATTGAAGTTAATCTCACTGGAGACCTCACTGGAGGAGTCTCCATCCACATCCAGCTGCTCGGAACTGTTGTCATTCTTCAGGGAGGCGTCCTGATCCTCATCCTCTCGCTCTGCTTTCTTTTTCTTTTTAGGCAAATTAAGTCTTGGTGGGGGGATAAAGGAATATTTTTGAAACCCAGATAGACATTTATTCAATCCATTCATTGGATACTGGCATTTGCTAGATGCCAAAGAAATCACATAAGTGCAAGGCAACTGCTGTGACTCAGGAGCTTTACATCCTAGTAGCGGCAATGAGACGCACGTGTACAAATAATTACAACAGCAAGTACGCCGCAGGCCATGCAGCCATCACAATCTAAGGGCTAAAGAGACGCTGAGAACCATTTCAGACCCCAGCGATAAAGGAACAGGAAGTAATCTGGGTCCTAACAGAGACACAGGACAGAGGAGCAGCTTAGGAAACACGCAGAGACGGCCACATTCAGAGGCTCCGGAGAAGACTACACAGCATCTGCATGGCATCCACTGCTGGGAAGATCAACTGAACCCAAACTGGGAAGGTGTTGGGTACTAGGCCATGCAATTTTTATTTGTTTTAGTTTGGAAGGGGAAAAAATGGAAGAATCCTCCATGCTCTTTGCACTCATCTGCCCTATTCTCAACCCTCAGAATAGCGACCGGCCTTCAAGCCAAGACCTCTGCTGTCTCTAAGACAGTCAGCTTGGCGAGGGAGGCACACTGAGCGCTGTCAGGAAGAGGAACAGGACTTACATCTTACAGTCTCCAGCCTGCCTGTCCCTGCCAACATAACAAATTCCCGCATTTTGTCTGGGAAATGATGTGTGCAGCCTCACAAAAGACTTTTCCTCAGTCTCCTTTGCAGCCAGGAGGCAAATTCTAGCAAAAGGGATGTAAGTTAAGTGCAAAATTGCTGGGCACTCTGGGAACACATCTGCTTTTTCTCTCCTAGCGGGCAGTGGGGACTGCCAGCATTCTCTTTTTCTTGTCATGTGCCTGCATGCTGTGTTGATTACTTGAGTGGCGTGGCCACTGTAAGACCACACAGACATGCCTAGATTCTGACAAGCTTTCAGCCATAGCATTTTTGAGAATCTTAGCCAAAGCTAACCACCATCTTTCTTTGGGTTTCCTGTTCTGTAGGAAAAGAAAATCATCTGTTTAACCCATGATAGTCAGGTTTGTCACCATTTGCAACTGAAAGTACTCCTAGAATAACCACTTTACATTATAGATAACGAAATTAATGCACAACTATTTTTCAGTAAAAAAGTAAATTAAAAAGATAAACCTGTCAGAAAAGAATTCATGAATTCTTATGACCCGAAGGCTAAACAAATATCTTCCATTTGGAACTAAAAAGGAAAAAATACCTAAGTAAACCCAATGTGTCAGAAGCGTACAGTTCCTATGCCCCTAGGATGTACACCACACATGTGTAGTGAGCAAACTTATGACACAAATAAACGCAGAATGCGTAATTTTTATGAAGCTTTACAATATATATTTGTGGGGAGCAACTCGGACTAGACTAAGTTACTGGAATTAAGACTTATTCTATACATCTGCTCTCCCACAATATGGCGCTGGGAGAGGAGGAAACAGCTTCTACACAGCTGCCTCCAGTTCAACCAATAAACTGTAGGACCTGCTCCTGATTGGAGGAGAGCAGCGCACTTGGCGTGTGGGTAGCAGAGTTGGGATTGGTGGAAGAGGACTATAAAGGAGGAGAGAGCCACCATGCACCAGGAACATCTATCTGAAGGAACACCTGTGCAGCCCCCGAGAGAGCCGGCCGGCGGTGTGCCGCTCCCCCGCGGAAGTGGGGAAAGTGGCAGGGGGAACCGCCCTTCCACGGAGGTGGAAGGGTCGGTAGCCAACCTGGGAAGAACTAGCAGCAAACCCGGGGAGGGCCGAGCAGACGAAAGAACAACACAGGGTCCTGTGTCGTTCCTCCACGAAGACGGGGAGCGACATCATGGTGCCGTGACTCGGATAGGAAGCCTAGGCAGGGTCTAGTGTCGCTCCTCCACGAAGAGGGGGAGCGACAATATTCTTCTTTTTCAGAGCTAATCTTCAAAAACATCCCCATTTCAGGGTCTTCCTACCTGAAGAAATGGTTGTTTCCCCATAATATCCTGTCCCCGTGGTGCAGCTGTATCGGACTGGAGACAGAAGAGCCGTTGACACATGTTCTGTAGAGAGAGGAGGTCAACTGTGAGGAACAAGCATCTTGTTTCTGCTTTAATGTTCCAGTATTACACAGAGGTCTAATTATTACAGACAACAAAACAATGCTCCAAAATAAAACCTGCCCTTGAAAATTTTAGTATTTGAATTTACTTCCTTGTTGACTGATCCAAAATGCTTATAGTAGGTATAATAGATTATCTTCCACTTTTCAAACTGCTACCTCTTTTATAACTTACATTCAACATGTCTGTATTACGCAGTAGAGATCAATATCCTCCATTGTTCAAAGTTTTAAATTTCTTGTGTTGTATGAGGGGATCTCCAAAGAGTTCCTGGAAAACGTATACTATGAACAAACTATGCATGGATTTCAAATAAATTTTGAACCAAAATAAACTTATCTTTTCATTCCATTTCCCATGAACTTTTTGAAGTACCCTCATACATTAAGGCATAAATATGGAACCACTACAGCCAATAAAGAAAAATGGCAGTAGTATACACACAACTGAAGCAAATATGTCCCATCTATATGGATAGGAGTCATTCAACCGACTGGACTCAAGAGTATCTACAGATACCAGTAAAACGAAACCTAGATTAAATTACTCTGTCATAGCCTATCAGTAGATAGAAGATTTATTAGTTCCACAGGACTGCTTATCTGAAAGATGAACTTCAGGAACAAAAACAGTGGGTAAGATGCAATGAAGGGAAGAATCTGGGAGGACAGGAAATAAACAGGAGATTATGCCTGTAACTGTCAGACTGGTCTTACTGGGATACCAGTGCCATCATGCTTTCCTTCTGTTGAATTCCTTCACTAAGATATAGGATATCGAGGCCCTGTACAGGAAAGCTGTGTTCACCTTCACCCTTCCCTGTTCTAGTTAAGTCCCAATTTCAGGGGTGGGGTGGTTATTTTGTTTGCCAAACGTGAAAACCTTGTCCTCTAAATCCCGACTCATACCAGCCCAAGAGACTGGAAAAGGTTCCGATTCCTTTCCATCGTCCCAAATCTTAATCAGCAATCCAAGTCCAGTTTGGTTCTCATTTCCTCAGTAAGGGATGCTGATCACCTCAGCATAGAGTATCTTATTTAAGTAAATAAAGCTTTTTCAATAAAGCTAGAAAGTAGTTAGGTGGTTTTACGCACTTCATGCTTTTTATGTGTATACATACACCCACACCGAATCTTACTTCCTATCTAGCTTTGACTCACCATACGGACTTTATGGCACCAAAAGTAACTGATCTTTATGCTCCCATCATCTCATTATTCAAATCCCATGCAAAAACTATATTTATATAGTTATGATAGGAGGGGACTAACTGAAATTACAAGAGTTTAGTCTTTATGACACAAATTTCTCAAATTCAAGGAGGAGTTTAATGGCAAAAAACATAAACATACTTAAAGAGCCATAGCAGTTAAGCTATGCTTAGTACATACACACTACATAGACAATGAATACACATCAGTTACAGTGTAATACACATGGGGTCCCCAAGATGAAAATTATCTTCATAGTAACATTAAACTTTAGTTAAATGCTCCTTTCCACTGTGTTGATATCTGTGCAGACCATGAGTTAAACTACTAATGCTTTACTTCAAAGCAAAGTAGTGGTACCAAACATTACTGGTAGTAACCAGAATATTCACTGCCATGTATTCACAATTTAAAAAAAAATCAAATGTTTCATTTGAGAATGTCATCAATTAAGCAGTAAAACTTGCTTAATTGTAAAACTTTTATTAAATCTTGACCCTGAGTATTCAACTTTAGTATTTCAGATGACAAAATGAGAAGTACACAGAAAGCACTTTATTTATTTATTTGACAGGCAGAGTTATAGACAGCGAGAGAGAAGGCACAGAGAAAGGTCTTCCTTCCATTGGTTCACCCCCCAAATGACCGCTATGGCCGGAACTGCACCGATCCGAAGCCAGGAGCCAGGTGCTTCCTCCTGGTCTCCCACGTGGGTGCAGGGGCCCAAGCACTTGGGCCATCCTCCACTGCCTTCCCCAGCCACAGCAGAGAGCTGGACTGGAAGAGCAGCAACCAGGCTTTTAACACATCCCAAGGCATGAAGTGCCTGACCCACACAAACTTCAGACTTCAGACTTGTGTATTCATTTTTTTAAATTTTTTTATTTTTTATTTTTTTGACAGGCAGAGTGGACAGTGAGAGAGACAGAGAGAAAGGTCTTCCTTTTCCGTTGGTTCACCCCCCAGTGGCCGCTGCGGCCGGTGCACAGCGCTGATCCGAAGGCAGGAGCCAGGTACTTCTCCTGGTCTCCCATGGGGTGCAGGGCCCAAGTACTTGGGCGTTCCTCCACTGCACTCCCTGGCCACAGCAGAGAGCTGGCCTGAAAGAGGAGCAACCGGGACACAATCCGGCGCCCCGACTGGGACTAGAACCCAGTGTGCCGGCGCCGCAAGGCGGAGGATTAGCCTAGTGAGCCGCGGCACCGGCTCCAGACTTGTATATTCAAAAATGAACAAAGTGAAATCTGTCACTTCGAGGAAAACAGCTGGCAGTGTTTGTTATCAGTGACAGATTCCAGCCTTTACAATGAAAATAAGAATTTTGAAAACCTGTGTCAACATCCTCCACCAAGCACCACCAGGAATACAGCTGTGGTTGCACAAGCTGAAGAAGATACAACATGAGGAGTCTGAGGGCATCTCAATGAGAAAGGGAGTAAGGAAGACGTGGGCTTTGCTGGACAACTTCAGGGAGGGTTTAAGGAAGCGGGGGCTCCATACACACTGAACATTATCAGAAAATGGACGTCATCCTAGGATTGAGTATTTCAAAGCACCTTATCTATAAGGGAAGGGACGCCAGAACAAGGATACTGTTGTCATTGGTCAAACAGCAGTACATAGTGTTGGCCAAGAAAGGGAATACTGATATTGTATGAGTGGCACAGGGACTGTCTTCCTCTGTGCTTAGAGGATGACATGCTGTGGCCTGCTCTGTCTCCTTTTATCACAGTCTCAGAATAACCCCGCCTGAGGCTGGCGCTAGGTGCAATTATTCACACCCAACAGAAGAGCAGCACGGCCCTGATGTGAGGGTCAGGACACCTGCTGCCCTTTTTGGTTCCTGACTTATATCCTTCACCAGGTACCTGATGGCTTCCCCATGTAGAAAAACTTGATAGATGAAACCAGTGATGGTTTTAACAATTTGCTTTTTGCATCATAGAATGAAACAGTCGACATTTGGAGGACCAATATAATTCAGTTGACCATTATCTATAACAGTTACAGACATGTATGTCCTGTTCTAGAACACAGTGTTAACAATTTCATAGATGAAAGAAACATACTGACAAACATCCAATTCATAAAACACTAGGCCTGTTCATCCATGCTTTATTTATTGAGCACTTACATATTAGTCTTATGCAAGGGACAGAGAATCAAACAAGAAAGGCCCTTATCCTCAAGGGGCTTACAGTGCAATGGGTAATAAAGGTCAATAGCTCAGAAGAACACAAAATAGGCGTTGACATGGCAGGAAGCATAAAGGCCACAGGGAAGGGCATTCAGTGTACACTAAACAAGGAACTCTCCAAAGTAGCTGAGGATGGAGTCTAACCTGGAAGGTAAAGAGGAGTTAGCAGGCCGAAGGAATGGCAGATGCAAAGGAACAGGCAGCAGAATACGGGATGCTCTACCAAACACAAAAGAAAGCCTTCTAGCAGTATAGCGAGCAGGCCTGGAGGAAGCTCACAGTTTTGATAGTTTTTTTTTTTTTTTTAAGATTTTATTTATTTGAGAGGTAGAGTTAGACAGTGAGAGGGAGAAACAGAGAGAAAGGTCTTCCATCTGCTGATTCACAATGGCCACAATGGCTGAAGCTAAGCCAATCCACAGCCAGGAGCCAGGAGCTTCTTCCAGGTCTCCCATGTAGGTGCAGGGACCCAAGGACTTGGGCCATCTTTCACTGCTTTCCCAGGCCACAGCAGAGAGCTGGATTAGAAGTGGAGCAGCCAGGATTAACCTGGCAGCGGAGGATTAACCTACTGCACCACAAGGCTGGTCCACTGACAGGAATTCTAATCAAGACTTGCTGCAGGGGCCAGTGCTGTGGCATAGTGGGTAAAGCCGCCGCCTACAGTACCAGTACCCCATATGGACAATGGTTCGTGTCCCAGCTGCTCCACTTCCAATTCAGCTCTCTGCTGTGGCCTGGCCTTCTCTCTCTGTGTAACTCTTTCAAATAAATAAATAAATCTTTAAAAAAAAAAAAAAAAAAGACTTGATGCAGGCCTAAAAAAGGCCATGTTAGATAATACAGAAGGGAGGGATATGCATGGGAGATGCTAAAATGCTAAACATAAAGGGACTGTTAAACAACTGGATATCTTAAATGAACTTAAAAATAAAAGCAAATGAAGGCAAAACCTCCCTTAGACCACCCACTACTAGAATAGTTTCTTCCCATTAAAAGTTAGGGCATGTTCTGCTCCCACTTCCAGCTTCCTGCTAATGCACACTTTGGAGGACAGCAGTGATGGCTCAAGTAGTTGGGTTCCCTGCCATGCACAAGGACTAGACTGAGTTTCCAGTCCCTGGCTTCAGCCTAGCCTCGCCTTGCCTATTGTAGGCATTTTGGGGAGAGAACCAGCGATGGAAGATCTCTTTGTCTCTCTGCCTTTCAAATAAATCAAATAAACAAATTGTAAAGATTATTTTGACATTAACACTAATTCAATACGTTACCTGGTATTCTTTTGAGGAGTCAGCATAACCTGGCCTTCTGGTGTAATGTCTATAATACAATGTTCGGGAAGAATTCCCATTCCACACAGTTGGATATCTTGGGAATTTGCTGACCCTATCAATGTGTGTTCCTAAGAAAGAATCAAATTCACTCATCAATACTGCATTCTTACACGTACCCAAACTGAAGTCATCTATCGAGTCCTCTTACATCAACCTATTATCTTAGCTAAAAAATGTTAAAGCAAATATAATGGTAGGAGGAACCCCTGGCTTTCTCTGAAATTCAACTCATTTATATTTTCTTATAAGGAATAACATACAAAGTTGAATTACATCCTTTAAACATAAACTAGAAGTCAGCATTGTGGCACAATGAGTTACGTACGCTATTGTTTGTGATGCCAGTATCCCATATGAAACCACTGACTCAAGGCCTAGCTGCTCCACTTTCTATCCAGTTCCCTGTTAATGAGCTTTAGGATGATGGCCTAATTACATGGGCCCCTGACATCCACTTGGGAGACCCAAATCGAGTTCCAGGCTCCTGTCTTCAGCCTGGCCCAGCCCCTGCCATTGCAGCCATTTAGGAAGTGAACCAGTTGATAGAAGATTGATCTCTCTCTCTTCTTTCTCTCTGTCTCTCCCTTTCTTGATGTCACTCTTTCAAATAAATAATTCTTTAAAAATTATTGTAATTTTATATTTGTGTCTGTACTATAATTCATCATCTTCTACCACAACTTTGATTTCACATATTTTACAGTTCTCCAATGCATGCTTAGAGGAGCCATCTGCCACTGGCCTACCAACAACACTGATCTTCCAGCTACAGTTATTAAGTTGTACAACACTTACCTGTTCTCAAAATTTGTCAACTACAAACATAAAAGCTAGTGCAAGAGTTTGAAAGACAAATTATTTTATGAATATTATGGTCTCCCTCATCTCATAAATGATGCAATAGATGTGTTCTTACCTTAAGATCCCCAACTACTCAGCTAAGTTCTACTTTTTGAAAGTTAACTCATTCATCCTTGATGGAGAAAACTGACATAACCATTAAGTTCCCTCAAACTTCAACCTCTGACTGCCCATATGTGATTAAATGTTGACAGGTCCTGAGATGAGTTTCTACGCCCCATTCTCTTTCTACACACACCCAGATCAGGGGTAAGTTTGGAATGCTTTACTTTTAGCAACTCACACACAACTATTCAACTCTGTCCTTAAAAGGCAAAAACAAACAAATAGCAAGTAAATGACTAAGTATGGCAATTTTATTTATAAACACTAAAATATGAATTTCATGTACTTTCACATGTACTTCAATTATTTAAAAATGTAAAGACAATTCTCAGCTCCTGTATCATACACAAAAGGAAGTATCTGGATTTGGTGTATGGGAAGCAGTCTGCCACCTGATTTATGTGACATCAACCACTCCTTGGCTTTAAATACTGTCTACACTTAAACTAAGCCCACGTCAACAACCAAAAATTAGACTTCAGTTCTGTTTTTCCCCATCTCCATGACCATTCTCCTAGTTCAAGTCACCATTATTCTTTGCCTATTTGATTTCCAAAGACATATCTAAGTGAATCAGGGCCAAAGCACAACTCCTACTCTCATCTCTCCGATCAACCTACTCCCTTCTCCAATAATAATGGCATTATCACCACCCAGCTAGTCGACTACCATGTTTAGACATTATCCTGAATCTTTTCTCATTCCCTGAGCAGCCTACCCCTAACCCCATGTCAGTCAAGGAATCCTTAGATTCTACCTCCAAAACACATTGACTAATCAGCTCATTCCCCTGCCTCCAGGATCTCTTGCCCAGGTGAATGCAGGAGCCTCCTAACTATGTCTCAACTCCTATACCACTCCCAGCACTCCCACCACAGCAGTTAATTGTGTGATTCCTCTCCTTGAAAACTTTGGTAGAAATTCAGAGAGAAGCCAACAAAAGTCCAAATTCTCACGCAGGTGCACAGAATGCTGCTTTTCTTATCCTCTGCTCCTAACCCTCTGCACCCAGGGAGTGTGAGCTAGGCATATGGGCTTTTCTTGGTTCTTTCAGTGCACTGAGCTGATCTCCATCCCACCGACTGGTACTGGCTGTTTCCCCTGTCTGAAATCTCTTCCCTTGAGCTCAACAGTGGTTATTTTCTAGCACTTGTACCTCAGCTTTTAACGTCACATCCTCAGGGAGGTGTTTCCTGAACTCTCAGCTGGCAACAGCCACCCATTCCCTGTCACACCACCCAATTTTAATTCCTTCCAGGACCCTGGCTGTTCATGGGTTTACATCCACCTCCACAGCTAGCATGGAAACTGAGCACAGGACAGCCTCACTCCCCACTGTATTCCAAGCACTGAACACAGGCCTGGCACTTAGGCATTAAATAAAAATTGAAAGATAAATGAGCAGTCACCTCCCTTGGCCTTTCCGCAGACCCAACAGGAGACAATTCTCTCCAGTTCTTCACAGACTGCCCTTCTCAACACATTCAGCACGCCACATATTCCCACCCCTTCTGGAATCCCAAACTCATGAGAAGGCCTCTTCTTCAGTAGTATTTTCCACTTCTCTGTCCTGGGGTTTCTTCTCTTGACCACAATGCAATGGTATTTGCAAGGTAACAAGGAGTTGGCATGCAGAACTGCCTTGTACTAACCTGTTAGATCCTCAGGGTGTATCCACAACCCAGGACACTCAAGGCACATACCTACTCCCCACTGTTAGCTTGGATTCCTGGCCAATCCTATAGTTTCTTAACCTGGAGACAACTGGACTGGATGTAAATGGGAGGTAACGTTTTTGTGAAGCTAAGTATGCCTAAAAATTCTACTCTATGCCTGCTTCCACCCTTCCCTTACCCTGTCTTTCTCCTCTGTCTTCCCTATCACCAACAGCAAGGTGGAGAGGAGGCCCAGGAGGGAAACAAGAGTCTAGAGAGGGAAGGGTCCAAGATCACCTAAAGATGAAAAATCCCCAAGCGTTTGCCTTGGGCCAGTTTTGTGCGGCATTCCTTTCCGCCTCCCATGAAGAACTGCGGCCCCCAGGCATACTTTGCTTGGGAATCCTTTCTATCCTTTGGGGGCAGAGGTGGAAAAGCCCAGACCCAACCCTACGCTGGAGTCTCAGAGTGTGTGGAAGCAACTCCACCGCACTCCTAGCCTGTGCACCAGTTCATGCACACATCCCTGCCCTGATTCAGCTTCTCCTGGCCAAAAATGCTCTCTTCCTTCACCTCTATACGAAGCCATATTTCAACACCTACTTCTACCACTATACACCGAATTCTCCATTCTCTGAATCCCGGTTACACTTAAGACTCATGCAGTATTATGATTTACTAGTTCACAAAAACTTTCTCCACTTTGTTTAGATAGCAACTTATATAGGACTTTTCGATCTTTTACAACAATCAGCGTAACATGCAATACAGAGTGTATGCTAAGTATCTGTCAGTGGAATAAATTATAAATTATCAGAGACAGAAGACACTAACTCAAATACACAAAGGTCTAATCCTAGTTGTCAAAGGACAACTTCATTTTTTCCAAAAAATACCATAGTCACAACCATGATGAGCTGGACAGTGAGCCACTGCAGACACAAGAGACAAAGTCCTAACCAAAAAGATCATGGTATACATGACAGTGGAAATCTCACTTCAGGTTATAATTTAACCTAATGTGATGGATGATGCACTAGAATCTGAAATAACAAGTTCTAAAAGCTCGCCTCTACCTAAGCCTTGCTATCTGATGTTTAAATTAGTCAATTAGCTTTATAAACTCTTCTTACTGCACTATAAGCACAGCAATGAAAATGCCAATGGGGAAAAACATAGGCACTAGAGGTGCTATAGAAGACTACCTAGGGAGTTCCTAAATGCTGTGAAAGTACAGGAAAATCGAAATCAGATATTAGATATTAGGGCAAAGCTCATAGAATATGGAAGGGGGAATGTCATTTCCATGAACATTCAAAGACCCTTCGTAAAGTTACCCAATGATAGCAAATCAGTCTCATTGTGGAGTAGATGGTTTTAATGATTCTAACGAAAGCTAGTATCAAGTAAACTAGAATAAATGGAGAATTCTGCTCTAAAGTGTAAGAGAACTACACAACTTGGAATCAGAAAGAACTTCAGAGGAGTTTTAACCCAGCGCCTTCCTTTGCAGATGGGTGGCTGAGAGCATCCAGAGATGTGAAGTCATCTGCCCAGCTTCTAAACCGACTGCAGAATGTGAAGGCAATGATATTTTAAAAAGGCGCGGCCTCCAGATTCCTCCGCCCCACATCATGGTATCTCTTTACTGAAGAAAAAACTGTTCTTGGACTGAAACCGCCCTTCTGAATGTGCTTTGTCATGCATATATATATTCTTGACAGGGGGTTAGCCCAGGCACTCAAGAAACAGCACGGCCTCAAACTTCACTCAAACAGGCTTAACCACACAGTCTGAAACAGAACCCAAACACCTCCACACAAGAGGACCAGAAATATTTTGACTGCTCTCCAAAATTCTGTGAACAGTCTCTTTGTTTGACTTTTCAGTTAAGGAACAGATATGAATCAGGATTCTTCCTGGGGGTGGGGTGGGGGGAACGTTCCAATTTGAACTACATCACATCACAAAGAATTCCTAGTTCTGAGAAATTAAAAGGGCAGAGCTTTTGAGTCTTGTTCTCAGAGTGCACCTCTTCCAAAGCATGCTGCGATTCTAACTCAACCTGCTAACACCACTGGTTTGCAAATACAAAGTGATGTCATGATTTTTAATAGATAAGCATAGTGTGCATATAAAGTCCCGCATGTGGGGTGGGGAACTTCTGCCCATTGGGCCAAACAAGGCCCATGAAATCATCTGATCTGGCCCTCCCAGGGCAACTACAGGCGGGACTCAAAATCAGCAAATCTGTAGCAGGCTCATTTTTAAGGTGATAATTTTGTATGGCTTGCAAATGATATTATAAAAATTCAAATTTTGCCCTTGGCAGAAAAAAGGCTCTACACTCCTGCATGAGAAAGTGGAACGTGGAATATTTTGATTTTGTATAATGTTTCTGTGTATAAAGAGCCCCTATGTATCAAACACTACAGGAACCTCGCAAGGTGGGCAGAAATAACTTCTACCCATTTACAAAGGAAGAATCTGCAGCCTAGAGTGGGCTAAGACTTTGCCATGGACTGGAAACACAGAACACCTCTCTTCTACTACAGCACGACTCCCACTAAACCACAATACTTGAGATGTGTGCAGAGACTCAGTGTAACTCAGAAGGGAACAAAACATGGTGTAAGATTCCTAACCAAAGGGTCTTATCAAAATGACACAAAGCAATTATCCCAGGATATCTCTGATAAAAACTGGGAAACTATACTGTCAGAATTCTTTAGTCTTTTTAGAAATTAAAGCATTACATTAATGTTAAAGCTGTTTCCAACTTAATCAGCTCACTACAGCTTTATTTTTCTGGTAGGTTAGTGAAATCTACACGAGGGGCTGAAAGACTGCATCTTAACATGTATAACACCATGCTGAGTTCCCCAGGCCACCACAGTTTGGTCAAGGCCAAGGCGGTGTTGGCATGCACCTCATAACAGCAGGGGTGCTTCAGGTTCATGCTGATTTTAAAGTAGTCTCCTATCTGCCCGTGATATCTCATGAGTTACAGATTTCAATGCAAATATTTGTCTTTTTTTTGTTCCATACTCTGAGCTTCTCAGTCTCTACTCCTCCCTTTGTTCTAAGTTGATAATCCAAATTTATTTTCCTAAGAGTTATTGAAAACAAACTTCACACCAAATAGTACTAAAAACTTTACTTTCTTTAAGGATTTCCTCTTAACAAATTGCTCATGGACAGACGAGCTACACACAAACAACAAAATCTTGAGTCTACTGACCAAGCCAATCATTTAGTCTTAAAAGTCATCCCTTAAGTTTTAAACTTACCTCCTTAATTTCCTGGCATAAATCACATATAATAATGGCAGATAAGTCATTTAACTTTTTAGAAATAATGATCAAAATAGCATTTTTACATTGACTTCGTTGAACATCACTCAAAGACTAAAAAGGGAAATTGATCCCAAAAACCCAAGGTTGTTCTACACTTGAGGTATTCAAATAAAAACTATTTGCTAATTTGAATAATCATGGCTCCCCAATTTTAAAAAAGGACCAAGAACTATTGCTCTATTTTGTGGCAGGAAGCTAGTGACAAAGCACAGGACCTCACCTTTAGATAGTAGACCAGAAGTTCATTCAGAGCAGGGTCTGCATTCAGGTTAACTAGGAAACATTTATCATCCCCAACTTTGATTCCTGAAGACTGCAGAGATATTCCAAGACTCTCAAGCTGTTTCTGTCGCTCCTGCAAATGTATCAAAGAAATATAAATTCCACAGCTACTGAGGCAGCAGTATATAAAATATCTCATAATAGCAAGTTAATAATTCAGTATAATTCTAATTCAATATGCTATCTTCAGATATGATATTAAACATCACTGCATTTTTCTCTTCTTCCCAAATGAGTCATTTTACTAAGTAAATTTTTTAAAAAATAAAGTTCATTACAAATAGCAACCACATGTCCTACTGAGTTCTCAATTTCCCTTCTTAAACATTTCTAACAACTAGAACTCATACATTCTCTTGTATTAATTCTGCATGAATGAGCCCGTGAGGGCATCTTCCTCAACCCAAACCCTTCTCAAGAGCCAAGCAGTCACTGCACTCTTCTGCTTGACCCCTTCAGTGACTCTCAGGCAAGGACAAAGACCAAAGTCCCTCACTGCAGATCCCAGGGCCCTTCGTCCTGGCCCATTTCCTCTCCTTCGTTTTTCCTCACTCCTGCTTTCAAACTCTGCACCACATTAACATGGAACATGTTTCAGGGCCCTGCAAGTGCCAAGAACGCTCTTTTCTCGCTTCAGCTTCAGGTATTTTACACCTGTTCCTTTTATCTGGAGCAGACTTGCCCTCATACTTGCTTGCCATCTGTTTACATGATCATTCCTCCCACATCAGAACGTAAGCTGTGTGGGAATGAATCCCTCTTGCTAACTGCTGAGTTCCCAGCATCTAGCAGAGGGCAGGCACATCATGAGCACTCAAAGCTGCAGTGCCATGAATGTATTCTAAAAAATCGTTTTAAAATATATACATATATACATATAATTTTCATGGTATCAGTGCAAAATTTTAAATAAGTAGATAAAACCCTGCATAAGCACTCAAGCACTGTTTTCTTTTTTTTAAGGCACTGTTTTTCTTTTATTTAAGTACTACAAACTTCATGCATTTCGTAAGTACAACTTTAGGAACACAGCAATTCTTCCCACCATATTCACTGTCCCATCCACACTTCCATCCCTCCTCCTCCCCCCCTCTCCCATTCCCAGTCCCATTCTCCCTTAAGATCCATTTTCAATTAACTTTATACACAGAAGACCAACTCCATACTAAGTAAAGAATTCAACAATTTGCACACACACACACAAAAAAGAACTGTTCCTCAACAGTAGAGACAAGGGCTGTTCAAAGTCATTGCATCTCAAAGTTAATTTCACTTTTTTAGAAACTTAATTAACTTTAAAGAAGCACAAAGAAAGATACATCTTTTGCAAGCATTTAGACATAACTAAGACATAAGAATATTCTCCACTTAATACATTAGAAGAAAGTAAGTCCTTGAGAACAAGTTTTATCATTAATTAAGGAAACACCTAAGAAAACAAGCAATGGAGTTGGACACTTAAGTGTAACTAAAACTTATGAGACTTAAGAATATCCACCACTTAAATACACTAAAACAAAATAAATATTTGAGAACAAGTTTTACTATTAACTCTCAAAACACAACTCTTTGAGGACAGAGGCCTTGCATGGGAAATTAGTATACAGTGACTCCTGTTATTAATTTAACAATCAAGCACTATTTTCATAACATGAGCCTTTATTTGTATGTGCCTGTCTAGTTCTGAGCCATATAATATAGGAAAGTATGTACTTAAGAGGATACACATCCATTACACAACTGGATGCCCTAGGATTAAGTGGAACTGTGGCAGGGTAAGGTCATCTATGACAATGGATAAACATAAACAGCAAGCAGTGAGAAGTCACAATCACCCACGACCTTTTATTCTGGGGGCAGCACCAAACTAAGTCTTTTAACTAGGGCCACACAGTTAAGCCTGCAGCATAATTAAAATAAAGCAATCTATTGCTATTTCTTTCCATTTTATAAAGTCTTATCTTTTTGTTTATGCATTTACTTGAGAAGGTGAGACAGACAGAAGACAGAAAGATGGTTCATCTGCTGGTGCACTTTCCAAATGCCCATAACTGAGTGCTGAAACTCAATCCAGGTCCCCCACTTGGGTGACAGAAACTCAGTTACTTGAACAATCCCCAATGCCTCCAGGGCCTGCACTGGCAGGAAGCTAGAGCTAGGAACCAAGGTGGCTGTGGAAGCCAGGTATTTCAATATGGGATGTGAGCATCTTAACTGGTACCCTAACCCAAAGGCCAAATGCATGCCCCAGATTTTTGCTATTTCTAGGCACACCATCCTAATTTATATGTTCACTGATGCTTAACTGTCTCTTCTAACAAAAAGAACTACAAGGTTCTTTCAGAAGTCTGGGAGAGTTTAATACTCGCAATGCCAACAAGTGATTATTGTTGATAAACAACATGTACATGGGGCCAGTGCTGTGGTGCAGGTTAATCCTCCGCTTGCAATGCCTGCATCCCGCATGAGTGCCAGTTCTAATCCCGGAAGCTCCTCTTCTGATCTAGCTCTCTGCTATGGCCTAGGAAAGCAGAAGATGGCCCAAGCACTTGGGCCCTAGCACGCACATGGAAGACCTGGAAGAAGCTCCTGGCTTCAGATAGGCCCATCTCAGGCCACTGCAGTCATTTGGGGAGTGAACCAGCAAATGGAAGACCTTTCTCACTGTCGCTCCCTCTCTCTCTAACTCTACCTATCAAATGAATAAGTCCAACTTATCAACCTCTATTTAAAAAAAAAAACATGTACATAAAATAAGGAAAGGAATTCAACTATATATTTTTTCAAAATTATCACAATTAGCAAACTGCTGTTTTATTCTACCTTCCTATACATTTTTCTGTTGCTTGAGATTATATAACAGTAATACACCACAAAATTTTTGGGTAAATGAAAAACAGGAACAATGGTGGAAAACTGTCCATTTGTTATTACATTTCTTGCCAAAAATTTAAGTTTTTAATCATCTCAAAAGTTACAAATACTTGCAACACCTAGGAACAAGCTCATAAAAACATTATATGATAAAATACAGTTATGTAGAGATATCATGAAATCTTGCTTCTGGTATCAAGGGTTGACCAACTTTCTCTATAAAATGTCAGGTGGTAAGTATTTCAGTCTTGGTGGGCCACATGGTCCATGTCACAACTACTCAGCTCTGCTAGCTGAGCCAAAGAGAACACAAAAAACAAATGAGCTCCGCTGTGCTCCAACACAAACACAAACATGAGTGGCAGACCAGGTTCCATCCATGAGCAGTCTGCCAAACCTGATCAACCTCAAGGTTTTGATATCACTTAAGTATATATTTGGTTTTTGTTTTTTAACAATTTATTTATTTGAAAGGCAGTTACAGAGAGAGAGAGAGAGAGAGAGAGAGAGGGAGAGAGAGGGAGGGAGAGAGAGAGAAAGGTCTTTCATCTGCTGGTTCACTCCCCAAATGGCCGCAACGGCCGGGGGTGGGCCAGGTTAAAGCCAGGAGCTTCATCCAGGTCTCCCCATGGGTGCAGGGGCCCAGGGACTTGGTCCATTGTCTGCTGCTTTCCGAGGTGCATTAGCAGGAAGCGGGACTGGAGTGGAGCAGCCAGGATTCAAACCAGCACCCATATGAAACGCCACCATGCAGGCAGTAGCTTAACCCATTAAGCCATAATACTGGCCCCAAATGTGATTTAATAAATATAAATTTCGAAAGTACAACTTTTGGATTATAGCGGCCCAAGTGTGCATTTTTAATGGGAACGTAAAGATGGAAATGAGAGAAAATCTGGCCTGGTAGACAGAGTACCCAAATTAGAAAATAGTCATCTGAGTTCTGTTTACTCAAAAGCATTATTGAGGGGTTGGTGTTGTGCTACAGTGGGTTAAGCTGCCATCTGAGACGCCAGCATCCTGTATGGTCACCTGCTCATGTCCTGCCTGCTCCACTTCTGATCCAGTTCCCTGCTAATGTGCCTGGGAAAGCAGAAGACAGCCCAGGTGCTTGGGCCCTGCCACCCAAGTGGGAGACCCAGAAGAAGCTCCTGCCTTTGGTCTGGTCCAGTCCTGGCTGTTGAGGCCATTTGGGGAAAGAATAGCAGATAAAAGATCTCAATCTCTCTCTCTCTCTCTCTCACTGCCTTTCAGATATGTAAATCTTAAAAAAAAAAAAAAACCACCACCGTTAAAAACACTAAAACTTCCTTTTCCTTGAGAACCTTACAAACTCATTAGGCGATAAAACTTTACACGGACAATTAAACTGTAAAGCACTGCATATTTAGGGGTCAAAAGGCGCCTACAGGCTACCTGGGAATTCTACAGCAGGGGTCATGTCTGGAGCTGGCACACTAGACCACAGCGGTCATAGCAAGAGCCTGGCTGACTGGCAACAGCCCCAAAGATGATACGCAAAATCTTTGAGAAAAGAAATCCACTCAATCGAGTCTACCTAGAATTTCCCAAATTTACCTGGTGACCATGCACTCATTAATGGGGGCCGGTACCGTGGTATAGTGGGTAAAACCGCTGCCTGCAGTATCAGCATCCCATATGGGCACCGGTTTGAATCTCGGCTGCTCAACTTCCAGTCCAGCTTTCTGCTATGGCCTGGGAAAGCAGTGGAAGATGGCCCAAGTCCTTGGGCCCCTGCACCCATGTGGTAGACACAAAAGAAGCTCCTGGCTTCAGATCAGCACAGCTCCAGCCGTTGTGGCCATTTGGGGGGTAAACCAGCAGATGGAAGACCTCTCTCTCTGCCTCTCCTTCTCTGTAACTCTGCTGACTTTCAAATAAATAAATAAATATTAAAACAGGCGACTCATCCATATTCTATGCTATCCTGTCAAAAATACATTTTGGGAAATGCCAATCTTGACTGGGAAGAGACAGACCATCTGCACACCAGGCTTTCTCAATGAGAGGGTGGGAGGGCCAGCAGCACTAGTGCCTCCAGGCTTGGAGAGACTGGGGTTGAAGGAGGTGCTAGATAAGACACAGGGCTCCTGGGAGCAAGGCACACAAATGTTAAAGAGGAGCCTCCCTTGCACTTGCTCACTCAGACTCGCCCAGGTTTGTGTCAGCACAAGGGCACATCAAAGTCAACGCTTTTGGGAAGAAGTGTGGCAAACAAAAGACACAAAAGATGCTCTGAGGCAGCGGAAAACAGACAAAAGGGAGCAGAACAACAAAGGAAGAAAGTGGAAAAGGAGGCACAGTGGCGAATGAAAAAGCAAAATTGGGGCGGAACTTTCCTAACAACCGTTCATCAGATGTCATAGTAGCAGCAGCAGAAGTCTGAGCTGCGCATCCCGAGTACCACTGTATAGACTTAAAAGTATTTTCAGAACACATACACACTGCTTCCTTTTAATGCACGCACCAGGACATCCAAGATTCTACCAAAGTACCTAGAAGTCTTAGTGATGGAGACACCAAAGAAAAAAAGACTTTTCATTTACATTTTTTCTTCAAATGTAAGACAGTTGATGGCCATAAAGAAATGATCACAAATGGAATGGATCGGTACCCCTCAAGCTAGTGTTTCCAGCTAAACAAACAGGTGTAAATAATTGCATGGTGGGAAAGAACTCTGCTGTCTATTATGCTTTCCTTCAGTGTGCATAATAAAATGATTTTAATATTCTTTTGTTTCCATGATCACCTGTCCTAAATTAAACTGTAGGGCTTTAGCTTCCTTATTTTTGTTGTTAGTTACTGATATTGGTATATATTTCCTCTAAATTAAACTAGTATTGTTTAAGGAAACTGGCGATTTTGCTTGTCAAGAAAATGATATTAAAGGCAATAGTTTCATTTTTTAAAAACATCAATGCTTTGGGGCTGGTGCTTTGGTGCAGCAGGCTAAGCCTCTGCTTGTGGCGCTGGCATCCCCTATGGATGCCAGTTCTAGTCCCAGCTGCTTCTCTTCTGATCCAGCTCTCTGCTATGGCCTGGAAAGGCAGTAGAAGATGGCCCAAGTGCTTGGGCCCCTATACCTACATAGGCGACCTGGAAGAAGCTCCTGGCTTCAGTTAGGCCCAGTTCCAGCCATTGCAGACATTTGGGGAATGAACCAGTGGAAGGAAGACCTTTCTCTCTGTCTTCCCCTCTTTCTGTAACCCTCTCAAGTAAATTAAAAAAAAAAAAATCTTAATAAAAAGCCCAAAGATTATTTTTTTTAAAAGTATTTGGGAACAGCTCAAAAGGCTCACACCGCAGAGTCCACAATGGACAATTACTAGAATGACATAATTGATGAAAAATAGGAAGTAAGATACATGGTAAGAAGTATTTTAAAGACTTGTGTGTTCTCTCTACTACTTGGGGAGTATGGGAATATGTTTTAAGGAAACTCAATGCAAGGAGGGAACCAAAACGAGACTGGCCACATGTTTTTCTTTGATGAAGCTGACAGAACACCTGTGGATTTAGTATAATATTCTCTCATTTGTATCTATTTTGAAAATAGATATAATAAACAAGCTTTAAAATGGAATTATACCCTAGTCTGTACCAAGATATAGCTATACATACACAACATTCACTGCAAGCTAATAGTAGCACTGTCTTACATCACCTAATACACAATTTTAGACAGCCTGTTTAAAGATGGAGACTATGGGGTGACAAAAGATGCTGCAAGTTCTCTACGCTCTCTAATAGAAGAATGGTCAAAAGCTCTTGGGATATTTAACTTAGAGAAGGAAGGGCAAGAGACCGAGGTAAGACTTAAGCGAGCTGAACAAACGAATTGGATGGCAACAGTTCCTATGTTGCAGGACTACTGAGAAGATTACAGAAGACCACATAGTTAAAAGTGCTAGGCAAAAGGACCAATTCCTAAGGGTACCCAATAAATGTTGACTGTCACTGTCACCGTGAGTTACCACATACAGGTGGGACACTTCCACTCTTAGAAGAAAAACAAGCTAGGTCAGAGGGGAAGAAATGACAGAAGATTTCAATTAACTAGCTACTATCTGAGTTGTTCAACCATGAAAAGACCACTAGATTGGGTACTGAGCTCCGGATCACCATGCACACATTTCTAAAACAAAGGGTGCATAACCATTTAGCAGGAAAGCCATGAAGTAAGGGTTTTATTTAGAACATAGACCTTTTAGTGTTTTCTCCCAATGCTAAACTTGACTAGATCTTCCTAGACTAATGCCAACATTCCCACCCTAAGATTTCACAACTCTTTATTAAGTTTTCTTACCAAAAAAGGATAGTCACCTCAGGCTTGGACATTTCATATTACTTTCCCTGAGCTGTCACATGGAAGCAAGAAGCTCATAATCCAAAATCTATCACTAGTGATGTTATAATTCCATTAAGTTCCTTAGTTCTGCAAATCATTTAATGAGGGGATCAGAGTCAGAGACTACAAAGTAGTTACTTCATTTTAAAAAAACCTTCAAGATTACTAATACTGAAGAGTTAATTAGAGTTAATTATTTCTTATATAATAATCTATTGAAATTATAGCACTTTATCCTCCAAATTAATTTGGTAAACTACAGACGCTTTTAGACCTAGATTCCTACTAACAGTGGCAGACTTGTCACTGGCAGAAGGGGCCAGAAACGCCAGTTGAGTCCACTGTATAAACTGCTACAAAATTAAGAAACACAAACCTGTGCGATCTCCTCGGTTTTCCTTAACTTTTCCTCCCAGGTCACAGTCATTTCCTGGATTAGCTTCTCGGATTCTTCCAGCCGGTCTTTCAATTCTGGAGATTTCATTGCCTACAAGCACAATGTTACTTCATGAAACGTCTGGACGAAGCCCTGGAAAAAGAAGTTGCCAACTCTGCAAGGACCTATGTGACCATCTGTCTCCTCTCAGCTGTGCAGCTGAGATCACTGATCCCACTCCCTGGGCCACGGTGAAGACTAGAAACTCAAACTATCAGAGGTACATTTAAAAGGAAGACTAGGGACCAGCGCTGCGGCACAGTGGGCTAAGCCTCCACCTGCGGTGCTGGCATCCCATATGGGTGCCAGTTCATGTCCCGGCTGCTCCTCTTCTGATCCAGCTCTCTGCAATGGCCTGGGAAAGCAGTAGAAGATGGTCCAAGAGCTTGGGCCCCTGCACTCATGTGGGAGATCAGGAAGAAGCCTTTGGCTCCTGGCTTCAGATCGTCCCAGCTCCAGCTGTTGTGGTCATTTGGGGAGTGAATCAGTGCATGGAAGACCTTTCTCTCTGTTTCTCCTTCTCACTGTCTGAACTCTACCTCTCAAATAAATAGAATCTTAAAAAAATAAAATAAAAGGAAGACTAATTCTTCCTTTTCCTCCAACCTACTGTGAAGATCTCATTCCTTCTTAAATTCTAATAGGTAAAGTATCTAGCCTCATACACAGGATTCAATTGAGTCTTTATGGATGACTTAGGAATTTACTCAAATATATACAGACTAATGTGTACATGCTGCAAAGTGGATGGTGCTAATAATACTAAGTTTGCTTGTAACTTCCCAAGAACCCTGACCTGTAAAATTGTAAAAAGAGGATAAAATTCAACAGGCAATGACATGCTCAAGGTAGCTATCCTAACTATATTTTCCTTATTTACTCCCAGAATAGGGTTCTGAAGAAGAAAAGGGCTGTGGTGCCAGCCCCAGGAACAGCCCCCTAGTGCAAAATGACTGTAGTGCAGAAATGCTCGCTACAGCAGGAACCCTTAATCTGGTATTTCACTCCACATTTCAAGAGACGCTTCAATGTATGAATGTATGAGAATTATGTAGGTTCTCAAAATCAGTAACAAAACAAATCATTTCATGAGGGGATCAGAGTCAGAGAATGCCTTGTAGACTACACAGAAGGCTGCAGAAATTGAGGACAGTAAAGAGATGGGTACTTTAGCTAGAGCTGTTTTCCTACAAACATAATCCCCAACATGGAAAGGTTGGGTCATTAAGGTGTGAAAGACCTCAAGATTTCCATTCAGAATTCCATCACTTAATGAATAAGATTAAAAACATCTGTTGGATTCCTCTTCCAGTCAATCCATGCCCACTCATTTCTGGCACTAAGCTGAATCACGTATGGTTTGTTTCTGGTCACTCCCTTGCTCTCCCCTATGCTATAATATCTCTTCGCTCTCGTCTGCTGCCTGGCTACACATGAAAAATATTTTCTCAGTTCTCTGTGTTCTCTCTCTTATTCAAACCTTTTAACACCTATGAAAACTCTCAATTTCAAATGTGACAATCTTTCTTTACTTCTCAGTTCCAACTTCTCATCCTGTAGGAAATTCGAAAACTCTCAGCAGAGGACGCATCACCGGAGGCCAAAGGAAGAAACCCTGAGCTCTGGCTTGAAGAGCCTTCCCTGGATGCACAGGGCGCTGCCCGGCGCTGCCTCTTACCTCTGCTTTCGTGAGCTGCTCTCGCAGTTTCTCAACTTCCTCCCGGAGGTCTCGGATAATCCGTGCGTTCGGATCCTCGTTCACCACAGCGTGGTTCACAATGTGCTTGGCGCGATCTGCATACCGCAGTGTGGAAAGGGTTTCATCATAGTTATCGGCTGCCGGACTCACAGTTGCCACCATTGCGGTCTTGCTGTTACCCCCCAGGCTGTCCTGCAGGAGGGGGAAGAAAAGAAGGTGCATTTTAGGGAACTTGAAGTCAAACACGGTGAAGTAAGCTCAAGGTCAAACACATATTTAATGACAAAACTAGAGCTAAAAGCAGGTATACTGACTCAAATCCTATGTTGTTTGTTCTCAAAAAGGGAGGAGCTTTGATTTTTGAGAAAAGACAGGGAAGAAATATGAAGCCTGCATTTATTTCAGTTTCACAAAAATTAATTCTAAGTCCATTTGTCCCATTTTACAGGCAACAGAATAGCCTAAGTGAGCAGAAAACTCAGAATGAAGAAAAGATGGCTTAAATGCCAGCAAAATCTTCCCTAGAAGAACTGAACAAATGTGATAATGAGCTCACATCTGATGGCTGTGCTACTTACCTGGGAAGCTCTGGGAAGCCTAAATAATGATGCACAAAGTTGTGGCTACAAGCTATCAGATACCTAGTAAAGTTTCCAAAACATAAAATTATAGTCTTATGAAACCAAAGACACATTATAGAGCTTCTTTTTTTTTCTTCCTGATAACCCTTCAAAAACTAACAGAACAGGTTTCTGGTTCTACACAAAAGTCTCCGCAGTTCGGACAAGGATACCGACAGAAGGCTTGTCCTGTTCATTATACTGCAATTGACAGGCACAGTGAAATGGGCTTTGGAACGTCTTCCAACATACAGGAAAAAAAGACTTTGCATCTGAGAATATTAGAAGTAACAAGATACCACTCAATCACAAAACTCAATTTGGGACATTGGTCCATCAGAGCGAGGCAGATGCAAACAAGACTGAATGGAATCCACCTGTGGTGGACAGCGCCAGAAGTGGCTCCCAGTATCCTCACCTCCTGGTGTTCATCCCCAGCCCTGGACAGTAGCCAGAACTTTCTGTTGAGCGTCTGATGAACAGAATACAGCAGAAGTGATAGCAAGTCACTTTTTTTTTTTTTTTTTTTTGACAGGCAGAGTTAAATGAGAGAGACAGAAAGGTCTTCCTTCCATTGGTTCACCCCCCAAATGGCTGCCACGGCTGGCACTGCGCCGATCTGAAGCCAGGAGCCAGGTGCTTCCTCCTGTCTCCCATGCGAGTGCAGGGCCCAAGCACCTGGGCCATCCTCCACTGCACTCCCGGGCCACAGAAGAGAGCTGGACTGGAAGAGGAACAACCAGGACACAATCCGGCACCCCAACCAGGACTAGAACCCAGGGTGCCGGCGCCACAGGTGGAGGATTAGCCAAGTGAGCTGTGGCGCCGGCCTGGCAAGTCACTTCTGAGATCAACACAAGGTGGTTCTGTCTTGGGCACATTCTCCTGCTCTGGGGGAAACCAGTTGCCATGAGCAGAGAAGACCCCATGAATAGACCCCACAGAGCGAGTCTGGAAGCAGACCTACTAAAGTCTGCCCAGCAACCACAGAAAGCAGACCCTACCACCACCAAGAGACAGACCTTGGCCAAAACCACAGAGAGGCTGATTGCTGCTTCCAGCTGTTACGTTTGGGGAGTGATCATTTACAGAGCCATAGATAAACTACTCACACACTGCTAAACCACGCCAAGCTGAGAAGAGTTATCCAGATAAGACTCAGTGGCCTCCCCGAGTAATCTCAAGATTAGAGAGAAACTCCAAAAGGCCAGTAACATGGAAATCATCAGCTCATAATAAAACTGTATTTTTGGACAATACCTACAGAAAAATTATTACTGAAAACATAACTTTTTTCCAACTCCAATATGTTTAAAATGTGTTACATAGATAATATTTGCATATGTACTTAGTTCTCAGATTTCTAAAGCTGATGACTGGCACCCCCATTTTACTGATGGGAAAACATTTATTCTGATAGAGGAGGTTAAATAATCTGCCCAAAAAACCCAGAACTAGTAAGGTAAAAAAATATTCCAGCCAAGCTAGATTCTATTTTCAAGTCCAAAAGGACTTCCCAATATATACTTGGTAATACACAGTTCAGATCTGAGGATTAAGACAGATTTGACCCCCTCCAAATTATTTCTTAGTATCAAGAACAACATAATACCTGAACTACTGATAACAATTCAATACAGTTACAGACAAGATATCAATTTATCCAGTACTAAAAATTTGTTTTTCCACAGAAAACATGGTTGTATTGTCAGAGAAAATATACTTTAATGCATGAAAAGGCAGGAAATAATTTGGGATTTCAAATCTATCATTGCTTGTTTCACTTTTCACTAATAGACACTCATTTCACACTGGTGGTGCCCAAGATTTGGCAACTTCCAGAAAAATGTCATGAAGACTGCCATGCACACTGATGAGATTCAAATGGGACATGAAGAGTAGCCAGGGATTAAATCCCACGTTGCACTTCAGCTCGCCAGTAGCACCACAGCGTCAGCCACATGAACCACAGGTGCTACGGGGCAAAGGGCGGCTGTGCTGACGGCTGCCAAAGGAGAAACACGCACAGACTATGCCATTATTTGTGCTGCAAAAGGGAAAGTGGGCAACAAATGCTTGGTATTTTTAAAGCCCTCATTCGGGGAGCAACAATGTGCTTACAGTAAAGTGGCCTCCTGCCATTGGTGAGAAGGAAATAGTAACAAAAGATCTGGCACTGGCTCAAGGAGAAAGAAAGCTTCTTGCTGACTCCTTAGCTGTTTAATTAGGCAAACTAGACTCGCTTTGTTTCAAATTAAGTGGTCATGGGATACAAATTTAATTTTGGAAATCAAAATTTTTTTAAAAGCTGAAAGAACTCTTTTCAAGTCATCTAATCAAATTGTTGCATTTTACAGACAAGAAATGAAAGCCAGGAAGACTGGCCGACTTATCATGGATTCTAATGCTAGTTCAGAGCAGAGCTGAAATTGCCCGTTCACTCAGCTCACCTGCCCCTAAGCAACACTGTAAAAACTAAGCCAGGGTAAACACAACGTGGTGTGGCAAAAACAAGAGCAGTCAGGCAGGGGGAGCCTTCCAGACAAAGGCACCTTTGAGATCTAAATTTCAATCAGCATCACTCAGGTAAAGAGAAGCAGGGGGCATGGCAGGGGCGATGCAAGAGTGGTGGAGAACGTGCCAACGGGAGTAAGAATGTGGCCCTGGAAGCGAGACAGCACTCGCCACTTCACTAGAACTTAGAATACCAAGATCCCAAAAGGGAACAAGTTAAGAGTATTAATCTAGAAAGCTGCTGTGAGTGCTGTGCTCCTAGCTGCAGAGCACAGACCGGGCGAGAAACCTGGAAACACTGGCAGTGAAAGTGGCCTTCATTAGGGAAGCAGTACTAAGGAAGAAAAAGCACGGTGGATGCCAAAGACAACCTAGGCACTCATTCTCTACAGGAGCTGCTTGATGCTCAGAAGCCCTCGTTTAAAGACTGCCAACTCCACAGGGCAGGTGCTTGGCCTGGTGGTTAAGACCCTGGTCAGGGCACCTCCATCCTACTCGGCAGTGCCTAGGTTTCACACCTGCCTCTGGCTGCTGACTCCAGCTTCCTGCTAATGCAGACTTGGGGACAGCAGTGATGGCTCAAGTCACTGGGGGTTCCTGTCATCCAGGCGGGAGACCTGGACTGAGTTCCCAGCTTTCTGCTCCAGCCCAGGCCAGCCGCAGCATGCGTGGGCATCAGGAGAACCAGTGAACAGGGGAGTGTGAACGCGCTCTCGTTCTCAATCTGTCTTTCTGCCTTTCAAATAAACAAAAATTAAAGGGGAAAAAAAGGAGTTTCATAGCTCAAGAACACAATTATAATTCAAATGCAATGGGGAAAAAAACTGAAAAATAAACTGCAAATCTTATCCCAGATGAGTGATTTTCTGAGTTCAATGGAAGTTGTATTAAAAAGTCTGCGAACCACCCCGATGTCAAATGAGGATGAAGGGGAATAGATATAGAAGGAAAAAGCAACAGAGACCTAAAAGGCACTTCAAAGAAGAATGAACTGTGTATCATCGGATTTGGAGTGGCCCTTGGGAACACTGCAAGCTCTGGAACACATTTTTAAAAAGCACTCCTATTTATGAACTTGCTGCTGAAGTCAAACAAGATACAAGGAAGGTCACATAAGCTTATAAGGAAAACTACAAAACCTGGGCTAACATTTGATCTACAACACTTATAACGTAATGTAAACAAAAGATGAAGTGAGCTTTTTCAAAAAGTTTTGTTTTTACAAGTATTCTTCAAGCTCAAATATTTTGTCTTTCATCATTGTCTACCAAAGATGGGTAAAGTGAGCCTCCAGATGAAAAGCAACCTTTCTGAAGAGCACAGGCCAGGCGAGAAAAGTTGGGCAGTGAGGCCAGCCTTGGATTCCAGCCTTCATCCTGCCACTGTTCTGTGCACCTTCCCTGATCTGACGCTGCAGCCTACCTGACCTGCTGAGAGGCAAACGAGAGAACGCGTGGTCTCTGCTTCTACTGCCACGGGTTCCAGTTACCTGGGACATTTTATCCATGCTAGTTACATCGACAGCAGTTACTTCCTATTGTTTGAGATGGGATGAAGTAGCAAACATCACACAACAAGGACAATAATAGTCCCTCTTTCAAATCAGGCGCATCAAGGAAGTGTTTCTGTGGAACGTTTGAGGAAGAAGGAAGGATCTCACCCAGCTTTCTTCGGGAGAAAACGTGCGAGATTTTTAAGATGAACCATTGACACATTCCTTGGTAGTAAATGTTTTGTAATAACCCTTTACGAGATTTTTTTTAATTATCAAATTTGTTTACCCTTTGTTTCAAACTTCTAATTTTATTGCATTTTGGCCAAAGTGTTTAATCTATCAGAATTTCCACTGCAGCAAATTTCATTTAAGCAGAACTTAGTGACACTGATGGAAAAAATGTTTTCACTTGACAAAGCCTGTTCAGATGGTGAGCTGTTTTAGTTTACAAAATGGAATATTGGGAAATCTTTCAAGGGGTGCAGAAAGCGTTAGATCTGACTTCCCTTCACAAGGGCTGCCCCCTAAATCTGCTGTAAGTTAAGTCAGTAACTGTGACCTCTGTTCTCAACCCTAACAGAGACAGGTGGTCAACAAAGTTTTCTTTCCTTTTTTTTTTTTTTTTGATTTATTTATTTATTTGAAAGTCAGAATGACAGGGAGAGAAAGAAAGACAGAGAGAGATTGAGAGATCGAAAGATCTTTCATCTGCTGATTCACTCCCCAGACAGCCTCAACAGCCAGGGCTGGGCCAGACCATACCCAGGAGCTTCCTCCAGGTCTCCCACGTGGGTATCAGGGGCCCAAGCACCTGGACCATCTTCCACTGCTTTTCCCAGGCCACCAGCAGAGAGCTGGATGGGAAGTGGAGCAGCTGGGACATGAACCAGTGTCAATAAGGGATGCTGGTACTCCACGTGTAGATTTACCTGATATGCCACAATGCTGGTTCCCAGTGAATATATTCTTGATCAATGAGACAATGAATGCTCACAAAACTAAACGTGGCACACAAAATTATTTCTCCATTTTAAAAAAGTAAGGGAAAAAAAGAGTATTAGGCAAAGTATTTTGCTCAGGGTTGACACCCTCTGTAAAAAGTTAAACTGTCACTAGAACTATATCCTCTAATACCCAGTCTATCTCCCACTAAGCACACCCCTCCACATAGACAGCGGGAACCTGGAACAGTTTTCTGTTTCATCAGACTCTATGTGCCAGTACTGTGCTGTCACGGAGTCCACCACAGATTCACATTCTAATAGTCTGAGCACACACTGAAGTTCCCTTCCTAGGTGCTGATCCATCAAGGGCAGGGAGTGGCTTACGACGCCATACAGTCTCACAGTGTCGCTCCCCGTCTTCATGGAGGAACGACACAGGACCCTGCGCTGTTCTTTCGTCTGCTCGGCCCTCCCCGGGTTTGCTGCTGGTTCTTCCCGGGTTGGCTACTATCCCTTCCACCTCCGTGGAAGGGCAGTTCCCCCTGGCCACATTCCCCACTTCCGCAGGGGAGCGGCACACCGCCGGCCGGCTCTCTTGGGGGCTGCACAGGTGTTCCCCTTAGATGTTCCCCTTAGATGTTCCTGGTGCATGCCGTCTCTCTCCTCCTTTATAGTCCTCCTCTGCCAATCCCAACTCGGCTGCCCACACGCCGAGTACGCTGCTCTCCTCCAATCAGGAGCAAGTCCTACAGTTTATTGGCTGAACTGGAGGCAGCTGTGTAGAAGCTGTTTTCTTCTCTCCCAGCACCATGTTGTGGGAGAGCAGATGCATAGAATAAGTCTTAATTCCAGTAACTTAGTCTAGTCCGAGCTGCTCCCCACACACAGCCCTTCATACAGGTTTTCTTTCTCATTTCCATTGCTCTCAGTCATAATGAATCAATTAAGCACTGAATGTGTACTCTGCTCTGTATCCTTTAATAAAAAACTCAAAGAAGCGGAAGTAGGTTAAGCCATAGCTTGGTTTGCCTGCATCCCATATCACAGTACCTGATACAAGTCTCAGCTACTCTTCTCCCCATCTAACTTCCTGTTATTGCACCTGAGAGACATCAGATGATCTGCCATCCATTCAGGAGACCCAGATAGAGTTCCTGGTTCCTGGTTTTGGTCTAGCCCTACTCCAGCTGATCCAAGAACTTGGGAAGTAAACCAGTAGATGAAGATGGATTTCTTTCTCTCTCTGCCTTGCAAATAACTCATTTAAAATAAGCTTAAGCAAACTAAAATGATCATGAGTCAAGTAAAACAGAATACAAGGTCCAAAATGTCAAACACAAGGACTCTCAAAACATAGAGCCACCCAGCAGTGTGTGTCAGACAGTGGAAGATCCTTTCCCATGACTCACTCAGCTGTCACATTAGCAGTGGGTCCTTCTTCTGTTTCCCCTAAGCCCCAGGCTAAATTGTGTGAGAAGGGGGTGCCCAACAACCCAACTCCATCCAGGTTCTGGGGGACTGGGATGTTAATTACTAAGAAGAAATTTATGCTCAATCCACTAAAATTGCTGTGGGTCTATGATGAATTTATCAATTATTTTGTAAGGGCCCAATAAGTACACATTTGGACACTGATATAGGAAATGGTAACTGGAGATTAATAGTACACTCTTGTCACCTTTCTTCCACAAACCACCTACAGTATGCCAGGATGGGAAAAAAACAAGAAGGAAAAAACTTACTTTGAGCAGCCATGTGAGAACGGAATCACGATAAGGAACAAATTTATTCTTGTTTTTGCCAGCACTCTGGTCTGCCAGGGCGGAGATAACCAGACCGAGGGTTGTGAGGGACCTGCACAGTACAACAAACCATAACAATTACACAAAAGGAGTAACAATTACACAACTGTCACATTTTAGCACAAAGACTGAAAACCAAGATGCTTTGCTCCTACTTGTGAGCAGCACTGTCGTCAACATTTTGCTGCTCAGTTTAGAAAAACACAAATTCTAAGTAGCTGTTGTCCCTCTAAGAATACATCAAGCAATGAAAATGCTTAGCCTGATTGTTTATTTCATTTGGGTAGATGAAAATGTAAGCTGTAAATCTTCAGGTCAAGATAAAGATTCAAATAGCTCTTCAAGAAAGGAACCACAAACACAACAACAAAAACATTTATAAGGCAAAAAACATGCATGTTTTAATAACAGTACAACATGTGGATGGCAGTGTCCCATTATCTCCAACTGGTGACTAATGGCTTGCTATGCGTCCTTCCAGGAGCCATGAGGACAGAAAATATCCCCACCCACAAGGACTTAACAGTTTAGCTTGAGGAGGAAACTGTAACCACATGAAGGAAAAAGCAAACAGATGTTTATCTCATAAGATCCTAGCTTCTTGCACTTGGACACACAGCAGCAGTTAGAATACACCTAGTACACATGCTGTTTGCTCAGAGAGCAACACATGGGTCAAGGTCTACAGTGAAAAATCAGAGAGACCTTTGTTCTTTAATATAGATGAGACCAATGATTCTCAACCCGGGGTGGGGGCGGGCGGGAGGGGAGGGACACACCGTGCACCTCTAGCAAATAGATAGCCAGGCTGAGAGTCTGGGTTGTACCATTGCATGTGAGGGGAGAGGCAGCAGGTGCTACTGCCATCTAGTGGGCAGATGCCCAGGATGCTGCAAAACATCCTACAGTGCACAAGATCACTCCTCTTCCAGGACAAAGAATTACCCAAAACGTCAATAGGGCCGCTGTTGAAACACCAACTTAACTGGGGCTCCTCTGACTCGTCAGGCATTACACAACATAAAGTGAGCTCAGGCCCATTAAAAATACAAAAAAAAAAAAAAGTTCTGAACTACCTATGATAGCCTTAATCTCTCCAGAATCTTATTATTTTAATAACCACAGAGGTTCACCTATTTGGCTATTAAATCAATAAATCAGCTAAAAAAAAAAAAAAAAGCTTCTGGGAAACTTACTTGTTAATGTTGCTCCCTTCCTTCAGCCTGTCACCTGCAGCTCCAGTTTTTGTTGCTCGTTCACTACCGGCTAAGTCCACCAAGCTCAGTTTGCCCACTTTCTCCCCAGATGTCTACCAAAAAAGTGATAAACACCAGTACATAGTTAAAAAGTACAGAAATCAGACTGTCTCAATTGAGTTTGTCTAAATCCTTCACTGCAGTTATTTACTGTTATTTCAAAATCATTTTGTGCTGGTATGCAACACTGAAACTATATACTCTAGCTGGTAAATTCACACAGCAGCTACAGAGCTCCACTCACCCAAAAAGCCTGAAAGTTCATTATCTCAGACACAGCACCTTGAAATGACACACTTTGAAGACAGCCAAAACAGTTCAGAGAAATACACAAAATATTTTTTATTTTTATCATGGTTTGAAACTATACTTAAAACTTCATGAATATTTACCAATAATTCTGAGGCAAAATACTTGCAATTCTTACTGCTCTAGAAAAACACTAATCTGACTTTTATACAATAAAAGAATTCCTCAACACATGTTCTGAAGTCTTCCATCTTACTCATATTTAATAATTCCTTCCTATTTCACAACTGCAGGTATCAGAGTTACATCTTTTTCTAGTTAAGATATTATATATACATGTATATAGCATTTTCTTTTTCAAAACTCATATACATACATGTAACAAATATTTTACTCTTCAGCAACAGTGCAAAAATAAAAGAAACCAATGCCAGTTGGATCCTTTTAAGACTTTCCTTTAAAATACACATGAGTATGTATTTCCATAAAATAAACATGTGACTAACAAAAGGATACTTGGTTTCCCAAATTAAGAGCACTTTTGGTTTAATAAAAAAAGGCCTTCAATGTTTTTCGTTTTATGCTGAAAAGGAAATAGGAAACAAAGAACTTTTTGTTGTTTAACACTAGTCTTGCTGTGATGGTAAAATAAGAAAAATAGGCTTTCAGCAAATGAAAATCCTGCCAAACATAGCACTTTGCAGGGTGATTATTTTAACTCCTGGTATTTGAAATTAATACATAATAAACTATACAAAACTTCACACAAAAGAGGAAAACACATGCGTGAGTCAACAGGGACATTGTCAACGTGGCAGAAGTATAAATATGACTCCATTTATCCCTCACAAGATCCCCAACCGAAAACTCAAGAATTACTCAACAAGATCTAGTAACTTTACAGTACAATCTCCCGAGAGCAAGTCAGTCCTTCCAACACTAGCCACTTAGCAGAAGGCGACACTGCAAAAATAAACAGAATGCACTCAATCAGCTGCAGTGTCAGTCTTGGCTTCCGCAGTCGCCACCACTCGAAAGCTCAGAAACCCTGGGTCGCCACTTGCCTACCTTCTGAGCCACCCTCCCTTAGGTGGAGGCTAGGGAGCTAACCTCTGCCTCTGTCAGACACCCTTCAGCCAGGGTTCCCTGGGTGACACAGGGTCCATCAACCAGATCCTCTTGCTAAAGATGTGGAAAGCACAGGTAAAGCAGAGGCCATTGCCCTGCTTCCCTGTGTGTGTTTTTCGTGGCAAGCAGGTCATGGAAATGTGATGCTTTCTGCTGGAAGATGCCAGCACAGCCTCTGCCTTCCAGGGAGCTACGGGGCAGCTGCAAGGACAAAAGCACCGTCTTTAATTCTGCTTCCTGACCAGGGTCACAGGCTGTGCCTTGAACTCCTAGCTCTCGAGGCGTCCTTGTGGGTTCTGGAGGTTATTCCCCAAGATTCCACCTGGAACCAACTCCTCCTTAGGTTGTGGAAACATCTCTGTAGTCACCTCACTGTTTACAGTCCAGCCCTGTCTGCTCACCTGCTTGTCCAAGTCCTACCTGACACATGAGTGTGCCTAGGACTTTTAACCTGAAGAGAAAAAGACAAGCCATGATCCACTCCAGAATGTCAACACAAAGGTAACGCACTGGACACCTACCCCAGACTTCACATCGTACAGAGTATGTGTGAGGGTGATTTTGAAGACTGCATGGGACCGGCTGCTCTCCTCATTCATGTTGGTTGCAGCAACTGTGCGAGATTTGTTACCCTCAGACATCAAAGACTCGATATCCTAGGCGGAGATAAGTCAGACACACATCTCATCATCCATGTAGCAAATATGAAAACTCTGCTACCCACATGGAATGCATTACAAATTTCATTACTTAGTCAACAACGAACACTGAACCCCACAGAGCACAACAGCTAATACTGTCTCTGAAAACTCAAAGCCCATTATTTTCTGCAGGCACAGACCAAAGAGGCAAGCTGCATTTAAAAATCAGAAAAATTTAGAACCAGGACCAGCACTGTAGTACAGCGGTTAAAACCACTGCCTGAGGCCAGCATTCCACCCACATGGGTGCCAGTTCATATCTCAGCTGTTCTACTTCAGATCCAGCTTCCTGTCAATGACCTGGGCAAAGCTACCCAAGTGTTTGAGTCCCTGCTACTCAGGTGGAGACCCAGATAAAGCTCCTGGCTCCTGAGTGGGCCCGTGCTGGCCATTCTGGCATTCTGGGGAGTGAACCAGTGGATGAAAGATCTCTTTCTGCCTCTCCCTCTCTAACTCTGACTTTCAAAATCAAGAAATAAATCTTTAAAAAAAAAAACAACAACTTTAGAAGCTATCCTTTTGAATCACACAGATGGATGCATTTGTCATGCTAACCTCACCTAATTAGAAAATTTTTTAAAACTTAGATTTTTAATCATTGATTCAATACAACTTTACTATTTATACTTTTTTTTTTTAATTTGTTCATTTCATTTATTTGAAAGGCAGAGTTCGAGAGAGAAAGGGAGAGACAGAGAGACCTTCCATCCACTGGTTCACTCACCAAATGGCCACAATAGCCAGAGCTGGGCCAGCCTGAAGCCAGGAGCTTCTTCCAGGTCTCCCATGTGAGTGCTGGGACCCAAGCATTTGGGCCATCTTCCGCTGCTTTCCCAGGCTCATTAGCAGGGAGTTAGATGGAAGTGGAGCAGCCAGGACTCGAACCAGAGCCCATATGAGATGCCAGTGCTGCAAGCAGCAGCTTTTTTTTTTTTCACTACGCCACAGCACCATCGCCCCCCCCCCACCAACTTTACTGTTCAAACAGATTATACACAAATAAGCAGCCAACAAATAACTTGTAACTTCTTCACTCAATGTATATCACCAGCTACCACCTTTGTCTATCTTACCAGATCTGTTTTGAATATCTACATTTGTACATATTTGTTCGAAAGTCAGAGAGAAACAGACAGACACACCTTCCATCCATTGGGTCACTCCTAAAATGCCCACAACAGCCAGAGCTGCACCAGCCAAAGCCAGGATATCAATCCAGGACTCCCACATGGGTAACAGAGACCCAGCTATTCCAGCTCTCATTGCTGTCTGCCGAGGTGTGCATTGGCAGGAAGCTGGAATCAGGAGTGCAGCCAGGACTCAAACCCAGGCACTCCATCATGCAGGTATCCTAGCAGTGTGTCAGCCACTATACAAATGCCCACCCCAAAGCCATCTGTAAAATGAGAATACTGAAAGACTAATTTTCTATATAGATTTACCACTTGCTTGCTAGTACTGATGAAAGAAAGGAGGAGGGGGGAGGGAAAGACAAAGGAGGGGGAGGAAAGCAGGGGAAAGAAAGAAGGAGGGAGGGAGGGGCAGACAGAATATAATAAAGACCATGGATTTTCATTTTGTAAAATGCTGCAAGTTCTAAAATTGTCACTTAGTAATCTGAACTTCAGTTTCATTAGTAAGACTAATGAAAGACTACAAAGCTGTTAGGAACATCTACTTTACAAGGATTTTAATAAGAAAAAAGAAAAGACTACATGAAAGATAATAAGTCGCCTCCTATTATCCAGTCTCCTCTTCTTTCCAGTAAAAGAACCCAGCTTTTAGCTCAGCATATCACAGCAGAGCTGAGACTGCCTCTCCCAACCACCCTTGCAGCTCAGTCTGGCCACATGATGCATAAGATGGACTGTATAACACAGGCCCTCTGGGAACTCTCCTTAAAGAATGCAGGTGTGCTACCACATCTTGGTCCTAAGAGACTGCTTGAACTGTGAAAACAGGGGCATGGCTGCATCTCTCTATATGGCATTCTGAAAGAAACCTACCACCACCACTGGAACATCCACCCCTAACCCCTAGACTTCTTTCAGGTGAAAAGTCTGTGTAAATCACCATTCATTCACTTATTCAAATGTATACTAAGCACCTACCACATGCCAGGTACTCTCTAGACATTGAGGATACATAAGGAACACAAGAGAATAATCCACACTTCAAAGAATTGCAGCCCTATACAGTTTTTATGTTATCTGCAGCTGAACATAATTCTGACACATATATACAGTCTCATGTGTTGCTGTATAAATATAAAAACGTTATTTCTTGAAAAGTTCAACAAAATAAAAGCCTCGAAAAAAAAAAAAAAAAACCATTAATGGGATTGGAGGGGAGGGGTTGAGTGGGGCAAGGGGTATAAGTAGGCACCAGAACAGATAAAGGACAACAGGTAAAATTCACAATCATCTAGATCTATTCCAAACCCATTAAGTCTGACAATCCTGAGGCTTAATTTAAAAGCTTCTTCCTCTTTAGCCTACATTTATTTGCTGGTCTCTAATCTGCTATCTCATTTTTAAGATTTTCACAAGAAGTGATTAAGTGATTCTATTGTAAGATTCATTTTTGAAAATAACAAATTAAACAAACAAGAACACTGTACGTCCCTCAGTTCCAGTAGTTGACAAAGGATGCTGTTACCTTGTAGCCTGTGACAGCCAGTTTAGAAAGTCCATCCACATAGGGTCCCAATACACTATGCTCTCTGACTTTCAACGTTTGGCGGCTTCTGTTCATAAAAAGCAAAAGAATTTATTTTTAATAATAATCTGTTTTTTTTAAAGACTCAGCTGTGCTCCATAAACATATATGCTGAATTCAAAAGAGACCCCCAAATAAATAAAACCCACTGATTTGATCCCAGAAGAATTTAAAGCGAACTTTAAAATCCTCACTGGGAAGAAAACCTTCATAATGTGGCAAAATATCACATCCTTCAAAAGGGTACACCGTGGGATGTCTATTTACTACACAAAGAATGCAGAGTCAAATAAATATGAACAATCTACTTGTCATTTCACAGAATGTGGTACAAAGGGCGGAAACTCAATAAATGTTAGCTATGCAAGGAAGGAAAACTACAGACCAATCTCAACCATGAATAGGGAAAAACAAAAGACAACAAACTGAATCTAATAACTACAAACACAAAATTGGGCTTACCCCAGGGCTGTTAGGCTGCTTTAACATTACAAAGAAAGATCCTGCACTTAATCACACTGACAGACTAATGGGGCAGGGGGAGGGGATGTGTGCGATCATTTTAATAAAGGCACGAACATGGAGTCAATAAAAATTAAAAATGAATACTTGTTTTTTTTTTTTTTTTTAAAGTAATCTTTTGGCAAACAAGGAACTGATAACTCAGTAAACTGCATCCACTAAGAACACAGAACACCACAGCATAGTTCACGTGACAGAACAAGCAGCAGCCAGGTGCCTGCTGGCCAAAGGGCACAAAATGCTAGTCAGAAGATCTATTGCACAGAATACTGACCACAGTCAACAATAATATAATGCATGTATCCAAACTGCTGAGAATAGGTTTTTAAATGTTGACCACAAAAATGTAAATACTTGAGGCTATGTTATTTAGTTTGATTTGATCATTCGACAATGTTTCCATAGATCGAAACATCATATTGTACCCTATAAATATACGTGATTTTTATTTGCCAACTAAAAATAATTCTTTTATAAAATATAGTACTTCGACCGTGAGATTACAAGTGATTCTTTTTGTTTGTCCATATTTTCCACCATAAATGTGTGCTCATTCTAAACTATATAAAATCTTGCTTTTTTAAAAATAAGTAATGAATTATAATGCTTAAACTTGTTTGGCAGTTCTTCAATCGCTAAGAAATAAAGACCCCATTCCTCAGCTCGATAGGCAAGCTCCTTTCTAACCTGCTCTTACCCACTTCTCTTGTCTCGACTTTCTCATCCTCATCGTCTCTCCAGAATTCATTGGTATGTTTCCATTCTTAAACACACTATGGACTCCAGCAGAGCCAGAACAATGCCTGGACAACTGGGGTGATACAGCTTCTAGTACAATTCTGGCACCTAAGAGTCACTCAGTGAATAAGTGGTGATAAAGAGGACTCCCGAACTGCTGGCTTACAAGATGTAGAGAGAAAGTGCTAGTAACAAAAGCGCAGAGTGGAAAGAAGAAAGGGTCAAGAATGCACAACATGAGCAATGAGCACAGACACCGCAACCAGCCCACCACCCTCACCTACAGCTGGAGGCCAGCCCAGCACCCTCACCTACAGAGGCCAGCCCACCACCCTCACCTACAGAGGCCAGCCCACCACCCTCACCTACAGAGGCCAGCCCACCACCCTCACCTACAGTCAGAGGCCAGCCCACCACCCTCACCTACAGTCAGAGGCCAGCCCACCACCCTCCCTCACCTACAGCTGGAGGCCAGCCCACCACCCTCACCTACAGACGGAGGCCAGCCCAGCACCCTCATCTACAGACAGAGGCCAGCCCAGCACCCTCACCTACAGTTAGAGGCCAGCCCACCACCCTCACCTACAGAGACCAGCCCAGCACCCTCATGTACAGAGGCCAGCCCAGCACCCTCATCTACAGTTAGAGGCTAGCCCAGGAACCTCACCTACAGCCAGAGACCAGCCCACCGCCCTCACTTACAGCCAGAGACCAGCCCACCACCTTCACCTACAGCCAGAGACCAGCCCACCACCTTCATCCACAAGTCATAGGAGGTCAGGAAGAGCTGTAGAATGGCCTTTCATGGAAGCAGCAAAGTTAGGGAATAGGGAAGTGACTTTCAAATCTAAACTGTTTACTGTCCTCCAGTACACCATTATGATATTTTCTCATGATTAGCAATCTTAGAGAATGTAGGATCAAGCATTGAAACCGTCACTATATAACTGTAGATGAAATATATATAGAACAGGAGGCTGGTACTATGCTTAACGAGTAAAGCCACCACCTGCAATGCCAGCATCTTACTTGGGTGCCAGTTCATATCGCAGCTGCTCTACTTCCAATCCAGCTCCCTGCTAATGGCCTGAGAAACGTAGTGGAAGATGGTCCAAGTGCTTAGGCCCCTGCCACTCATGTGGGAAAACTGGAAGGAGCTCCTGGTTTTGGTCTGGCCTAGCCCTGGCCGTTGTGGCCATCTGGTGAGTGAGCCAGTGAAGGATCAAAGATCTGTGTCTGTCTCTATCTTTCAAATAAATAAATAAATCTGTTTTTAAAAAATGAAATATGTGTAGAACAAATGTTTGGACATATTCCATTATTTTCTTCCTTTGATTTTTCTTTTCTTAAAGATAGTGCCTACTATATTTTTCCTGAGTAAAACAATGTAATCATGATACTGTACAAAGTAGATGTTGAATTAATAAAATTAGTACTTGAATGAAAAGGCCAAGTTCTCCCAAATACTGTACAGCTAAAACGAGATCACATTTGAAGGTATCAATCCATTATTCTTCAACTTCCCCAAGGGCTTTTCATGGGAGGAAAACAATGGCTGCCACTTACTGAGCACTTGCTATGTCAGTAAATGTCCTAAGACCTCAGCTGTATCATCCCAGGCTGTCTGCACAGCAGCCCACTGAGACACTGTATAATCACAGCATTCTCCTCCATACAAGTTAGCCCTGGGAAGCATAAGGAATTTGCAAGATATGTGACAAGAAGACCTGGACACATAGCTACATGGCTCCAAAATCCACCCTATGTATTACTAACCTACACACAAGACAAACTCATAATAAACTACTAAAGGTTATGAATAACTGTAGATAGTGAAGTCCAAGCAATTCCACACAAGCACTGTGGAATACAAAACAAAAGAACAAACAGGTATGCAGTCAATCAGTTAAGAATTTCTGGAATGAGTAAGTCTGGGCTGGACCTCAAAGATCTTCACAGAGGTTAGAGTGCAAGAGAAAGTATTCAAGGCAGAGCAATAAAACATACAGGGATATGAGAGTAAGCAAGCTGTGCGTGCCTGGGCTATCCTCCACCCACCTCCATCCTTGTGCTCCATCTAACTTCCACAAACTCTCTCTCCAACTACACTGAACTGACAAATCACTCTCCAAACAGGTCATTTCTTTGCTTCTCCATGCTTTGCTACAGGCTTTTTCCCATGCCTGAACAGTTGTCAGCTAATCTCTCAGTGGACAAATGTCTACTCGGCACAAAACTCATAAAGTCCCCTCTGTGGACTCGTCCCTTCTCCAGCCACAATCACTCTCTTTGCTCTCTCTATTCTATCAGCTTCCCTACAAGTTATAAGCAGACTGTAGTACATTACAATTATTTGTCTATAAAACTTTCATTCTGTCCAAAGAGTTAAGACTTTCCTCTATCAATTTGTATGGTGCCAGGCATATAAGAATCACTCAATAAATGTTCGTTAAGTAAACTTTGTGAAGAAACAGTAAGTACCAATTCAGTCACCCTGTGAAAGCCTAAAGGCCATTACCTATGTGTACACACACACACACACACACACTCACACGGCGCTGGAGAGCACAGAGGTGGTTTCCTCTTGATCAAGCATCACTGAATCACTGCCTCTAAGATCATCTTCCCTGGATCATCTTCCCCATCAAAATGTAATTAAATGTCTCCCGTTGTCCCATGCCCTTTCTTTAAGCCTCAGCTCAGCTGGCTCTTCAACCTTCCTCATGCTATTTTGGCAACAGCAAGCTGCAGGTGGTCACCCCACTGCTGCAGTTCCTTAGAACTCTGCGCACGGAAAGGACGTCCTCACCTGCCTCCCGCTTTCCTCATTCAGTTAGCTGTGCCTACGGAGTCACAGGAGCATCTTCCGCTACTTCTGGGCCGCTTCTCTTCTGAAGTCTATGCCAGGAAATCACGGGCACTTCCTCCCCAGGGAAATCTTCAACCATTCTCAAGACCAGGTTTCCTATCTGATTATACCTCTCCTTCATCTCACAGCCTACAAACAGCTGAATTCCACCTAAAATTTCTTGGTTTAAGAGTGGTTTAAACCTACCAGTTAGGCTAAATGACAAATGTTCTTCAGCTATTTTTTGTCTATGGCTTTGAATGAATCTGAGAAAGGCAGTATGACAAAAATGAGGGCACCTCAAAAAGTTGGTGCAAACATGGAGTTGAAAGCTAAGTTTCCTTTTGTGAAAAAAAAATTTTGAGACCCATGCATACATGGAGGTCTTCATAAAGTTAGGTAAAACGCCTACTATAAAAATCTGAATTTCAGAAGTTTTTGCACCAAAATTATCTTTTCATTATATTTGTCTACAAATTTTTATTTCATTATTTATTTGAAACAGATAAAAAGAGACCTTCCATCTTATATTCATTCCCCAAATGCCCACAATTACTGGGGCTGGGCAAGGCTGAGTCAGGAACCCAGAACTCTATCCAGGTCTCCCATGTGGGAAAGGAACTCAAGCGCTTGAGCAATCACTGGCTGCCTTCCAGGGTACATATAAGCAGGAAGCTGAGCCAGGACTTGAACCCAGACACTCCAATATGGGATACAGGCATCCCACACAGCTTCTTAACCAGTACACCAACACCTGCCCATGTCCACAAACTTTCTCAAACACCTTTGTACATGTCTGTTCAACCACTCTTCTCTGCCCCTAAATTCCTCTCTTCACTCAGCCCTAAGTTGAAAAGCCCAAACCTGGCTGCTTGCAGGAAGCTACTCAACATAATTCAAAATAAATCACAAAGATAGTTACTAGATGATTCTCTAATAGAATTCAATATAAAAAATTTCCTTAAGCCCATTTATTAAGTCTTCATTAGTCCATAACACTGTAACATTGAAGGCTCAAGTTATTTTACCCTTTGGGATCCAGGAGATCTCTAACTTTCTCATTATAAATTTCCATGTAGGACACTTCTACTTTAAAACTCTGCTCTTCATTCTCCTCTTTCTGGGTTCGTTCAAAGAGGCTACTGCAAAGTCGTGGGATTAATCCAGGTTGGTCAGCTGTGCCCATCATCGTATAAGACTTCCCAGACCCTAAAAAATGAAAATCAGAGTTATTACGGTCTCAGATGTTTAAATACATAACTCTCTCCACTAGCACTGAATAAAATGCCCAAAATGCTTGAAGAAATATACTCAAACATAATATACAGAAGTGTCCATATGACATATATGAAAGTCATCAGAAAATGTCCCTTAGAAAATTTATTGTCCTTAATCACATGTATGCTAAAAAAAAAATGCCTAAAACATAAACTGGGGGGGCCAGCACTGTGGTGCAGTGGGTTAGCACCCTGGCCTGAAGCACTGGCATCCCATATGGGCACCGGTTCAAGACCCGGCTGCTCCACTTCCAATCCAGCTCTCTGCTATGGCCTGGGAAAGCAGTAGAAGATGGCCCAGGTCCTTGGGCCCCTGCACCCACGTGGGAGACCCGGAAGAAGCTCCTGGCTCCTGGCTTCGGATCAGCACAGCTCTGGCCATTGCGGCCAACTGGGGAGTGAACCATTGGATGGAAGACCCCTCTTTCTCTTTTCTCTCTGCCTCTCCTCTCTCTGTGTAACTCTGACTTGCAAATAAATAAATAAATCTTTAAAAAAAACATAAACTGGGAAAATCCATACAACTTATACTGTTATCTCTGCTCCCACTCACTAATCGTAGCACAAAAAATATGGGTTCTCACTGTAATCCCCAGAGCAAATTAACTTACTGCCCTTTGGCAACAGTGTGGAAACCAAAGGACAATCTTTTTCTATGATAAAATCATTTTCTCCATTGTAATAGAAATTCATATTCATTAAAAACATTTTAAAAACACAGGAATATAGAGGAAAATTAAATGATCATAGTCCTAATATTCCCAAACACTAACCATTGACACTTAATAATTCTTTTTTTAGTAGCAATGATTTCACAAACATGCTTTTAACCACACACAGTGTTACTCTGGTCACTTGCCACCTCACCCTAAAACTCAACACCACCTCCCACTGCGCAGGTCTTTCCTGACATCCACACACAGTGGCTTATTATGACAACTGCAACAGGCAAGTCTGTGAATTAGCAACATCTGACAGGAAAGGACACACGGGAGAAGAGCTGCTGGGGCATCTGCCCACGTTTCCCAGCTGCTGAGTAGCAAGAGCAGGGCTGGGGCACAGTCTGCTCAAGGTTGCTGCTCTTCCAACCACTACAAACGATGCTGCTTGAAAATATCATAAGTAGTGTTTCTGGTGAAGAGCAGTTTCCAGCTGGACAAGCTACACAAGCGTAAGATACAATCATACAAGCAACTGGTTCACTTGTAACAGGCATTCTTTCCCTGACCACAGGGATGCAGAAGCTGAAAAGCTCCTTATCAATTGTAACCAAAAACAAATGAACAAATATGTTCTTTTAGGTCCATATTTCCCCATTATGATCCTTAAAGCTTTCAAAAGCAGGATATACAGGCATGGCTAATAATAAAGTTCAACAGTCATAGCTCTGTAATGTATTTAAAAAATACAACTCTACCATTGTCTTACGAGAAGATCAGGAAAGAAAAAGAATCCTAAGCCTAATTTCATTACGCCCATTAAAAACAAAAAACAAACAAAAAAAAAAACAACCTATAGTGCTTCCTGACAAGGCAAATCAGAATAAATCAGCAACATGCTGCTTGGTAAACATGACTATTTCATCTTTCACTGCGAGCTGTGTGCTCGTGTGATTTCATATGCTTTACCATACCTGTCTGTCCATAGGCAAAGATGCAGGCATTGTAGCCATCGAAAGCATTCTGAAGGATGTTCTCCCCCAGGCACTTGAAAACATCATCTTGACCTGAGAGACAGAGAATGCTGTAATCCAAAACTACACATGAACAATTAAAAAAAAATTCAGTAATATACAATCAGCTTATCTCCACACAAAATTTTTAAGCTTGATAAATGCTCCCCAAGGCTTATGCCCTTCAGTTACTTCTAATTAGCACATGAGGGACAATCAGAATTTTCTTTTTTTTTTAACATTTCTTTTTTTTTTTAATTAATTTATTTATTTTGACAGGCAGAGTGGACAGTGAGAGAGAGAGATAGAGAGAAAGGTCTTCCTTTGCCGTTGGTTCACCCTCCAATGGCCGCCATGGCCGGTGCATCGTGCTGATCCGAAGGCAGGAGCCAGGTGCTTCTCCTGGTCTCTCATGGGGTGCAGGGCCCAAGCACTTGGGCCATCCTCCACTGCACTCCCTGGCCACAGCAGAGAGCTGGCCTGGAAGAGGGGCAACCGGGACAGAATCCGGTGCCCAGACCGGGACTAGAACCCGGTGTGCCAGCGCCACAAGGCGGAGGATTAGCCTAGTGAGCCTTGGCGCCGGCAAGAATTTTCTTTTTTTTTTTTTTTTTTTTAATCCAAACGCACTTCTCTTTATTCAAACCAGGGTCGAGGTGGCCACGTGGGGCAAGAATTTTCTTATAACACATACTTTATTGCATCAGCACTGCAACACAGAAGGCCAATGAGCCACCTATTCTATAACCACACATTAAAACATCTAGATTTACACTTGGGACCCTGGTGTACCTGACTTTTTTATATTCCACTCAGTATATGTTTTTGTTCAATGAGTACCAGAGTTTAGAACAATCACATCTACAATATATACCAGTTAGGACGGGAAGTAATAACCTGGACCCTTCCTTGAGCTTTTTTTTTTTTTTAATTATTTTTATTTGAACGAGTTATATATAGAGAGAGACCTTCCATCTGCAGGTTTACTCCCCAGATGGCCGCAATGGCTGGAGTTGGGACAGGCCAAAGCCAGGAGCTTCATCTGGGTCTCCCACATGGTAGCAAGGGCCCAAGCACTTGGGCCTTCTTCCACGGTTTTTTCCCAGGTCATTAGCAGGAAGATGGATCAGAAGTGGAGCATTCGGGACTCAAACCAGTACCCATTGGGATGTCAACATTGCAGGTGGTGGCTTTATCCACTACGCCACAATACCGGCCCCTTCCTTCAGCTTTTAATCATGAACATCAGTAACAGGGCTAAGTTTTTTGGCTCCAGGCCAAATAAGATACATCATCATCAGTCAATAATTACATGTGAACCTCACTGAGTTTCAAATAAGGTATGGAAGGAGGGGAGCTGCATTTTGGCAATGGCATTCTACTGTGTCTCAGTTCCTAGTTAACCATACTTTTGATACTATAGCGATTTGTAAAGTCATCCCTGGGCCAGCCAGACCAAATAAACTAACTTTTCCAACAGCCGTAGTATGGTTCTTTCTCAGAACAGAAGCCAGTACAATGACGTTCAATATATCAAAGGGATTGCTCATGGGTGGAAGTCTGACTCAGCTGTTAAGACTCGACTGGGACACCCGCATCAGCCTCCAAGCTCCCCTCCTGACTCCAACCTCCTGCTAAGGTGCATTCAGGGAGGCAGCGAGTGATGGCTTAAGTTTCCAGGTCCCCGTCACCCACACGTGAGACCTGAGTTGAATTCCCAGCTGCTGGCTTCAGCCTGGCCCAGGCCCAGCTACTGGCATTTGGGCAGTAAACCAATGGACAAGAGATCTTGTATGTTTCTCTGCCTTCCAAATAAAGAAATTTTTTAAAACATAGATTCTTGGGGCCAGTGCAATGGCATAGCACATGAAGCTGCTGCGTGCAGCGCCGACAACCCATATGGGCACCAGTTCGAGTCCCAGCTGCTCCACTTCCAATCCAGTTCTCTGCTATGGCCCGAGAAAGCGGTGGAAGATGGCCCAAGTCCTTGGACCCCTCCACCCACACGGGAGACCCAGAAGAAACTCCTGGCTCCTGGCTTCGGATAGGTGCAGCTCTGGCCATTGTGGCCATCTGGGGAGTGAACCAGGAGATGGAAGACCTCTCTCTCTCTCTCTCTGCCTCTGCTCTCTGTAACTCTGCTTTTTAGATAAATAAATTTATCTTAAAAAAATTAAATAAAATTATTCTTGGAGTAGACCTAATAGCACAGCAGGTTAAGTCACTACTTGGGACACTCACATCCCATATGAGAATACCAATCTGAATTCTGACAACTCTGCTTTCAATTCAGTTTTCTAGCTTCCTACCAGTATACCTGGGAAGGCAGCAAATGATGACCCAACTACTGGGGCGCCTGTCACCCATGTGGGAGACAGATTGATTTCCTAGCTCTTGGCTTTGGGCTAGCCCAGTCCTGGATGTTACAGACATTTGGGGAGTGAATCAACAAGTGGAAGATCTCCTTGATTCTCCCTCTGTCACTCTGTCCCTCAAATAAAATAAATCTTTAAAAGAAAAATTGGGGCTGGCGCTGTGCCATAGCAGTTTAATGCTCAGGCCACTGCAGTCATTTGGGGACTGAACCAGCAGATGGAGGATCTGTCTGTCTGTCTCTCCCTCTCTCAGTCTGCAACTCTGCCTTTCAAATAAAACAAATCTTTTTTAAAAAGGTCATAAAAGGGGCCGGCGCCGCGGCTCACTAGGCTAATCTTCCTCCTAGCGGCGCCGGCACACCAGGTTCTAGTCCCGGTCGGGGCGCCGGATTCTGTCCCGGTTGCCCCTCTTCCAGGCCAGCTCTCTGCTGTGGCCAGGGAGTGCAGTGGAGGATGGCCCAGGTGCTTGGGCCCTGCACCCCATGGGAGACCAGGAAAAGCACCTGACTCCTGGCTCCTGCCATCGGATCAGCGCGGTACGCCGGCCGCAGCGCGCCGGCCGCGGCAGCCGTTGGAGGGTGAACCAACGGCAAAGGAAGACCTTTCTCTCTGTCTCTCTCTCTCACTGTCCACTCTGCCTGTCAAAAAAAAAAAAAAAAAAAAGGGTCATAAAAGGGGTCAGTGCTGTGGCATAGCAGGTAAAGCTGCCACCTGCAGTGCTGGCATCCCATATGGGTGCCAGTTCAAGTCCCGGCTACTCCACTTCTGATCCAGCTCTCTGCTATGGCTTGGGAAAGCAGGAGAAGATGGCCCAAGTCCTTGGGCCCCTGCACCCACGTGGGAGATCCAGAAGAAGCTCCTGGCTCCTGACTTCAGATCAGGCAGCTCCAGCCATTGCAGCAACTGGGGAGTGAATCAGTGGATGGAAGACCACCCCCCACACCCAGCACCCTGCCTCTTCTTCTGTGTGTAATGGTTTCATGTAAATAAATATTTTAAAAATGTCAATAAAAAATAGAAGTGTTTGCTTAGAAACAGACAACTTAAGCAGCTAGAGATAAAGGAAAGAAAAGGCTGTCACTGTAGTCCTCAATGGTGAGATGGGGCTTGAGAGTTACCTTTGAGGAGAATAATGGGATAGACTTCGAGAGCAAACGGAACATTTAGAGAAAATATGGTGTATGCCTCTCCACTACAGAGAGGAAGCTGAAGTTCTGACAGGTGCGATGGTTTACTATAAGGAGCAGGGGTAGAGAGGATTCCAGCCCAGGTTTCTTTTTCTCCTGGCCGGCACTCTTCCTTCCTCACCACTGCTTCTCTAGATCCATCACAGTTATCGTGGGGAATCTAAATCCCTACTGTCTGTGTGCTCCTGAACACGTGTGTGTGTGTGTGTGTGTGTGTGTGTCTGCAAGAGAGAAAGAGAGGAGAGAGAGAACTGCCATTGTGCACCCTATTCATAACATCATCTCATGGCAAGAACAAGCACACAGTGCAATGCAATGTTTGGGCCCCTGCTACCCACATGGGATACTGGTAAGAAGCTCCCATCGCCTGGCTTCAGCCTGGCCCAGCCCTGGCTGTTATGGCCATCTGGGGAGTGAACCAGCAGATGGAAGCTCATTCTCTATGTCTCTCCCCTTCTCTCTGTAACTCTTGACTTTCAAATAAAAATAAATCCTATAAAATTTTTTTTGACATCATAGTTGACAGGATGCTGTGGTCATTACCTGCATACTTTTCTCTCACAGATTCATCCATGGACCAGAAACAATGATCATAAGCAAACACCTGTTAAAAAGGAACATTAGAGAATGTATTAAGAACAAAACCCTATTATTACTTATGTTACAATAATGTCCTAATGTTAATAGAATTATTCAAATTAATGAAATAAAAACAACTTGCTGTAATGCAGTGGAAATTAGGGTATTTATAGTCTTACACTAACAATAACCTATGGGTGATACACATCACTATTTTACATGGAAAACTATTCACAATGCTAAGTGGGAGGAAAAAGGCTATAAAACAGAACCTGTAATATGATTATACACACCCATATTTTATTTTTGCATGTTTAGATTAGCGATCTTTGTTTTCTACTTTATGATTTTACATATTTTCTGTACTTTTATAGAGAATAAAAAGATGCAGTTGGCCATTCATACTGTGGATTCTGCATCCACAGATTCAACTACTCATGATTAAAAATATTTGGGGGAAAAAAAACCTGCATTTGTACTGAAATGCTCAGACTTTTTTTTTAACCACTATTCCCTAAACAATACAGTGTAATGACTATTGACAACACAGAATTTACAGTGTTTTAAGCACTGTAAATAATCCAGAGATGATTTAAAGAATACAAGAGAATATGCAGAAGAAATCTGCAAATAGTAGGCCACTTTATAGGACTTGAGCATTTGAGGATTTTGGTATCCTCAGAGGTCCTGGAACCAATCTCTCATGCATACTGAGAGACAACTATATTTTTAAATACTTTATTAAAGATGTTCACCACAGCAGGTTGAAAACAGCTATAAAACAGGCTATTTAAATTGTAGCGCATCCACATGTAATCTCATAGATTCAAGGGTACAGAGACATAATGACTAAAACTAACATGTTAATGAAAAAGTTATAAAATTCTGATACCATATTTGTACAAAAAATTACATACATACAAAGTAGAAAAAAATACATACACATTAAAAATGATACTTCAGGGGCCGGCGCCGCGGCTCACTAGGCTAATCCTCCGCCTAGCGGCGCCGGCACACCGGGTTCTAGTCCCGGTCGGGGCGCCGGATTCTGTCCCGGTTGCCCCTCTTCCAGGCCAGCCCTCTGCTGTGGCCAGGGAGTGCAGTGGAGGATGGCCCAGGTGCTTGGGCCCTGCACCCCATGGGAGACCAGGAAAAGCACCTGGCTCCTGGCTCCTGCCATCGGATCAGCGCGGTGCGCCGGCCGCAGCGCGGCGGCCATTGGAGGGTGAACCAACGGCAAAGGAAGACCTTTCTCTCTGTCTCTCTCTCTCACTGTCCACTCTGCCTGTCAAAAAATAAATAAATAAATAAATAAATAAATAAATAAATAAATAAATAAAAAATGATACTTCAGGACAAGTATTTGGCCTAACAGTTAAAATGCTGGTTAAGACTCCCAGATCCTATGGGGCTGGCACTGTGGCTCACTTGGCTAATCCTTTGCCTGCGGCACCGGCATCCCATATGGGCGCCGGGTTCTAGTCCCGCCCTTCTTCCAGTCCAGCTCTCTGCTGTGGCCCAGGAGGGCAGTGGAGGATGGCCCAAGTGCTTGGGCCCTGCACCCGCATGGGAGACCAGAAAGAAGCACCTGGCTCCTGGCTTTGGATTGGCACAGCGCCGACAGTGGTGGCCATTTGGGGAGAGAACCAATGGAAGGAAGACCTTTCTCTCTGTCTCTCTCAGTCTATAACTCTACCTGTCAAATAAAAATAAATAAATAAATAAATAAATACAGACTCCTAGATCCCATATCGAGGCTGCTGTTACGATGCAGCAGGTTAAATTACCACTTGCAACACTGGCATACCATATCTGAGTGCCAGTTCCAGTCCTGGCTGCTCTGCTTGTGATCCAGTTCCCGCTAACGTGCCTGGGAAGGCAGTGGAAAATGGTCCAGTACTTATGGTCTCTTGTCACTCATGTGGGAGACGCAGATGGAGTTCTTGGCTCCTTTGGCCCAGCCTATCCCTGGTTGTTGTGGGCATCTGGGGAGTGAACCTGTGGATATAAGACCTGTCTCTGTCTCTCTCTCATATAAACAAATAAATGATGTGGCTTTTCTTTAATGCTAACTTGTTGGCTCTTATAAATTATTTCTATTTGGATGTTTCACCTTATCACTACTGCATTTTTTCACTGATTTTCTTATTTTTTTGGATTTCTTGTAGCATTATATTTACTTGTTTCTGTTTTGTAAGTTTTTGAGTACAACTGTTCTACATTTCATCGAGCTTGCCCACTCTGGGGGATGCTGCTACGCTTCACGGTGAAGGTTTTCCTTTAAATGTTAGTCTGCAGGGCACCTTAACTGGGAGTGTTTATGCCAGTTTTCACATGGCTGCTGGTTTTTGCCTCTCCAGTGGCTCCCTTCAAATGCCTAATGTATGTGGTTATTTCCATCACTAAGGCCTTCACATTAACACAGATATTAGCTCAGTGCTGGTGGCACTTTTTCAGCCTCTTAAAGCTTTCGTTCACGGAGAAGCCTCACTCAAATCAGCATTCATGTAGTGTGTGCCTAGCTCCAGTCCTCAACCGTCCCTCAGGGTTCCCGCTGAGTCCCAGGTTTTCAATTCTGAGAACATTTCAACAACATAATTTTTACATCGAAGTAGCCATAAGTGATATATTTCATTGTTCAGCTTAATTCTTTACAGGTGTCTTACATGTAGGATGATGGGACATACTGGTATTTCTCAAGAGTTGAACTTCAGTCACCTCTGAGCACCTTGACTCCAAAGCCAGTGAACACGCTGCTTCAGCCTAGCTTACTGCTGGTCCCTGAAGTTATACGTTGTTTTGAGTATGACAACATGACTTAAGTATTTTTAAATATTTTATCTGTCCCTGCTAGGAGTTAGCACAAGAAAATTCCTGTGTGAACTCAGAAGGCTATCTGGACCATAGTATAGAACTTGATTTTATTAAGAAACAGAATTAGATAAAAATGGCAAATTAGGTATACATGCTGATATTCTCTTCCCACCCAAAATTAACTCAAAATGGGTGGGTGCAGGTGACAGGCAAAGGGCCCAAACAGGAGAAGGGAGGAAAGGAGGAAGGAACACTTTGAAAGCAAGATTGCTTGCCTGTCCCTGGCTCAGAATAGAGAAATTCCTGACAAACAGCTGGTGTGAAACAGAGGGTAAGGGCGGCTGCAGGGAGACCACCAGGCAAAATGCTGGAGGTGGCTGCAAGGAAACAAGAGTTCCAGCACCTCACAAGGCCAGCTACGGAGGCAGGAGTGGATTCTGACAGGAACAAAGACAGACACTTTGACCAGGTAAGGATCAGAACACCCAGGTCTTCTTAACAACAGCAGGCTGGGGAGGCAACTGCCCCTGCTTGGAGCACTAGTAGGGAGGCAGGGAAGAGAGGCAAAGCAGGAGCCCTAGGAGCCGGGAGCCCAGCAAGCCCCTGAGTTGCCCACTCCGCTCCAGTGAGGCGGTGTACACTGCCTACGGTTCACAGCTTTCCAAAGCCAACATGTGTCTATCAGTACTAGCAGCGACGATGTTAGGAATCCTCAGAGAGGAAGGGGAACAGATGAAGACTGAAGCTCAAAGAAGGTCCCAAAGGAATGTGTGTCAAAATGTCAGCTGGGGGCTCCTTTCCAAACTCCATTCGTCACCCACAGTGAGAATAATTACTGCAAGCTAAGATTAAAGAAATGTGACGCTCAAATTTCACCTCTTCTTATTTTATTTAATTCAGTTCTCAACAAGGCAAAGCAGAAACCATCTTGTTTTTTTCTGGGAGCTTCAAAAGTCCCATCAGCGTATGTGTCTATCAGCAATCAGGTTGAGTGGCATTCCCGTTCCATTTAGTCTCAGTTCTTCTGTATTTTAGGGATTTCTTTAACAACTACATTTCTTTCTTTCTTTTTTTTTTTTTTTTTTAAACAGGCAGAGTGGACAGTGAGAGAGAGAGAGAGACAGAGAGAAAGGTCTTCCTTTGCCGTTGGTTCACCCTCCAATGGCTGCTGTGGCTGGCGCACTGTGGTTGGCGCACCACGCTGATCTGAAGGCAGGAGCCAGGTGCTTCTCCTGGTCTCCCATGGGGTGCAGGGCCCAAGCACTTGGGCCATCCTCCACTGCACTCCCGGGCCATAGCAGAGAGCTGGCCTGGAAGAGGGGCAACCGGGACAGAATCCGGCGCCCCGACCGGGACTAGAACCCGGTGTGCCGGCGCCGCAAGGCGGAGGATTAGCCTAGTGAGCCGCGGCGCCGGCCTACCACATTTCTTATTGCCAATTCCATCAGAGAAGCTACCCCTAAAGTACCCACAGCAATGGTTAAAACCACTGGGCGAGGCCATGTTCGAAGGAAACGGGTAGTACAACAGTGGGAATCTCGCTGCTCACAAGTTGGGGAGCTGAGATCTTCAACCCAGCTGTTGAGCCAACTATCCAGCTCCGAAGTCCAAGCTCTGCGACACTAGGTTAGACTAGCACTACTGCAAGTACATGGAAAGTACAAAGCCGGGGGCTACGAAGCACTGGGTTCTGACCTACTAACAATACTAAACCGATCTGCGGACGTTTCAGCAATTTGGGGAATTACTACACATCTCCTCCAGCCAAAGATTTTCATACAGCAGGCAAGCCTTCTAAATAAATATTACTTTAAACTGTAAAACAAAACCTTTAATAGAGAATAACTGTACATTCATTGTAGCAAATTCAGACAACACAGAAGCATAAAGTGAAAAATCCAAGCTCTCCCCTGCACCAAGCACACGCCTCCCTAGAAGTAAGCACCATGTGAAGATGTGGCATTTATCCTTCTGTATATTTTAGCTAACACAACATTTTCTCTAAACACCCAATCAAATAAGACAGACAGTTTTTAAACAGTCATATGATGATTTCCTCACATCTTTAATACCATCTCCAGCCTCTGTTCTACACAAAGTACAAAAATGGAAGAAAAAAAAGCACTTTTTACATTGAAAGTTTTACACAAAGAAGTTAGTGTCACATTCAATTAGTTTTCGGGAAAAAAAGTCACTCGGAGTCTCAAACAGCCATGTCTACATATATTTTAGCAAAAATAATAGAGAATGAAATTACAATGCAACCACAGTGTCTAAACAAGAACAAAACCTCAAGAGTGTGGACAGAACTCAACTTCCTGGAAATTTCAAATAAATTCAGATACCGGTCAATTAAAAAAACACAGCACTTGCGCCACTTTCAGCACCCCTAACAATTCCCTGAGACAGACTGACCCACTCCACCCACATCTCCAGAATCTGGGTTCAAATCTGAGATCAGGGCACATTCTCGGGAGGAAGCGTGGGCCGGCACAGGCTTCTGGCGGCCTGGGAGTGCATTCCCAGCTGTCTCGGGATGAGGCGGATGAGTCGGCCGGGCAGCTCTGACCACAGTTTGGGACTACCAGTTCTGCGCCAGTCCGTGGCACAAAAGGAATCTGTGTTTAGTTGCTAGGAGACTGGCCAGAATTGGTCAAAGTGCAAAGACAGCTTTTCCATAAACCTCCAGGCCCTCCTATGCCAACAACCATCTTCAGATTTGTGAGTAGGCTGACAGCTTGTGTTACTTTTACAAAACTGACAGAAAATACTTCCATCTTTTAGAAGAAAACTATCCATATTTCAACAATGTGCATGTCAGATCTTTACAAGTAGCATAGAATAAACTGAGTCTCTTACCTTTGGCTGGGCCCTGAGTTCCCAAAAGAGATGTCACCATTCACATGAAAGAAAAGGGAGAAGGGTTTTAAAAAGAAAAGAAAAACAAAGTTAGTTTAGAAAATTCTTTTCAAAAGGTAAAATAAACATTATGAACATTTGCAACAAAACACAAATACTATCTTTGAAACCAAATAGTCACGTAAAGGATAAATTCATGTCATTAACTAGTTAAGTAGGGTACTAATTATAGAAAACTAACTTGTGTCTTTCTGGTGGAACAAAAACTATCTGAGCACTGGATAATTTCAAAAGTCCTAATAGTTCTGCTTTATTCATTTTACTCATCTTTATATATGTCTATTAATATTCCTTTAAAAAATTTTTATTTTATCATGTGATTTCACTTTAAGTAGTTTTCTGTCTTAATGAAGCTGCAGTGTACTGTCTTAATCTGTACAGGCCAGCCCTTCTACAAAAAATGAATTGAGTTCTAAGAAAAAAGGTTAAACTAAAGGAACAACCGAGTTCTTGCCAGGGAGTTGCCACTTCCTGCGTTACTCACTGCTCACGACCCTGCGCTCACTCAGGCAGTGCTCTCACCGTCCTCTCCCCACCCCTGAAACTCCTGCAGATTTCATCTCTTCAAGGCACAGAAATTTAACTCAGTGTGCACATCCAGTACAATTCGGAGGTACTTCCAAACTTGGAGAAAAACAGGAAGTACCAAGAACTGCCAGAGACCTTCAATTCAAATTCGCCACTGTTAACTTTTCCAGGACTGCTTTCACTCTCCTGGCTCCTGCCCCACCTATCTTTATACCACACACACACACACACACGCACGCGTGTATTGCTTTTTCTCAACCATTTCATCGTACCTTGCAAACATGCCCCTTAAGCCCTAAACATTTCAGGATATAATTCCTAAAAACAATGATGCTCACTTACATAATCACAGTGCAGTATCAAAACCAGACAATGGGAGAACAAAGGAGGAGCCAGCAACGTGGCACAGTGAATTAAGCTACCACCTATGATGCTGGCATCCCATAAGAGCAGCTGCTCCACTTCTCATCCAGCTCCCTGCTGATGGGCCTGAGAAGACAGCAGGAGATGGCCCAAGCGCTTGCACCCCTGTCCCTGGCTTTCTCCTGGCCCAGCCCCAGCTGTTAGAGCCATTTGGGGAGTGAACCAGCAAATGGAAAACCTCTCCTGCCGCTCATCCCTGTAACTCTGTCTTCAAAAAAAAAAAAAAGAAGAAGAAGAAAGGAAGAAGGACAAGGACAAGAACAACAAAAGAGGAGCCAGTATTGTGGTGCAGCAGGTTAAACCACAGCCTGAAATGCTGGCATCCCATATTGGAGTATCCCTTCAAGTCCTGGCTGTTTCACTTCTGCTCCGGCTCCCTGCTAACGCACCCGGGAAGGCAGCTCAAGATGGTCCAAGTTGCTTGGGTCACCGACACCTACATGGGAGACCTAGATGGAGTTCTGAGGTTCTGGTTTTAGCCTAGCCCAGCCATTTGAAGTGAACCAGCAGAAAGAAGACATCTGTTTCTCCTCCCTCTCCCTCTGTCTACTTTTTGAATAAATAGATCTTTAAACCAAAAAAAAAAAAAAAAAAAAAAAAAGAAGCAGCAGCAGCAAAGTACTTCAAAACCAAAGTGAAATAGTAACAATAATTGGTCCTTCTTTCTCAGAGGTTCAAAACTCCAATTTCAACCTAAAATTTTAAATGGTACTGGAAAATGCTCATCTTCTGGTCCCTCTGTCTCATGAGATTTTCTTCTAAAAGAAATTTTTTATTTGTATTGAATTATTTTAGATGAGGGCCGGTGTAGTGGCACAGCAGGTTAGGCTACTGTTCACAACACTGGCATCCCATATTGGAAACACCAGTTCAAGTTCCAGCTGCTCTGCTTCTGATCCAGCTCCCAGCTGATGTGCCTGCGAAGGCAGAGGAAGAGGGCCCAGGTGCTAGAGTCTCTGCCATCCAAGAGTCCCATGTGGGAGACCCAAATGGAGTTCCTGGTTCCTGGCTTCGCCTGGCCCAGCCCTGGCTGTTGTGGCCATTTGGGGAGTGAACCAGTGGATGGAAGATCTGTCTCTCTGCCTTTTGAAAATGTAAGACTTTTTAAAAAATTATTTCGGGGGCCAGCATAGTGGTATAACAGGTAAAGCTGCCACCTGTGACACTGGCACCCCTTATGCGTGCTGGTTTGTATCTCAGCTGCTCCATTTTCAATCCAGCTCCCTGCTAATGTGCCTAGGGAAGTAGCAGAAGATGACTCAGGTGCTTGGGAGCCTGTACCCATGTGAAAGACCCAGATGAAGCTCTTGGCTTCCATCTGGCCCATCCCTGGCCATTGCAGCCATCTGAGGAGTGAACCAGAGAACAGAAGATCTCCTTCATTCACTCCTCCTCTCTGCAACTCTGCCTTTAAATAAATAAATCTTTTTAAAAAATTATTTCAGGTAAGAACACTAAAATGCCTCAAAAAGTCTAGCAAATGAGTGATACCAATCTAATAGATTTTGGACTACTATGCAATGTGGATAACATGTGAGAGAAAATCATTTCTCTAGAATAAGATATGAAAACATATCCCTGGCAAAAAGACTCATGAAATCCTGTGAGGTTCCTGACACAGCTGTCATCCTTTTATCCTTTCCAGGCAAAGCAGAGTCTCCTCAATGCAGAGAGTTTAGCTATAAACTCAGCAGGTGGTAGGGAGAGAGCGAGCATGCAGGAAATGCCCGCAGTTCCCAGGTACATGGCATGATGGTTAATTCAGTTCTTACAATATGCTATCTTGCCAGATGCTGTTGTGATTCCAGCTTTAAGGATCAGAAAAACTAAAGGAACTGCCCAACACAATGATAAATGGTCACAATCTGGGTTTCAAAACCAGGACTTCTCACTCCAAATCCCTGATCATTTCCCTCCCACACTGTCCAAAACAGCCTCGATGCAAGAACCTGAGTCACATGTTAACAAACACTCCTGCTAACAATATTTCCACATGCACTGATTTCCTCTGTCCTAATTATTAACCAAATAAGAAAAGTTACCACTTGGTGCTGATGCTGATGTATGTTCACTATTCACTGTGTTTATAAAAACTCCACTTCTAGGAGAAAGATAATATTTCAAGTTTAAGAATTTTTATTACAAAACCACAGCTCTTCCTAAGAAACCACCCACAAACACAAAGTTCAATAATATATGACACATAGCAGAAGAATTCAGGAGACTAACCTGAATTCGGATATCATAATAAAATCAGAAACAAACCAAAGAATTAATTACTGAGCTAAGTTTCCAGCTAGGGATTCTGTTGGCCACAACAGTAAAACTCAAATAACCTGCACAGCCAGGGGACACTCACAGATGTAATTACAGCTCTGTACAGGAATAAATAAGTAAATTAGTTAAACAAAACCTTTTCAAAATGTAGCTGCAACTCAATACAGTCATGCCTCACTTGTCCCGAGAACCCACTTAGAAACCTCAGCCATCCACATCAGTGGAGATTCAAGAAGCAAAGAAAATCAGCTCCTGACTAACCAAGACACAACTCAAAGCACAAGCACTAAAGTCTTAATTTTTCAGTTGAGTTATTTTTTGTTATTGAAACTGTTGCTGATTAACTTCCCTTAAGAATACAAAGGCTTCGGCCGTCGCCGTGGCTCACTTGGTTAGCCCTCCACTTGAGGCACCAGCACCCCATATGGGCGCCAGGTTCTAGTCCCGGTTGCTCCTCTTCCAGTCCAGCTCTCTACTGTGGCCTGGGAGGGCAGTGGAGGATGGCCCAAGGGCTTGGGCCCTGCACCCGCATGGGAGACCAGGAGGAAGCACCTGGCTCCTGGCTTCAGATCGGCAAAGCTCCAGCCATGGCGGTCATTTGGGGAGTGAACCAATGGAAGGAAGATCTTCGGAAGGAAGACCTTTCTCTCTCTTTCTCTCACTGTCTAACTATCTGTCAAATAAATTAAAAGAAAAATACAAAGGCTTACAAACAAAAACAAAAAACAGCATAAAAAATGCCTGTAAACCCTTTACCAAGCTCCCCCAAATGTTAACATCTTACACAACCACTCACACCATGATCAAAACCAGGAGGCAGGTTTCATGCTGCAGCAGGTCAAACTGCTGCCTGGGATGCCCACATCTCTTATCATAGTTCTGATTGGAGTCCCAGCTGCTCTGTGCTTCTAATCCAGCTTCCTGCTAATGCACCCGGGAGGCAGTGGATGATGGTGCAAGTACTTGGGTTCCTGCCTTCTACATGAGACACCTAGATGGACTTCTGGGTTCCTGGTTTCGGCCTGGCTTAGCCCTGGCTGCTGTGGTCATTTAAATGGTAAGCTAGCAAATGGAGAATCTCAGTGTTGAACCCTCTCCCTGTCACTCTGCCTTTCAAATAAATATATTTTTTAAAGGGGGTGGGTGGGAAATTATCCATCAACCATACATCTATCGAATAATCTACAGTCAACATTATCCTACCTTAGTCAACTGAATCCACAAATATTCTCCCTGGGGTGCAAGATGATATGTTGCATATAGTCGTCACGTCTCCTCCAATGAGACATTTTGTGTCCCCTGACACTTGAAGAGTACTGGCCACTTATTTTATACAACGTCCCTCAACCCAGATTTGCCCAATGCCCTGTCTTCATGACTAGATTAAGGCAGTGCATTTTGGCAAGCAACACCTGGAAGTAATGCTAGCTTCTTCTCAGGGCGTCCTCCCAGCATTGGTCTCAGTGCTCATGGGGCTAATTCCCATCACTTGATTAGGGTGGTGTCCATCAGGATGCCCCACTACCACACTTCTGCTTTCTCTTGGTCATGAACAAGCATTTTGTAGAGAAGAGTCCCTGAAACTATGTGAACACCCTCTTCCTTGTCATATTTTTCTTTTAAAGAATTATTTATTTATTTATTTGGAAGTCAGAGTTACAGAGAGGGGAGAGACAGAGAGATAGAGAGAGAGAGGTCTTCCATCCACTGATTCACTCCCCAACT